CGCTGTTCACTACCATGCGGCGGTGCCCGAGCGGTGATGCCTCGCAAGCTACCCTAGGTACAAGAACCACAAAACAGGGAGGTTGCCTCGCCTCGGGGATCAATGAATAGTATTGCCCCCTTATGGCCTTGTACAATGGCCTCCTCCTTTTTAGGAAGGGCATCGGCCACCACGTCATCTGCAACCCCACGATGCGGCAGTGGGCCGAGCTCCCACGGCTGACTGGAGGCAGAAACTTAATAGAATGCCACCGAGAGTTCGGGTTCTACTTCCACCTTCAGTACGACGAGTACCACTTGCTTTGCCATTGCACTATGAACCTCGCGGTGTACTACGTGGTCTTCTCAGTCGACGGTGATGAACCCCGACAGCTCGACGTGGAAGCCACTGGGATAGAACTATTTGGTACCAAACCAATACACCAAATCGATGATGGCACCGGCTGCTCTTCATGGCCTCCTGCATTGGTTGCATCATCTTGAGGGAAGGCTCACCAACCATATGGTGGCGTTTGACATGGTTGCCGAGACGTTCAAGGAAATGATGCCGCCTCTAGTGACCACGAAGTTCTTTGCAAACCTGCTAGCCATGGATAAGTTCCTCATGGCATCAAAGTTCACGGACTTGGGCATGGACCTCTGGGTCTTGGAGGGCTATGGAGTCATGGACGAGAGGTGGGAGCTCTGGCACCACGTCGTACTGCCATGGCAGCTAAGTGCAACCCTTAAACGTCCACTTCTCATCGAGGGAGGTGATAGCGGCGATGTCATAATGGGGACAACCTATGACTTGGGGGTGTACAATGTGAAGAGCAAGATATTCAGGGTTGTCGTCACCGTCAAACCGCCCGATGCCCTTCTCCTGTCACGGGACATGCTCAGGGAGAGCCTAGTGCCACACACTTTCTTCAACAATCAACAACCAAACCCAACCCGCTATGTTACAAAAAAAACAACTTGCTTGCCATTGTTTCGCTTCCTCTCCTAAAAGATTAGTTTGGAAAGAAATAATGTCGTTTAATCTCATAAAAATTCGTTGGATGATTCTCCACCAGTTGGGTTGAGGGTGCAGTTTAATCTATCGATTTAAATTCCTAGTACATTGTTCCTCTATCCGTGATGATCTCGTCTACGAGATGTTCCTCTGCTTGCCGGCCAAGTCCCTCCTCCGTTTCAACACCATATGTAACGCATGGCACCGCATCACAACTGATCTGACGTTCATCTTTGACCATCCACGTCACCACCCGCTCAAGCCCTCAAGTAGTCCATCTCAAGAGATCGATATGGATTTGGACGCCCTGTTGGTCACCATCCATCACCAGGCGCCAACATATAAGCGACGACCCCCTTTGCACGCTTCCCCAAGTACAAGAATTATGAAGCGGTCACCAAGCACGAGCATTATTGTTTCCCTATTGGGTCGGGAACATGGTAGAATTCTCGGAGCGGAGCCCAGCAAATTTCTAGGGATGGGGACGCGGGGATTGTAAGTAATCTACGGGTAACATGTAGAATTAGATGGGATGTGAGTTACCTGTAAAGGTAGCCTATTCCAAAAATATAAGCCCATCTAGCCCATTGCAAGTTGTCCATATATAAACTACTTAACCCTAATTCCTCACTCCCTCTCCCCCATCCTCCCTCATCCAGCCACTAGGCCATAGCCCCCGCCGCCGCACGCGCAACCCTCGGCCACGCCGCGCGCCGCACGCACATAGCACATCTCTAGACCAGCCCCTACGCAGCCGCAGCAAAGAAGGCCGTTGGTGACTGCTCCCTCCTCCGTGCCGTCTCATCTCCGGCGGTCAACACCCTCATACCACGCCGGATTCATCTTTCCTCTCACCACGTTAAATCGCTGCCTGTTGTTGAGCCGCCTCGTTGTCATTAACTCTTCGCCACGCCGTATCGTCGGCCGTCACCGGGCCACCGCGTCGGTCGTCCCCTCATCGCCTTATCTCTCAATACGTGTTGCGCCACCACCTCCTCCTCCCACTGCGCTCCTCCTCCTAGGTATGGTAAATTCTCTTAAGTTAACTCTTAATCTCCTCCTCTCCACCCATAAAGAATATGTATGTTTTCACCTATTCACACTCCCACATAAGTAGACATTTAAGTAGAAGTACTGTTTGTTTACATTGCATTGGTTACCTGACGGTTTGAAAGATTTTAGTCACCAGAGAGCTATACAACCCCGATAGATTATTAGGAATGATGGTGTGTTCAGATTACAAGTGTGTTTTGGTCAATAGTAATAAATGTATACTACATATATCCTTAAAAAAAATGTAAACTACATATATGTCCAAATATGTAGGTCAATAATAATAAATGTATACTACATATGTCGTAAAAAATGTATACTACATATATGTCTAAGAATTGCATACTAGACAAATGTATCAAAGACAAGAATAGAAGCATGAACTGGAGAGTAAATTTATCTCTCCTTTAAAACAAGAGACTAAAACAATTGTGAAACATAATCCCATCACACGCGAATTTTTGAACATTGGATTCAAATCCAATTTTCTAGATCTGATTTACCCCTTAAGGTTGTGTTCATTCAGGAGAGTTGGGAACACATTCCATCCGCTTGGAAAACGGAGCAACGCATTTTCTTATGATTAATTACGTATTTGCTATTTTCTTTTGAAAAATAGATTAATATGATTTTTTAAAGCAACCTTCGTATAGAAACTTTTTGTAAAAAAATGCACCATTTAGCAGTTTAAAAAGCGTGCGCGCGGAAAACGAGATATGTGAGTTGGGAAAGTTGGGGAAAGAACTCAGCCTCCTCTTCCACCTCCCAAACCCCTACTCCTCTTGATCCCACCGCATCCCACCACCTCCCACTACCTTGGATGCCACCATCCTTCGGCGATGGAGGCTCGCCGTACCCATACTCTATCGTATTCATGCATCAATCGTAGAGTAGATCATGATATCAGAATTGGCTCATGATTTCAATACGAATATTTATATTCATTGTTTCAGTACAAATTTTTATATTCCTTTTTAACTATGAATGTTATTTACTTCATGTGAGCAGGACATGATATGTAGAGATGATGAAGCAAAGGCAGACGGTAAGTAACTTGGATATTGACGGTGATCTCACCTACGAGATCCTCCTCCGATTGCCAGCCAAGACCGTGCTCCGCTGTGGTGCCGTCTGCAAGGCATGGCGCCGCATCACCACCAATCCGACGTTCCTCTCCGATCATGCGCGCCACCACCCACCAGAGGCCCTCCTGTACAACTCCTTCGGTAAGGCAACAAGCAAGATCAACATGGAGTTGGACGCGCTATCGGTCGCTGCTCACCACCAGGCAGCGGTGCCCGAGCGGCGACGCCTCGCTTGCTTCCCTAGATACAAGAATCGTGGAACAGGGAGGTTGCCCCGCACCGGCATCAGTGAACAGTATTGCCCCCTTCTGGCCTCGTGCGACGGTCTCCTTCTTTTCAGGAAGGGCTCTCGGTCGGTGCTGATGAACCCCGGCGGCTCGACGTGGAAGCCACTGAGATAGAACTATTTAGTACCACCCAATACACCAGATCAATGATGACGCCGGCTGCTCTTCATGGCCACTTGCATTGGCTGCAGCATCCGGAGGGCAGGCTCACCAACCATATGGCGGTGTTCAACATGGTTGACGAGACATTCAAGCAAATGACGTCGCCTCCAGTGACCTCAAAGTTCTTTGCAGACCTGCTAGCCATAGATAAGTTCCTCATGGCATCAGAGTTCACATACTTGGGCGTGGACCTATGGGTCATGGAGGGTTATGGAGCCATGGATGAGAGGTGGGAGCTCCGTCACCGCGTCGTGCTGCCATGGATGAGAGGTATGACCCTCGAACGTCCTCTCCTCATTGAGGGAGGCAATGATAGTGATGTCATTATGGGGACCGCCTATGGCTTGGGGGTGTACAACGTGAAGAGCAAGACATTCAGGACTGTCATCACCGTCAAGCCGCCCGACGCCCTTCTTCTATCGCGGAACATGCTTAGGGAGAGCCTGGTGCCACACACCTTCTTCGATAATCAACAACAACACCCAACCTGCTTGCCATTGTTTCACTTCCTCTCTTGAAAGATTAGTTTGGAAAAGAATAATGTCGTTTAATCTTATACAAATTTGTTGGATGATTCTCCACCAGTTGGGTTGAGAGCGCAATTTAGTCTGTCCATTTAAATTCCTAGTACATTCTTGTATTCTGTTGTGCCTTTTTGGGCTTGCAATTAAGTATTTGAACAAGTTATGTTTATGCTACACTGGAAACACATGTTTGTTTGTTTATGTTTTTACACAAGTTATGTTTTTTTTTTGCAATCTCCATGTAATTTTCATAATGCATCAATCTATTACTTTAGCTATCTATTTATATGTTTCATGCAAAATGTTTGTTAAATGCTTGTTTTGCTTGAGTTGCAACCGGTGAACTTTGTGGAAAATCATCAAATCAGTAAAGACTTTCTTGTAGTTGCCCCAAAATCACAAGGCTCTATTCACGTTGGATTTGATTTTGTGCGTTAAATCAAAGTAGTTTAAAATGCACCAAATGATTCATCCAAACTTTATATATGTGATAATAGTAGCTTGTTCCATGGATTACAGAAGCTAGCAATACACAATTGTTTTTTTTAAAAAAATAAATGGATCTAGAGCTGTGTCAACCCAGCTCCAAGATTTTCTCGTAGGAGGCCATCGAATGGCTTATCGGGGGAATTAGCCAAACGACATATTTACAAACGAAAAATAATTTACGAATAGAACTTCAATGAAAAAATCTCTAAATCAACTCCAAATTTAAAGTTAAAAATATAAATTTTAGCTGATAATAATAAGCATAAGTGAAAAGATGAGGCCAGTAGTTGCGCCAAAATCCGTCGTGTCGCTTAGAATTCAGCCCAACTTTTCTATTTGAAGGACAAATTCAGCCCAACTTGGTAGTGGGCCTCCTTTTTATCTCCATCCACTGGGCCGGCCTCCACCTTGAGAGAAGCCGTCTCCGCCGACACACGGCGACGTGGTCGCCGCGCACGACGCGACACGAGCCGAGATCCCCAACCCACCGGCGGCGGCGCGAGCACACGATCCGCCCCCCATCTCCGGCGCCGGCGATGGCGATGCCGTCGAGCGCCTCCGCCACGGCGCGGATGCTCACCGTGCCGGCGCTGCTCCTCCTCCTCTCCTCCGCCGCGCTCCTTGTCTTCCTCATCCTACCGTCCCTCTCCCCGTCCCCCGCCGCGCACCTCTGCGCCTGCTCGCCCCCGACCACCACGCACACCACCACTACCGTCACCACCACCACCACCACCGCCTCCCCGGCGCCCGTCACCACCTCCCCCGCCGACGTCGCCTGGCTCAAGTCTCAGCTCGCCTCCAACTCCCTCCCGCTCCTCGCCTCCCACGACGCATGGCACCGCCTCCGCAAGGGCATCAACCCCCGCACCCGCGAGCAGCAGCTCTTCGACATCAACAGGTATAAACCCCATCGAATACTCAGCCACACTGATTCATACTTCAGATCGCTGCATTTCGATTTAATGCTTCGCCGCTGCGCTTTAGTCTGACCTTGTTAGGTTACCTCATCTAGTTGGTTCCAAGCAGTCAAGTACCGTGAAAAAAATGTGATGCAATTGAAATTAACATCTTAGTAATGCACCTGAATTGCAGGCACCATGGGATCTCGCATTACCCGGATGAAGAGGCAACTAACCACACTGCGCTGCCTTGCCCCGGGGAGCTCCTGGTTGAAGAGCATCACAGTAACTATGGCGAGCCGTGGGCCGGTGGCCGTGATGTCTTTGAATTCCTTGCTAATGCCTCCGCGCTCACGCCTAGAGACCAAGTTCTGGAAATTGGATGCGGGACTCTTCGCGTCGGTCTTCACTTCATTCGGTTTCTGGAGGCGGCCAAGTTCCATTGTCTGGAGCGGGATGAGCTGTCCCTCATGGCTGCACTTCGCTATGAACTGCCAGCGCAGGGGCTGTTGTACAAGCGGCCAATGATCGTGAGAGGGGAGGATATGGATTTCAGCAGGTTTGGGGATACGGTTATGTATGATCTTATTTATGCAAGTGCTGTGTTCCTTCACATTCCGGATAAGCTTGTTTGGACTGGGCTCGAGAGGCTTGCAGGGAAGCTGAGGCCACAGAGAGGGAGGATTTTTGTGTCACATAATATTAAGTTTTGCTCAAGATTGGGTGGTGATGAGTGCACACGGCGGCTCACGGAATTGGGGCTCGAGTATGTGGGGAAGCACACTCATGATAGCTTGTTGTTCAACCATTATGAGATATGGTTTGAATTCCGAAGGCCAAAAGTTTAAGTCTTGATAGTTGGAAGATAGACTGGTGTGGCATCCATTTTGTAATTTTGGTGGTGTGAAGTGCAGAGCAAGCTATGGCCTGTAGTTGTATGCCAATGAGCTCTGACCTGAGATCGAGATCATTGTTTGCTGGGTGTTGGTTCACTTTCGACCACACACAACACTCAGGATGAAAGATCCAATCGCCCTTGAGCCTTCCGAATTACATCTGGTGAGTGGCGATTGAAGGCTGTAGTTTTCATTAGAGACAATTATTGGATTTACTGTAATGCTGCTAGTTTTTCTGCAAGAAATGTTTTGGTAGCTCAAGTCTTATACATTTTTAGAGCACAATATACCTACTATGGTCAAGTAGAACTGTATTACCTCGTAAGGTTTAGTAATATATGACAAGGAAAACTCTGTTATTCTATATGATCAAGGAGTACACTTTTGCTATGATACGGTATCTTGATAAATTGTTCAATGCATAAGCGTATTGTATTGTTAACTTACAGTTGGTCATATATTGGTAATTAGTTGGATGCATATGTGCACCATGGAGCTGTTGATATCATCAATTGGTACTTTCCTGATGTGGTGACCAAATCTGTATAAGCCCAATCTGAGCAGGAAATGTTGGGGTATTGTGAAATGGACTGAATCTTCTCATGTCTAAAAAAATATACTAAATTCCCCCAAAAAAATCATGGCTTACTAGTCATCATTAAATCAGTTACTGTCCTGAAAATAACTTTTTCATTTGAAGAGAATAACCGTCATTTCAACTTGAGCATATGCCCTTTCTATCATGATTCATGGGTTTTGCCTAGCTTGGGTTCTGTACTACTAAAGATGCTGACATGTGACATTGGCTGGTCCATCCTCTCAATTTCAAGATTTATTTCTGCTTTGTGGGGCTAAAGAATCATTGTTCTTTTGATTCTTCTTTAAAGCATCCGCTGCGCATCAGCGGCCTCCATAACCGATCCTCTCACGGCTGTATTTTTGCCTGCACATTGAGTATTCAGCTTATTTTCCTTCTCTCTACACAAACTTAATCTCCTAATACCCCATTTCATGTAATGACTCCACAAGAAACCATCATGTTTTCTTACAAAATGATGGGCCAGGTGATTTTCCTTTCGACAAAATTCTGTTTCAGCTAGTACTACATACAGTATGAGGTTATGTTGCTGACTTACTGTAGTTGATCCTTGCTTGTCAGCACTCAGCAGCTGCTACTGTTGGACTTTAAAATATGATCATATGCATATACTTTGTGCTGATGATACATACATACACCAATGGGGGGTGCCTTGAATTTATTGTCAACTTTTGTGTTAGCCAGTGTATTGCAGGTGGCAGCATCACACGCCTGAATTGGTCCAAGACAAGACTGCAGAAGAAGAAGAGGAAGAGGAAGCAGAGGCTGAAGGGTGGCCGTCGCCGTCGGAGGCTGAAGAAATCGCTGCCGCCGGCGCCGGGGACCCCTTGGAGCGCGTCCTTTTGTTGTATCTAGACGGGTCAGTGTAACCATCCTCGAAAGAGACTCGCATCCTCTTCCTTGTGCAAGTAGTATCTATGTACTTAAAACGAAGATGCATTGGATGATGGCGTCTTCTGTGCATTCACTCCGTCCGATCTACCAGTTTCAACAGTAGTAACTCTCAGATGATTTTCTCATCACAAAGGCTTAAGATTTTTGTGCTCTCAGAGCTGACGTGTTCCTTTCATGCTCAGATCAGCATGCACAATTGTTTAAACTACGCCCTATAATTAAGCCATAGATAGAAAAATGAAGGAAGCAACCAAAAACACTAACCCTCCTAGGACGACTTTATGTTTAACTAAGAATCGACAAGTCTTGGTGCAATAGTTAGAAATACAATCTTTTATAATTCATATTCCTAGTTTGAAATAAAGTTTTTATTTTTAGAACAGAGGTAGTAATTTACAAACAAAACTTTATATTGTTAGAGTCTTGGGCAACAACAAATGTATATGACAAAAGTAGTCCATAGAGATAGGACCCACATATATGAATTTTAACTATTGTAACCTTCACAATGTATATGGATAGCAAATAGTATTAGTAGGAGAGAAAAGATAGAGACAAATAATATATTTTATTCTCTATAGGCAGCCCATATACTTATGGGTAGCTTTTGTTATTTCTTTCCTATGGACTAGTTCCACAATATTGCTAGGTGGCTGAATCAAATATTATATTGCTTATGGACTACTTTTGGAGTACATTGTGGATGCTCTTTAGGATTGCTAGGTGCGGATCTAGAGGTGATGGGGAGTCCGTGTGTGTGCAGCGACCAACCTTGGTTCGCGCGCCTGTCGGCTCCCTCTCTTTATATATTAGCGCTGCGTGAGAGGGGTCCACTGCCAATAGATCGGCTGGCGCCCCCGATCAAGACGTGTAGGCGGAGTGGGGAATCGGTTTCCCGATTCCCCCGGGGATTGCAACTAACATATATATATGTATTATTGGTTATAAAAAACCAAAGTTGGAAAATAAGATATGTTGAAAAAAAACTCATTTTTTCAAAAAAAAAGAGAAAGATTTAAATTTTGACTGTAGCAAGTAGTACATGATAAGAGCCTCCAGGCTCCGGTGTTAAAAAATTCAATACAAAGCTTTAAGTTTAACATGTTTGATGTTTGAGTGTTCATGGTTAAACAGTTTTAGTAGTAGTTTGTTTGGTTTCGAAAAGTTCTATTCCGACTCCCACAAAATCTATCTTACGTTGTGTTCATCGTGTGAAATCTCCCAGATTCTACAAGAGTTCTGTCAACTCCTACGTCTAAGTACCGTGGACTGTGCGTGGGTCAGTGCGACACTGCGTGTTAACACCAGGACGTCTCACATTGTTATAGCTCACTTCTCTCTCCCTTTTATAATAGTTGTTTTGATTTTTTTAAATTATTTTAAATTTGATCAAGTTTATGAAAAATTTTTAGCAACATCTATGATACATAGTAGTTTCATTAAATTTATTAAAGGTAACATTAAATATATTGGGCAATATATTCGTTTTGTGTTAGAAATATTTCTATATTTTCTTACAATCTTAACTAAACTTAAAAGGTTTGATTTAAAAAAAAATCAAAACAGCTTATAATATAAGACGGTAGAGTTGTACTCTTGTCATCCCCGAATTGAACCCTAATTTTGTAGCTATACTATTTGATGCGATGCGAGGTAGCAGCGTTATGTTCCTCACACGCATGCGGTGACCAGGGGCGGAGGCAGGCCCAGAGTAGCTAGAGCTTGAGTCCTAGTCGTGCCTCCAAAATCTTGCTTAAATTTTGTTAATTTACCATATATTTTTTTAGAAAATTAATTCTCTATTAGTCAAGTACTGTCCTAGCTCTAGTTTTCTATAATTTCTGGTTACGGTGGTGACAAGTCATGTGGGCTTGACCCGCCCTACCTACGAACGCCTCGGCCCTTTTCGCTTTTTTCCATTGCATGCACATATGGCTTGCATTGCATTGGAGGACTAAAACTGTCATTTCCAGCAAAGTGTCTCGCTCTCACTCTCACTCTCGAGCCATCGTCTTCAGCTCGCTCATTACTGCACACTTGCATCCTCACACTTGCCCTCCTCCTCCTTCGCTTCTTCTTATGCCTCCTCCTCGCTTCACTTGATCTCCATCTCCATCTCCATCTCCATCTCCATCTCCTCCCGATCGAGCTGTAGTACACGTGAAGCTTTTCTTGATTCGGGTGTATCCATGGCGCGGGATGACGACCCGGCCAAGAAATTAGCTGTGGATGGCGGCGTCGCGGCGGCGGCGCGGTGCTGTGACTTCTGCGGCGGCTTGCCGGCGGTGGTGTACTGCCGCGCCGACTCGGCGAGGCTGTGCCTGCCGTGCGACCGCCACGTCCACGCCGCCAACACGGTGTCCACGCGCCACGCCCGTGCGCCGCTCTGCTCCGCCTGCCGCGCCGCGCCCGCCGCCGCCTTCCACCGCGGCGACGGCTTCCTCTGCTCCAGCTGCGACTTCGACGAGAGGCTCCGCCGCGGCAGCATCGGCGGCGGCGGTGACGAGCTGCCGCTCGACGACCGCGCCGCCGTGGAAGGGTACACGGGTTGCCCGTCGATCGGGGAGCTCGCGGCGATCCTCGGTGTCGTCGGCGGCGATTCCGACAAGCCGGCCGACGACGGCTGGTGGTCCGCGAGCTGGGAGGAGGAGGCGCCACAGGTGCTGAGCCTGGATGACATCATCGTGCCGACCACCTCCTGCCATGGCCTCCGACCTCTCCTCACACCACCCTCCCCTGAGGTAGGTAGCAATAGTGCTTTTACTGTTCACCATCAAGATTCCCTCTCTTATTTTAATTTTAATGCATGATAACACCGTTGATTTTTAACCACTCATCTTATTTAAAAGAATTATTAAAAAGTCATTTATTTTGTTGTGACTTGTCTCATCATCAAATAAACTACTCCCTCTATTTCAAAATGTTTGACGCCGTTAACTTTTTAGTACGTGTTTGACCATTCGTCTTATTCAAAAAATTTAAGTAATTATTTATTTTTTTTTCATATCATTTAATTCATTGTTAAATATACTTTCATGTATACATATAGTTTTACATATTTCACAAATTTTTTTTGAATAAGACGAACGGTCAAACATGTGCTAAAAAGTCAACGGTATCAAACATTTTAAAACGGAGGGAGTATAATCTTAACTTATACTTAAATGTTATGTGAAAAAACAATGGCATCATACATAAAGAAAACGGATGTAGTATTTTGTCATTTGTCTGACCTTAATCGTGTGGTGCAAAAGAATCAGAGTTCGCCGGACAACGGGGAGCTGGACGGCGAGGTTGTCCGGCAGCTAGGGGAGCTTGCCAGGTCAGAGGCGGCGGCGCAGGCCACCTTTGTAGCCGGCGATCAGCTGGCTTCATGGGCATCACCGGAGTTCACTTCTGGGCATGGTGATTTTGGCATTGAGGCAGCAAGCACTACAGTACCTTCTTGTGAGGTTTGATTCTGTCACTTGACAAAAATTACTATGCTTTTGATGTTCTTGTTCTTGAATTCAATGTGTAAACGACAAGAGTATGGCAAAATCATGCGTGATTTGGCTTTTGCTTCCAAATTGTAGTATCAATTTAATAAAAAAAAAAGATTATGCAAAAAGCAGTAGCCAAAAACTCTGGATTTGGGAATGTGTCAAATGGTAAATTAGCTTACAAGCCCTTGGAGATTTCGTATGTAAAAACATCAAACATGATTCCAAACTTTTTCGACAAAGTTAGCATGCATGTATGGGCATAGTATTAGTAAATGCCAACAAAATGATATGCATTGGAATATCATATTCATACCAATAGAGACACCGAGACTATTCAATCAATGATATTCTATTTGAAACATATCGTCCTGGTAGTGATATTTATATGCAGTGTTAAATGCGACCTTTGTAATTCAATCCCAAAAATTAAAATCCCTTTCAATAGAGTGTCACATGTCCACATGTATGGGCATTTTAATAAATCCATGTTCATTATTAGCACTCCTTAACCCGGGTTAAAAACCACAATATTCTGTCTTTCTCATCCTGATTTTAATTTGTCACAGAATGAAACATGGATCATGTCAACCGATTGCACTGACCCTACCGATGCAAGCAAGACGGACATCGCACGCGAGGAGGCTCCAGCAAGCTCATCTGCCGAGCCATGCCTCTCTTCGCTCGTCGAGATTTCAGAGATTTGCCGCAGCATGAGCTACAGCGGCAGTGGCATCGACAATGGCGGCCATGATCCATCAACCCTGGCAATAATGCCAACGCAAGCTCTGCCCAAGAAGGGAGTCTATGACATCGCCTACCCTGACAGGGGCACGGTGATTTCGCGCTACAAGGAGAAGAGGAAGAACAGAAGGTGAAGCGAATTCTACTGAATATTTTTTCCTCCTTTTAGATAATGGATTAAAAACCCGGCCTCTACATCCAGCACAGCCAACCAAGTTCATACATGAGCACTGAAGCTCCACCCTTTACATGGTTAACAAAAACAAAATAACTTGGAACACAAAAGGTGTCAAGAACAACCAACAAAACAGTAAAACCACCATCCAGGCACACCACATCAAACAGACACGGGAATTCTACTGAATTTTTTTTTCCTCCTAGCTTGAAGGAGATGCATTCATTGATCCATGTTCTTGTGTTGCCCTGAAAATCGCAGATTCGACAAGCAGATCCGGTACGAATCGCGCAAGGCTCGTGCCGATGGCAGATTGAGGATCAAGGGACGCTTCGCGAAGTCGAACTAGGCATGATGATTTCTTGGTCGGCTTATCAGTTTCAGTTTCTAGCATGGGCAAGAGGGACCCTGCTATACAATTCCTCTATTTGCATGATGTTATTATTGATGTGTCGGCAGCATATGATTTCCTTGCGTTTTCTTTTCCCAGCTTTGTTTGTGTGGTAGCATTGTTCAGTAGAAGTAATAACTACATTTGAGGAGAGTTGATCCAAATCCAACTCTTCTGTCTCGTTGTAGAAAAGGTTCAGTGCTAGATGTTTGTTGTGTTGCCATGATGTTGCTTTGTTCCAATTCTGATTTAAGACTCCTACTGGTTATTGCAGAAAGGTTATCTATAGTTGCTTGTCTAATGGCAGATGATGAAAATGTAATCCATTTCCTCTATCTAAATATTTTAGACTAAAATTGGCACCACATTCTCTTTTTTTTTTGGCAAAAAAAAGTCACTATCATGTACTCCTGAATTTAAACTTTAAAAAGATCAAGAATTTCCATAACGAAAATTCCTAGATCGATCATTGCCCTGATGAAAATGGCTGACCAAAATTTATAGATCAAGTACCTATATAAAACCAAGTAAAGGACGACTAAAATTAAGCACATGGCTGATGTCCTGATGAAAAATACTAGCACTCCATTGTACGACAGGATCTACTTCAGCATGATTCCAAAAGATACTTGAAAGCATCTTGTTGCGATGTGTACTTACAGAATCTCAATTCACACATGCTTGAAAAGACAGTAGAGTAATTTTCAGAGGGTTTCTTGGATACTGTGGTCTCATCAGTCATCAATGTATTTTTACTCACCACTTCACCAGTGTCACAGGGACAACTGTCCCTGATTTTCTTTTTCTTTTTGAATAAGATAATTGTTTCTGAATTATGCGAAAGTGATCGTGTTACTCTGCTGATAGTTGCTTTCAGAACGTACGAGATTAAAAATCTTGGCTTTGCTTCACTACACTGATCATTGGAATGGGCCGGCCCAAAAGTCAGGCCGGGCCGGCACGGGTGCCGTGCTTGGGCCGGACCAAAACCCCATGCCATGGGTATAGTTGGCCAAATAGGCCGCCTGGCACGGTACGGCCTAAGCTCGGCCGTGCCTGGGCCGAGGTTAGTCGGGTCGTCACGGCTCGACCAACACGTCGGGCCGTGTCGTGCCAGCCCACACTGCCCAGTCATGGCCTGATACGACTCGGGCTGTGCCGGGCCGGCCCGAAGGCACAACAGCAAATTATGCTTCTCCACAGAATAAGTCTAATTTTCGTCCCTCAACTATGTGAGCTGTGTTCATAAGGCTAGACATAAGTCTATTTTGTACTATTCCTTTTTCCTTTGGGCCTTGCCTTATATGGTTATTTAAGTCTACTTTTATCCCTATACTATTTTTCTAGATCACTTTGACTCCCTCAACTGACCGCTGAATCTAAATTGTATCCCTCGACCGCAATACCAGAAATATTGACCTCCGAATTGTCAAAACCGATACAATTTGACTCCCTTGGTGGTTTTGGAGGGCGGTTTCGCTGACGTGGCGCACATGTGGTAGTGTTGATGATAAGGACATCTTCCACTATTACCCGCTGGCAAAGACGCAACAAGGGGCCAAGTGGTCCAGTTGTAGTCGGGTGGTGACCGTGTGAGCCTCTGAATTATCCTACTTTGCTTAACTTGGGAGGAGGAAGCCACCTTAAAAAGGAGAGCCACCCTTCCCCCTATTAGACTAGTTTTTTAGGGAGATTGGGCATTTCCCCGAGTGGGTGTGCATAAGAACTGTTGGAGTCCGGACAACCTTTAGTTATTGGGCCTCGGCCAACACCACGTGGGCCGGATGCATCAGTTGACTTGGTCTTCATCCCGCGTGGCATTGACGTGGCGCTTATGTGGCATTAAAATTAAAAAAAATATGCGGGGCCCATTTGTCATTCACACAAAAAAAAATGTGGGACCCACTGACATGTGGGTCCCACATGTCATCTTCTCTCTCACTACCCTTCTTCTTCCTCCTCTCTCCCTTATCTCTCTCTCCCCCTTGACATGAGCCGGCGGCGCGGGGGCTCGAGTGGAGGCGGCGGCGAGCGGGTGCCAGGCGGCGGACCTCGGGCGACAGGCGCAGGAGCAGCTCCTCCTTGCGGCCCGTCCTCTAGCCGCCCGTCGTGGCCGATTCGAAGCTCTGGATCTGGGCTAGGTGCGTGGCATAGCGTGTGCATACCTCCGGTGATGTGGTGCGGGACGCCGAGCGCGACGAGGGAGGCGTAGCGGTCGCACGCGCGCTGGAGCGCGGCGAGCCAGCAGTGCGCCCCGAATACATCGCCGCTCAGCACGAGGTCACGGTAGAGCACGTTGATCGGGTTCTTCTCCTCCACCTCCATGTGTTCGACCCTGGTCACCTGCACATGAGCGCGCGCAATGTCAGAGCCGAAACCAAACACCATTGTGGCACATTGTTAGTGCAAGGTGGGGAACATACACGGGGATTTCGTGAAAACCCGCATATACCTCGGAGTAGCTATTGGCCATGTTAGCGATGAGGCATCCCGACGGGAGTCGGCGGGAACGCAGCGGTGGCACGCCGAAGTAGGCGTCGCGCTGCAGGTTGACGAAGATGTCAGTGATGGCCCATAGCCCCTGCTCGATCTGTCGGCAGTAGCGGACGAAGTTCACCTCCTGTGCATGGCTGCGCAACACTATCGACGGCGCCACCACAATCGTGGTCCACCGTGACAAGCCACCGCCGCTGCCTCCAGGTCCACAACTCCAGCGACCGCCCACCCGCCATCCTGCCTGCCGCTCTGGCCCCCGCCCTCCGTCGCCGCCGCCGATCCGGACGCCGCTCCCCACGCACGAAGAGAAAGAGGGAGAGATAGAGAAGGGATGAGAGAGAGGAGGAAGAAGGGATAAAGAGAGGATGACATGTGGGACCCACATGTCAGTGGGTCCCACAAATTTTTTTTGTGTATATGATAAATGGGCCATGAATATATTTTTTAATTTTATTGCCACATAAGCGCCACGTCAATGCCACGTGGGACAAAGACCAAGTCAACATTGCCACGTGTGCGCCACATCAGCGAAACCACCCTCCAAAACCACCAAGGGAGCCAAATTGTACCGGTTTTGACAGTTCGGGGGTCAAGATTTCTGGTATTGTGATTGAGGGATATGATTTAGATTCGGTGGTCAGTTGAGGGAGTCAAAGTGATCTTATTCCATTTTTCTTCGATCGTGACATGCCGGGCCAGCCCACCGTGCTGAGGGTGCAGCCCAAGCATGGCCCGATTATCGAGCTGAGCCAAAATGGCATGCCTTGGGCTGGGCTGTGGGCCTCGAGCCATATGGCCATCTAAAGCCATGGGTCGGGCCTTTTGGCCAACTATAGCGCCAGCTCACCTACCCAACCAAGATTAGGGGGCTCCCGACGCTCACGCGCGCTCCGTGCTCTGCGCCTCCAAACGCGCGCGCCATTTTTCTTCTTCCCGCGATAAACCGAGCCGATGGCGCACGCATCCCAAGCCCCAAACGCCAACGCCAACGCGAGCTTTAGCTAAGCTAAGAGCTAAGCGCGGCCGGCACGTCGCCTTCTCCTTCCCTCTCCTCTCGTGTCGATCGCCGATGAGCAATCCGGCGATGTGCGCCATGAGCTCGGTGCTGGCAACGCATCACCACGCGGCGAGGTGCGGCGCCGTCCGCCGGGAGAACGCCTGGATTGCGCCGGCGAGGGTCGGGTTCAGCCAGGCGCGTCGCGGCGGCGGGAGGGACGAGCTGAGCGCCGCCGGGCTCGGCCGGTTCCTCGGCTACGCCACCGCCGATCACAAGAACAAGAACCATGAGGTATTGATTTTCTTTGGAGCTAGCAATGGTGATCGATCGAGAATTCGAGATGGTATGATGTGGTTGTGTGTGTGTGTCAGGTGGACGACCTCGAGCCGGCGAGGCTGTTCGTGGGGTTGCCGATCGACACGGTGACGGACGGCGCGACGGTGAACAGCGCCAGGGGCGTGACCTCCGGGATGCGCGCCGTGAAGCTCCTGGGCGCCGACGGCGTCGAGCTGCCGGTGTTCTGGTCGGTGGCGCAGCCGGAGTCGCCGGACCGGTTCAGCTGGGCGGGGTACAGGGCCGTCGCCGACATGGCCCGCGACGAGGGGCTCAGCCTCCGCGTCACGCTCCACTTCCACGGCTCCCCCGGCGGCGCCGTCCCCTTGCTCCCCGTCTGGGTCTCCACCGCCGCCGCCGACGACCCCGACATCCTCTTCACCGACCGCTCCGGCGGCCGCCACGACGACTGCCTCTCCTTCGCCGTCGACGAGCTCCCCGTCATCCACGGCCGGTCGCCGCTCGACTGCTACGACGCCTTCTTCCGCAGCTTCGCCGACGCGTTCCAGGACCTCTTCGACTCCACCATCACCGTACGTGTTCGTCGTCGTTCACGCAATGGATGGATGCTCCAGTGAGTGACACGTGTCGTTCTTCTTCTTCCTCCTCTCGCAGGACGTGACGGTGGGGCTGGGGCCGAACGGCGAGCTCCGGTACCCGTCGTACCCGCCGGGGAGCGACGGGCAGGGGTTCACCGGCGTGGGCGAGTTCCAGTGCTACGACAGGTACTGTTGATATTATGGGCATATAATGATTTAATTTATTCCATAAATAAATCATGACATTACAGATGAAAACTAGCATGAACGCATCATTAGATCTATACATGTAAACTACGCAGAATAACATGAACAGATCAAATATGCACAACATATTGAACACGTACCGAGGTGACGAAAAGACCGGCTGCTTGGTCGAAACTTTTCGCAGGTGTCTACGAAGGCACGAAACACGCGAGCGAAGAGGAAGGTGAGCCGTCGCGAACGAACAGGGAGCAGTCGCGCGAAGCGCTTCCCAAAAACCTTATTGCCGCCTTCTCCCGGTGCAGGACGTCAAAGGCAGAGGTTCCGGAGACCTGCTCTCCCGATCGCTGGTGCACGCCGGCGAGCGAGATGGAGTAGTCTACGAGCGACGGCGCAGTACAGAGTAGGAGGCAAACCCTAGATTGATTTTCGCATATATTGCGTGAAGACGGCGGGTCGGTTTATATAGAGAAGGATCGCTTGATCAGGGCGCCCGCACGATCTCTACTGCGCGTAACCGAACCGGATAAGTCGCGCGTAACTTATCCGGACTCCACGCCGTTTGCACGCACCGGATTTTTCGGAACGTTTCCAAAACAAAAACGAATCCGAATTTGCAGCAAAACAAAACTGCAAAAGGAGGCTGCATCTGCGCGGGTGAGGAGCCAATTTTTCGGACCATTCGACGCGTACGTCGTGCACGCGCGCCGCCTGCCAGGCGAGGCGAGCGAGCGCTCATGTGTTTCCCCTCTTCTCTCCACCACACATGCTTCAAGTGGCTAGGAGGGCATCCTCCCTTTTAAGGAGGTCCCCCTCTCCTAGAATAAGCAAGGTGGTACTAAACTCCACATGCATGCCATCCCATGAGGTGGGCTTTTGTGATTTTCCAAAGAATTAATCTTCGAGTGGGCTAAGGCCCATTCATTAATTCCAACAATATATCAACAGGTACATGCTGGAGCAGCTGCGGCGGCACGCGGCGGAGGCCGGCGAGCCGCTGTGGGGGCTGTCGGGCCCGCACGACGCGCCGCGGTACGGCGACTCGCCGGACGCGTGCGGCTTCTTCAACGACCACGGCGGGTCGTGGCAGAGCGCGTACGGCGACTTCTTCCTCTCGTGGTACGCCGGTCAGCTGGTCGGGCACGGCGACCGCGTGCTCGCCGTGGCGAACGGCGCGCTCGGCGACACGCCGGTGGAGGCGTCGGCGAAGGTGCCGTTCATGCACTGGTGGCACGGCGCGCGGTCGCGGCCGGCGGAGGCGGTGGCCGGATTCTACAAGAGCGGCGGGAAGAACGGGTACAGCCCGGTGGCGAAGATGTTCGCGCGGCGGGGGTGCACGGTGATCGTGCCGGGGATGGACGTGTGCATGAACAAGCAGCACCGGATCACGGGGTCCAGCCCCGACCAGCTGCTGGTGCAGATCAAGAACGCGTGCCGCCGCCACGGCGCCAGGATCGCCGGCGAGAACGCGTCGCTCGTCGTCACGCACACCAGCAGCTTCTCCCGCATCCGGAGCAACGTGCTCACCGCCGAGCGGATGAGGCCGGGGCACTTCACCTACCAGCGGATGGGCGAGGCCTTCTTCTCGCCGGAGCACTGGCCGGCCTTCGTCGAGTTCGTCCGCGGCGTCGTCTGCGGCGAGTGGCCCGACGAGGACGAGGACCGCGACGTCGCCGACAATCCCAACGCCATGGAGGCGCAGCCAGTATAAACTCTCCAACTACTACTCTCTTTTTATTTTCAAATGCTGAGGCCGTTGCCGACGTTTTATATAAAAAAGCCATCCCACTTTAAAAAGAAAACGGGATCAAACTTTACAATGTATATTCTCTAAATTGTCTGATGTGCTGATGAAATATCATCAGTTTAGTAGTACTTCAGACGGGATGATCCAAGTATTAGTGGATCGGATTTTGAAGTGTTGTACATGATATACATGTAATAATGTTTCATGTCTCTACGGAGATTGCATCCAGCTCAATTTTTAATTTTTTTAACAAACTGGCGAGGTGCTAATTTTATTGAATAGAGTAAAAAACCTATGTATAAGTGTGAAGAAAATATATATGTACATGGAAAGAAAATAAGACGCCTATGGTAGGAGCGAGAATAATCGCCTGGCTCCTGCTAGGACCCACGTTTTCGCATCTTCTTTGATTTTTGCTCCAAGTGCTAATGTCAAGAGTTCCTTTTGTCAGAAAACTCTCCGGTTCTTGATGTATAGTCTCTGAATTGCCTGATGTGCTGATGAAATATCATCAGTTTAGTAGTACTTTAGATGGGATGATCCAAGTATTAGTGGATCGGGTTTTGAAGTGTTGTACATGAATATCATGTAATAATGTTTTTGTCTCTATGGAGATTGCATCCAACTCAATATTTTCTTCTTTTTTTTAACACATTGGTAAGATGCCAATTTCATTAAATATAGTAAAAAAAACTATGTACAAGTATAGATGGCCAAAGGGCCCGCCCGACACGGCTGGGCATGGCCTAGCAGCCATCGGGCCGGCACGGCCCGATAGGCACTTCGTGCCGGGCCATGCCGGCCCATGGGCTGCACCTCCTGCCCAGGCATGGCCCACCAGCTGTCGGGCCGTGCCGTGCCGTGCCGGCCCAAAGGCATGGGTGGCTCATCGGGCCTTTTTTAAAATAAGTCTATTTTTCGTCCCTCCTCTTTGGGCTATTTCATATGTATAGCTAAAATAAGTCTATTTTCCTCCCTCCTCTTTGGGCTGACATATGTATAGCTAAAATAAGTCTATTTTCCATCCCTCCTCTTCGGCTGACATATGTATAGATAAAAAAGTCTATTTTAGGTCCCTATTCTTTCGTCCATAGCATATAATATGTCTATTTTTACTCCCATATTTTTTTGTGTATCGGGCCTAGCTGTCGGCCCATCGTGCCGGGCCGGCCCATCGTGCCGGTGGAGGGGCCAGGCACGGCCCGGTGGTCGGGCCAGGCTGCCGTCGGGCCGTGCCGTGCTTGGGCCGGGCCAAAATGCCGTGCCATGGGCCGGGCCGTCAGGCCTCGGGCCTTTTGGCCATCTCTATGTACAAGTGTGAAGAAAATATATATGTATAGGGAAAGAAAATAGGGCCTATGGTAGGAGGATCCAACTCCTCTGACTTTAGGTGCTAATGGCAGAGAAGCACAATAAATTGTGTCTTGTGCTACCGTGCGAAACAATGATTTATAGTTATTTATTGTAGCAGCAATGGTAAACAATAAAAATATACTAGGCAAAGGTACTATTTAAGTGTTACTGTAGTGTACTGTAGCAATCGATATCATCCATTCGCTGCAAATTGGACAGCTAAGAATACCCTAAAGTCATAGCATTGTGCTTCTGTGTGAAGCCAGAGGATCTCAATCCATGATAGTCATAGTCATAGCATTGTGCTTCTGTGTGAAGTCAGAGGATCTCAATCCATGGAAGGATAACTGCCTGGCTCCTGCTAGGACCCACGCTTTCACATCTTCTTTGATTTTCGCTCCACGTGCTAATATCAAGAGAAAACCCTCTGGTTCCTTTCCTTCTATATCTCCCGGGAAACAAGTAGGATGAGTGAGCGCATCCAACTCAAACTAATTTTGTAATTGCTGTCAGTGGATTACAGATCACTGAACTGTACCTCTGTTTTGATAAAAAAAAAAACATCGTCTTAACAGTTAATAATCCACTCAAAACAAAATTATGTATATGGAAATCTCTACCATTTTAATATATAAAAACCTCAATGAGAGGGTAATAACACATAAGAAGTACATGGTAACATTTTTTTCCATGAACAATTGAGCCAGAACATTATTCGATGTGAAAAAAAAGGGTCTCATGTACATTTCATGTTTTTTTTTGAAACAAGATCCAATAGCTCTGCTTCATTCTGGTAATAGAAGAATGTAACATAAGCATATCTATGCAAACAGATACATCTATGGATTTCCAAAGGGACAAGTATACACATAATCCTGAGCTGTCAATTGTGGTTATCCAACACCTGTAGTTAAACTCAAGACTTACAAGTCACTCAAATGTTGCAGGTTGAACATACTTCAAGAAAGCTAAATTGCAGGTTACATATCCCTACCCAACTAAAATGTTAGATTTAAAGCAACTTTTATTTATGTCTCTATTCTGCATGCTTCCAAAAGGTGGAAGCAACTAAGCAGAGTGCATGGCCAGCTTGCAATGTGGGTCATCAGGAAACGGTTCATTCGATCATGGAAGAAAGAATCACACCTTCACTCATTCGCACGCTATTTTGGTGTCAAAGCTGCTCAGACATATCGCAAACGCCTGAAATGCCGAGATAGGATAGCGGTAATCCATGGTGAACATGTCCTTCCCAACTTTACCAAACTGGAGGATCACATCATCGTGTTCCTGGTTGGTTGGGTTACTCTCATCTGAAGCCACCAGCTGGAAGTTCTTTACCGATGCAACCGTTACCCGTCCATGGAAGTTAAGGCACCAGCACTGCAGATGTTCGTGCCACCTCGGGGACTTGTTCTTCAACACCAGTTTGCTTCCATTTTGAGTGAGTAATGAAGCAGTTGAATTATTCGCTCGAACTGATTTTGATTTGAAAAAGGGAATTGATGTGAAAGATTCATGGTAACTCAAAGGAAATTCAGTCTGCGTCGGAGCTGTTCCTCCTTGTTCAATTGCTGATACAGGGATAGAATCCATAGCGCAGTGCATCCTTCTCGGGCCCCTATAACAAAAAAGATGATCAGTGACACTCCTTAAATAAATAGAAAGGCAGAAGCTCAGTAACTAAATCTGTTTTTTGCAGCATTGTCTATAAAACCATAGCTTTGGTTACCAACTATCACGATATGGCCTCAAAGTGTATATCTAAATTTATAAGATTGTGCACTACTCGTATATTTCCTTCTTTAGTAAAATTAGTGCAAGCTAGTAGCTTTACAATAAGATTGTTACAATCATTTCAAACGGTAGGTGCTTATCAGTCATAGCATTCACAAAACAAAAGATAAACACACTAACAAAAGTCAGCAGAATAGAAGTGAGTAGCATACCTAGAACCCAAAACGTTCAATTCATATGAAATATGTGAGACTGGATAATTCCCAGCAGGTATCCTGGGGGATAAATGGTTTGAACCAATCACACGTGCAGACTGACCCTTTGAAATCACATCTCCAGCATAAGGTGGATGGGCATCATAGATAGTAAATTTGGTTCCCAAGAAGTTAGATCTGTTTAATGGAAGAAAACGTTAGAGATTGGCCTGTCCATTTTGAGATCATGCTCAGTACTGAAGTATCTTTCAGACATTAATGTCAAGGGATCACCTTAGTTTGCCAACATAACTATCAGTCCTCTTTGATATATCGTTCATATCAAGCGAAATCAGGTACTCAGTGCATGTGGTCCTACGACATTTGCGTGCAGCAAGTAGGAACTTCCCATCATCAGTTAATGCTGCAAAATAAGGAGCTGCTTCAATCAACAACTAGCACATCTAGAATTCCAGATTACATAATTACACCCAATGTAAAAAAGGAAAAACATACCATCAGTCAGTCCAATGTACAGGTAATATGTCTGAGTGGTCCGGTTCCTTACAATGAAACATTTCATAGGAGCATCCCTCGGGCCAGGCTGCATAAAAATGTTGTCTAAGTGAAAAGGATGTACCGACAAAGCTTTGCAGTCCATAAATAAGTAAACAAACGTCATTTGTTCATGAATCAAAAAGCAAACAGACATTATGCAAGAACAGTGTTTATCAATCCACATAGCGAACTGTTTTTAATGAAAACCAACTTGTGTTCTGATGTTGTAACTTCCACGCTTAATAAACACCTTCCCATCATTGACCTACCGAATATAATTGCATTTTATCAGCTTTCAACACAAGCTGGGCCATCTGGCCTCCGGTCTATAAAAAGATATAATTGCATTTGACAATGGAGTTTCGTGCTACATAAATCCCACATTGACCCACAGAACGAGTCATCGAGGATTGTTTACTGATCTGACCTATCACTTTTCCTCTAGTTTTTACTTTATAGTACTCCGAAATTGAAAGGTAAAGTATGACTTTTTAAGTGGTTACCCAGCAATATAATTATTTATACGTTACTTCCCTTGATGTCTTCCTAACACACAACAGAAAACTCAATACCATTACAGAAAATAATTAATGCAATCGCCATCACATCGCCATCCATTCCCATCCAAACGAATGCATGAAACCATAGATTGATTACACGATGGCTTCGTGCTTGGCTTATTCTTCAAAGGCCCATTTAGAACGATTTTACTGTTGCAGCTTGTCTGTCTTCAATTAGAGTAGGAGGATAAGAAGTTTTTTACCTGACGCATGGGTGACGTTTTAGTCTTCAGATATTTTTACCGCTCTTTCTTTAGCGGTGTGCGTGGGGTGTTTTGGCTGTGTTCTCAAAAGTTGAGTTCAATAAAGCTTCTATTATCTTAAAAAAAATAGATGGATAGCAAAATGACTACAACGAGGATAAAAATGAGTGTGTTTAGTTCACGTCAAAATTGGAAGTTTGGTTGAAATTGGAATGATGTGATGGAAAATTTAGAAGTTTATATGTGTAGGAAAGTTTCGATGCGATGAAAAAGTTTGAAGTTTGAAGAAAAAAAACAAGGCCCTAGTGACAAATCAAGAACACTTTGGTATGTTGTCATGGAAATCTCACAAAATGAACAGCATCAGCAATTCAGATTCAGAGTGGTAAACAAAAAGAGGGGAAAAAAAGGGGTGCAAACCTGCTTGAGAGAGATTGGGAAGGTGAGGTTCCCGGACGCCTCCGGGGTGCGCACGATCTCCCTGACGATCCCCCTCCAGCTCCGGCAGACGCCGGCGCACGCCACCACGTCGCGGCGGCGCGGCCACCACCCCTCCGACTCCTCCACCCTCGCCAGCACCTCCCGCAGGAGCTCCGGCGGCAGCTGCGTCCAGCAGCTCTCCCGCATCACCAGCGCCGCCGCCGACGACTCGTCCGGCGGCTCCTCCGCCGCCGCCGCCACTCGCCGGACTCGCCCCGGCCGCGACCTGAACCCCCGCCGCGAGATGGCGCCGATCTCGCCCTTCACCTCCTGGATCACGCTCCTGAAAGACATCGCCTAATCTTCTCCTCCTCCTCCTCCTCCTAATCCAAACTCCAAATTCCCAATCCACAATTCGCAACACCAATATTTCCTCTCATTCCTCAGCTCATCTTTTCTTGAATTAGACGGAGATTTCGCGAGATTGGTGGATGAAAAGATGGAATCTTGTGCGAGAATGGATGGATGGGGATGCACTACCGCTAAGAAGGGATTCGTTTGGTGTTTGTTTATATTGAAAGCTGTGGCCTTTTCGTCGTCGTTGGCTCTCGTTCTTGTGGTTGGACGCAGACAAAGGATGTGGAGGCATCACAATCACCACGGCCTACCATCCAGGGAATCGATCTGATCTGACAGATCGTGCATGGAAAATTAATTAACAGGAAAAATAAAATTTCTACCGCTGATGAGTGATGACTGTTTCTTCCATGCATGCAGTGATCTCCACGTAGTTGTTGACAGGAAAGTTTTAAGTTTTAATGGTACTGTCACCTGAATCTGTCAGAAGGTTAAAGAGATTTAAGTACATGAGCGATTTTCTGACGGATTGGGATTGGTCAAAAGAAAGATTCAGTAAGAAATTAATAATGTTCCTCCTTTTTGTAGGAGTAATAGGTTGTCTTTTTCCTTCAGAATTTTAAACCAAGAATGAAGAAAAATCAAAAAATGTTGGCTCGGCCATTTTGAAACAGTAAATAATACTTTTGTCCCAGCATAACTTCATTTTCACTCATCCCACGTATATCGAATTAAAAATAATAATACGCTTTATTTTATCAAACAATAGTGTAATTGTCCCTTACTTTATTTAGTCTCAATGCAATCATTTCCTTCGGTACCAATATATTTGTTCTCACTTTTATAAACTCCAATACATTATAAAGTTACTTTAAAGCAAATAAAATAGTGAAAGATGAAATTACTTTAGAACGAAGAATTTAGTAATAACTACCTTTGTCCTTAAATATAACACTGGCACTATTCAGGGCCTATTCATTTGATGCCAAAAAAAAAACCTTACCAAATTTTGGCAATCAAAATTTTGACAACTATGATAGGATTTCTTATATAGTTAATAAAATTTGGCAGCAAACTAAATGTAGCCATTTTTTGACAACTTTACCAAAATTTGGTAAAGTTAAAAATGGCATCAAAGTGAACAGACCCTCAAGTTTAAACTTGAACATTGGTTGTGTTTGGAAAAAGAAAAAGAATTATACTCCATCTATTCTACAATGTAGCATGGTCTGATTTCATATGTTATTATAGAGTAAATTGCATCGGCAGTACTCGAACTTATCAGGTGGGTACAATTTAATATATGAACTTGTAAAATGCTCGTTTTGGTATATGAACTTATCTTGCGCGTGCGAACTAAGGTCAATAGGACATTACATGACTAATTTTGTTGATTTAGGTGCTGATATTAGGATATTACGTAAACAAATATGTGAGAATGTTGCTACTTCGATATACATTTGTTCAATAAAAGGATAGAATGAGATATAGTGATGATAGAGAAAGATATAAAATACCGAGCAATGATACATGGGTTAGAAACATACGAAATTCAAGATAAAATAGAGAACAAATTTATAAATATAGCATGTTTTATGCATACTCACTATACATAATTACGCCATATTCTAATTAACATCAGCTAGGTAAATTTAACCTTGCCAAGTCATTTTGGGCCTAGTTCACACGGATTAGATACGTTCGTGTATCAAAACAAGCATTTTACAAGTTCATGTCCTAAATTACACACACCTAACAAGTTTATGTAACATTAATGCAATTTACTCTTTATTATAAATGTAACAACCTAAGACATGTAAATTGTAATTTTTACCCCTAAACTACACGTGTTATCCATACTAATATTTGGCTTTATTATACTCATCCCCAGAAAGCAAGTACGTTTCTCTATCCTCTCCTTAATACATATGCCATCCTCTAAAAATTGCGACAGACGGAGTGTAAATACTTCAAAATCTGTTATATTATCAGCACAATAAATATAATCTAAAACTTTCTTTTATCGTAACGTAATATTTAGAAAAAGGTTATTTTTTTTATCAAAGTGACGTGGTTGTACCCCTACTACTCTACAGTTAACATCGACAGTTTTATATTCAATACTCCTATAACCATTCAGTTAGAGTTGACATTTGTTTGAGAGGCTGTACTTGTGCTTGTTAGCTCCAGATATGCATCTTGACACATTGCAGAGTGTGAGGCTACCAGGGACTGGGAGTAGCAAAATGTCACAGTCCACAGTCTGAAAACGAGGAGGTAGTACTAGCACATTTGCACGTTCTAGATTCTGACTTCTTAGTTCTCAAAAAAAGAAAAAAGATTGATTTTTGTCTCTGATGCAAAGGTGGTCAGCCTAGGTGCAAGATGCAAGATGATTCTCTCTCTCCAAGGACAAATTCTGCTTGTTCTGACTCTTCTCATTAACCTTAGGCTATGTTTTCAGCGTAAAGTTTAGATTTTGGTTGAAATTGGAGATGATGTGACTAAAAAGTTGTGTGTGTATGACATGTTGATGTGATGGAAAAGACTGAAGTTTGGACCCAAAAATTTTCATTTCACCAACCTAACTTGGGTTTTCTGGCAGGCAACCAACCGTTCAGTCAGAGAGTTCAGATTATGGTACCTCAGCCAAACGTACAATTCTGATTTCTGGGAAATTCATACCACTCAGTTCCACCCAACTAACAGCCACACACTAATTTCTCTCTGAACATTGTGTGCAAAACCATCACCTTGAGCCCAATTTTTCCAGCAAACAATGGTCAAATATTACCTGACTGGTCTAATATTATATAGGGAGTACTAATTCTCCATCTAACACATTATTTATGAAGAAGAAAGTTTTGTTTACCTGTAAGAGATAACAGTATCTCACAATTCCTCAAAAAATAACAGTGTTAAACAACCATTTTACTCTCTAATGTTATGTTCTTTTTCATCTTTAGTACTCAGCAAAGAGCCTGTCAGTGCTAAGTTAGGTATGGCTGAAGCATGGCTGGGATAAATATTGCTTAGAATAATGCTTGGTTTAGTAACCGGAACGTTATTCAAACAACCATTAAGGGTCTGTTTAGTCGGTGAAATGAAAATTTTTGGGTGTCACATCGGACGTTCGACCGGATGTCGAAAGGGGTTTTCGGACACGAATGAAAAAACTAATTTCATAACTCGACTGAAAACCGCGAGACGAATCTTTTGAGCCTAATTAATCCGTCATTAGCATATGTGGCTTACTGTAGCACTTATGGCTAATCATGGTCTAATTAGGCTCAAAAGATTCGTCTCGCGATTTACATGTAAACTGTGCAATCAGTTTTTCTTTTTATCTATATTTAATGCTTTATACTACCTCCGTTTTTTAATAGATGACGCCGTTGACTTTTTCTCACATATTTGACCATTCGTCTTATTCAAAAATTTTATGCAAATATATAAGATATAAATCACACTTAAAGTATCATGAGTGATAAAACAACTCATAACAAAATAAATTATAATTACGTAAATTTTTTGAATAAGACGAATGGTCAAACATGTGAGAAAAAGTCAACAGCGTCATCTATTAAAAAACGGAGGGAGTATATGTGTTCAAAGATTTAATGTGATGTTTTTGGGAAAAGTTTTTTGAGGAACTAAATAGGGCCTAACATAGCTCCAGAACAACAGGTAACCTGACTTGTACAGTAATAGATTCAGAGTTCAGACGTCTGAAACTGGCTTCTAAAACTCGAATATTAGGGAAGAACCTAATATCAACTAATTAGAAGGGGTAAGACTTCGAAACCAGGTCATCTAACCTACACAGGTAGCTAGCCGGAATACCCCTGAACGTTTCTCAAAAACAAGCTGGCTTCCTTTTTACCAGAAATGACTACCACGCTAAATTGACTTACTCCCTCCGTTTCGTTTTATTTGACACAGTTGACTTTTTAGCACATGTTTGACCGCTCGTCTTATTCAAAAAATTTAAATAATTATTAATTCTTTTGCTATCATTTGATTCATTGTTAAATATACTTTTATGCATACGTATAGTTTTACATATTTCACAAAAGTTTTTGAATAAGACGAACGGTCAAACATGTGCTAAAAAGTCAACGGTGTCAAATAAAACGAAACGGAGGGAGTATATTGCAAACCATGCCATACCATTATATCAACCAAGCAAAATTATTATACACACAAATCTATTTTGGCGGAGAATTTCATTTTACATGCAGGGTGGCAACTAGGAAAGAACACCCGCCAACTAAAGATGGTAGACAGGTACAAATGGGGCTGTTAATCTACAAAATTTACAGGTTGTCGGAGCACATCACCCTGTGTCACTCACTAGGGTTCATCCTGACAGAACAAACCAATCATCCCGAACCATTATCAGAAGGTCCTCCTGGCTCTTAGGCCTTGGTGAGGCACCATCTGAAGTTCTGAAGAATATAGGCACTATCAACAACTCATTAGCAGCAGCCAAACTCTACAAACCCAAAACTTGCCTTCTCTCTTTTGCTGTCACATTTTACATGTATTCTCCTCATCAACCATTCCATTCTCATTTCTTTGCACTGTTCATCTTCCTCCATGGCTCTGCTCGGTTGGTGATCCAGGGGAGAAGGGCACGAACCCGCGCCCGCCAAACATCGGTCGCATCAGCGCGTCGTCGAACTTGCGCCAGTAGTAGTGGACAGTGTGGGTCGGCTTGGTGAGGAGCATCCGGAGGCTGGAAGGCCTCACAATGTTGGTTGTACTCTCGAGGTCAGAACCTTGCATGCTTGTCAGGAGAGGAGAATGCAGGGACTTTGGTGATGAAGGCTCAGAGGTGACAGGATGGCCTGAGGCCGGTAGCAGCAGCCTGATCAATGGCTTTGTCATCATCCCAAATACCTAATAAACATTTATAAATGTCAGTATGTTTCACAAAAATAGATGTTTTGCACATTTGAGCTTCCAGGGATTCTGAACAAGGATTTAGCTCGTAAACAATCAAGTGATTGGATGCGCAATTCGACATGATGACACATGTATGTCTTCCTAAAGAAACATCCAGAAAACTAAAACGAAAAGCTAGTAGTAACAAACGACAATTAATTTCAAATAATTGTGCCATCCTTGATCCATGTCATGTGAGAATATGGACGATGAGTCAATGACTGGACGGTACGGCAATCTCTTCAGAAGGGATAAGAAGAGGACAAGATAGTAGGGACAAAAAGACATGATTTCATTCTCCGGTCAGTAGTTGGTTTTGGTTGGATTAGAGCATGTTCAACATTACAAGCTTCCAGATTACTTTTGTCACAGCTGACAATTTTGATTTGACAATCGACTTTGAGGAACTTATTATTAGGTTAGCTTAATGCTGAGGTCCTGTTTAGGGTGAGAATTCAGACATGTGGCACAAACTTGGATGAAAAGAGGACGCTTTGCGTTAGGCATAGGTTGCAGTAAGATGACTCACCATAGTGCTAAAAAGAACGACAGTGATGGTGCTGGTGATCATTATTGCATTGCCGTGCAGCTGAGTATGGCCAGATCTTGTAAACTGCAATTGCAACGAGACAGTTAAGCTTAAGGAGAAGAAACTAAGACATACTTCTCCTGGGACTAATTAATGGCAAGATGAGAAGAGAAATACAGATATACAGATGGTGTGAAGCAATAGTCTTGCACTGACGGACTGACCTTATTGTAAGCAAGAGCAATCGACACAGCTCCTCTCATCAGCCCAGCCCACCATATTACAACCTATCGAGAGAAATTCAGTTAGCAGATGGCAAGTCGAATTCAAATGAAAATTGTCTGATCATACACCAGATACTCACTTGCTGTCTCCAGGTTATTTTTTCATTCGGTGCCTTCTTTGTTAGGTTCGACAAGAACGACAGCGGGAATACAAAAGCAGCTCTTCCAATCAGAACCAATCCTAGCAAAATTGAGCTTATCCCAATGGATTTGCCAGGTCTGCGAATGGGAAAGAGAAGTAAAATTGAGTCTCCATATCCATAAATAGGAATTAGGTATGAGAACATGTATCAGACCTGTCACTGGCAAACTCCCATTTTTCAATATCCAATGCATCCATCCCAACATACAGGAAGAGAAAAGTCTCAGCAATGAAGGACAGAGTTGCAAATGCGTGCCTGAGGTGAAAGGACAAAACAAACCAGTAAGTTTTGTTTAGTTTTTCTACGAACTGAAGCTAATCATTAAACAGTAGAATATGGAATGAGAATTATAATTTACTTTGTTGTAACTCTTGAACTCTCTGTGACGTTATGCCAAGTGTAATGTGACATTACAATACCACAGAAGAATACGGTGAGAATGCCGCTCAAATCTAGCAACTGCCAATATCAAACAAACAAAGTAGATAAAATCAAACTATAAAATGAAACTATATGCAAATTTTGATACTGCATCAAAGCAGAGGCACACCTCAGCCAGCATATATGAAAGGTAAGCCATGAGCATCATAAGGGCAACCTCACGGTCAGTAGAATGCCTGGAATCAGTCACCAACATCCAAGTTAACACTGAGCATAAAACCGTTAACTAATGAGGGTTTGTTTGGGCTTAACTAACCTTCCAATGTATAGCTTCTTGATTATGTATGCACTGAGCAATCCAGCCTGCAGGGTGGAAGAAGAATATTAAGTTTACATGTGTCAACCAAGCAGTAGAGTCAAGACAGACAGTAAGATGTAAAAAGTGAAACTTAAGAATCAACTTACAAATACTCCAAGGAAGGTGCTCGACAAAAATAAATAAAAGAAGTTCCCCAAGAATTTCAGAACGACAGCCGCATCTATGTGGACAAGATCAAAGTTCTGTAGTGCGTTGAAAAGCACAATTGATGTAGCATCGTTCACAACACCTTCACCGAATACCAGACTGTACAAAAAGGGTGTCTCATCCTGATTGAGGACCTGTTTTGGGGTTAAGATCATTACATTAGCACGTTGAATCCAGGTCTCTCTCGAGGTATGGCAAAATTTGTTCAACTAACCTGCAATGTGCAGACAGAATCTGTCGCAGAAAAGATGGCTCCAATTGCTGCACATTGAACATAACAGTCAACAGGAGGAAATGATGCTCACATGGTGTCAATATTAGTGCCAGCATGATCATGCAGAAAGATAGCCATGGCTTACCAAGAAAATCTCCTACATCCAGCGTTCCAATGTTCATTCTGCTGAATATTGCAATGGCAGCTGAAATTAAGAAATTGATCAGAGTCAGAATCTCAGAAGTCCAAAAGGTTACACGGAACAACAGAAAATGAAAGCACTACCAACTCACGGAAGAATTAAGAATCATTTCTGAAAGAACGTACCAATAGATATTGTGAAAAAGGATATCATTGTCCCGACGGCTCCAAATAATGTGATCGTCATGAAATTCCGGAAGAATTGCTTTTTCTTTACCTGAAAACTGATGGAAAAATATTTGTGAGGACCAGGACGATGCTTTTTTTCCCGTAGAATTATTCAGCAACTTGTGTTATTATATGAATAAAAAAAATAAAAGTTCAAGCAAAGCAGAAAAGGAACGAAAATAGAGTAACTCTGAACTCAAAAAGGACTTGTGCCCTTTCCCAAAGAGAGACTTTGCAATTCCTAAATGTGAAAGCAAACATGGGCCCATAATATTCAGCTTTACTCCTACAACCCTACTTCAAATCTATATGGATGGCCCAAAAACCTTCAAAAGGGGATTAAATGCTCAACCAAATTCGGACTAGCATGGCCACTGTTCTTTCAGAAATTGATCACGCCATCACTCTTGACAGGACCATATCCCTCTCATGCCTTCATGGTGTTGGATGACCAGTACTACTAACCACTGTAAATGGACCAAGAGTAGAACTCTAGGAGACAGAAGCTGTTGCACAGTCAATCAATATATAATAATTAAAATTAAAAAACAAATAATCTTTCAGCATTTCTCAATGCTTCATGCAATGGTCAAGATTACAGTTGCTACTCCATACTGTACCAATCAGCAGTTCGAGCTGGCAAGTCAAGGTATGCCAGTAAGACGAGAGTAAATCCATCTCTGTCTTAAAGAGAAAACAAAAAAAAAATTCACCCACAACCTGCACAGTATGAACTAGCAGCCATGTCTAAGACATCGACGGACAGACAGCTAGGCCCAGAAGAAACAAACAAGAAACCAGCCACGCGTACACAGTGTACCACCAGCAGCAAACAGATTCCCCAATCCCCAGAAAAACCTTGTACACCACCATGTGCCAACAAAAGAACTGAAGCCGAAATCTAACCACAGCAAGAACACGCCGAAGCGTTTCTACTTACCCTGCATTGAAGATGATCGGAGGGAGGAGGTAGATGAAGAAGAGATCCTCACTGAAGACGAATAAGTGCGAGCTCTTCCCTTTGGTCATCAGCAAGATCACCACGCCGGTGCAGAGCCCCTGCCCAAGCAAGCAAGCAAATCATCGAGCAGCAAGCGTGCGTCAGCAACAATGGCGAATCAATCGATCAATCAATCACAGCAATGGTGTGTGTGCGCTTACGATGATGAGCGCGGTGATGGACTCATTGACCCAGCGATTCTCCTCGAGGAGGTGGCCGAGGACGATGCAGGCGCAGAGCAGCGCGACGAACAGGTTGATGGACACCACCGACGCGTAGTCGGAGGTCGTGTACAGAGCCCCCAGCCGCGCCGCCGCCACCTCCATCCCCATGCCTCACCGGCGGCGACTTCTCCGGCCACCCACCGCAGAGAAGAGAGCGAGATTTCCGCCGCAAGATGCGGAGCTTTAACCAACCAATCCACTCCCCTCTTGCTCGTTGGTGAATGCCTAATTCGACAATTCCCGGTAAAATTAGAGAAAAAAAAACAAAGAATTCGATTCGCAGACGAACAGATTGAAACGAGGAACGTGGGGGGGGGATTCAGGTTGAGAAATCGGGATTTGGTATCGAGACCTCTCTCGGTTGGCTTCGCATTCGCGCGAGCTCGCTACAAAACTCTCTTCTCTCTCTCTCTCTTTTCGTAGTTTTTTTTCGGATGCGTTCGTGATGAGCCGTATATAAAGCGGGAGGGAGGTGGGTCCCACCGGGGTGGGCACACGTGGCGGGATTTTTAGTGGGTCGTGTTTGGTGCGTGGTGTTTTGGCGGTGGGGCCCAGCGCACAGCGTGATCTGGCCCCGACAGCCAATTTGGATAGTCCAGGTGGATCCGCTGCATCCACCCGTATTTGTAGTAGGATATGGGGTGTGTTTGCCATCCTGTTTAAATTTAAATTTACTTTCGATACAAAATTGGTTTAAGAGGGCCTGTGTCATGCTGTCATGCTCGCTCTTGATTTTTTTTTCTCGGTTTTGTTTCTTCTTTTACACGTGAAATGCGGCAGATTTCTGTTTTGGTTTGTGGAAATAATTCAGCATGTGCTTGCTAGGGTTCAAAGGCAGTTTCTTTTTTTTCCCTAATTTAACAATGCAGGCTATATTTGAAAAAAATTAAATACAGCAGTAAGTGTATTATACGACTCTCTGTCTCTGTTTTTTTATGCTAGATCATTTTTGTTTTTCTCCTGTGAATATTTTCAAGATTATTGCTTAGTATATTTACATGAAAAAAGAGCATTTTCCTGAAAAATAATGGAGACAGCTCCATGTGTTTCGAAAACAGAAAAAGACAGCATGCAACTGTATTTACACCGGTATAGCACATGATTTAAGCAGATTTGAGATCGTTCAATCATTTTGTTCCTAGATCCTTGATTATTTTGGCCCTTGAACGCTGCAGGAGTCATATTAAATTCAGGAGAGAAAATGCATTATTCATGCTTCCATTAATTGATCCAATCGTCCTTTCAATTCTGGCGTTTTTTTGGCTGCAGATCGATCTTCTCGTGCTGCACTTTGCTCGTGATTTATCGATGATTCAATGAATGGTGATAGGGATTTAGAAAGATCGTGCAGCCATCCAAAACTCACAAGAAAGTTCCGTGATTACGTTTCAAGTCAAGCAAGAACTTCGTTTTCTCTTTTTCTTTTTCTTTCAGAGATAGCTAGCCGAAACTGATCTTCAGATTGAACAAACAAAAGAAAAACACCCATGGTTTCCGATTTTAATCATTGTGTTTAGAACATTAGAGATCAACATTGATTTTTGGCGAGCACATAATTAATTGACTGCTTAATTGTCTCCAAACGAGTGAGAAACATGCACTAGCTGGTAATCACAGAGCGTGTGGCCCCACTGGCACGTGTGGCTGGAACCAAATTAAAAGCCGTAAGCTAATTTAATTTAACTAAGCCCTCTTTTGGCCAAGCTCTTGATGCAGTTATGCTGAATTTCTGATCCCAACAGAGAGCAGTAGCTCTGCCTTGTGTGTTTGTGACTGTAGCAGGGTAACATGACAGAAGAGAAGAGACACAGTGCTGACAAAGGGGAAGTATCTGGTGTAATCACCTAATTCAATGCAACTATGCAACTCTCATCCTACATCGTTGGATCGAGAAATGGACATCCAAGATTCGTTCACGTCACCATAAGTTAAAATTTAACTCGCAGATTCACTCATGAGTTAAAATTTACTGGGAGTTATGATGACCTGGACGAATCTCGGACGTCAATTTCTCGATCCAACGGTGTAGGATGAGAGTTGCATAGTTGCACTGAATTAGGTGATTGCACCTGATACTTCCCCGTGCTGCAGATGGATTGTTCCAGAATGACCTCTGGACTAGCTAGTGGCCCTGTTTGGACGAGCTCCTCCAAACAGTACAGCTTTTGATCCATATTCTGAGAAGTTATAGTTGTAGAGAAGCTTAGAATTTTAAGCTCCCAAACAGGCGTATAACATAAAAGATTACCTGGCTTATTATGTCCAGTAGCTGCACTAGTAGATAGATCCCCTGGTCGAAAGCAAATTAACAAGCCAGATCGGCTGCATGGAAATGGACAGCCAGCAGATGGACCGAACTGCAGGCTAGCTAGCTGAAAGAAAATAATCTGAATCGATCGATCGGTGGCTGGCTGGTCGGTTAATTGTGCAACATGCAATGTGCAGAGCCCACATGCAGATGCAGATGCAGTGGATGATCGATGCAGTAGCAGCTAGCTAGCAGGAAGCAGAAACCGGTGGTGGTCCATTGTATTGCAGCAGCATATGCCTCAAATTTGAGTATTGAATGAATTTGTCGAGCTAGCTAGCTACTACTACTGGTGTTACTATCGAGATTAACTGAATATTTGATTGTTTAGCTGTATATAGCTGAGATAATGAGGTATTATTCTCTGTTGATAAGCCGTCTTATGTCGATCGTCTTATCTGAAGAGAGATCGTTTTCAGTGATGTGGGGACAGTAATTACATTGTCAGTGCGTGGCTGCTAATTAAGCACAATTATAGGAATGGAGAAATCATAACAGAGATCAAGCTAGCTAATTTGACCGCCTATGCTACAATCTTTTTCTTGTCTAGCTAATCGGGATGTTTATGTCAGCAGGTTGCCATGTTACGCACGAGTCCTACATATATCCGTCGTCGCTAGCTGCAGAATGTATATATCGCCATCAGAAAAATCGATGCACAAATTCTCTTTCCATTACCCGTTGATCTCCGCCGCCTCTCGATCATAGTCTCACATGATGGCATTATTTGATCCTACTTACGTTTTAGAAAAGATCACCTTTTCCCTGACTTTTCATTTATTTTTTATCACAAAGGAGAAAAACTTAATGATATTAAGTACAGTTATCAGGGGCACGTACAGAGCAGTACAGTAGTATGCAACTTCTTTATCCATGGAAAGCAGAAGCAGAGTAGAGTATTTTTCAGCTTTTCATCACACAACAGCTAGTAGTTGATTAATTACAGCTACTCTCCGATCGATCTCCATACTGTCAATAAACAAGCTGACGAAATTAATCGATCACCTGTAACAATGACGCTGCCATGCATGATCGATATTATTAGTGCCTGTTCACTTTGATGCCATTTTCAACATTACCAAATTTTGGTAAAGTTGCTAAAAAAATGGCTACATTTAGTTTGCTGTCAAAATTTGGCAACTATATAAGAAATCCTACCGGCACAAAATTTTGGCAATTTTGGCAACTATGCCAAAATTTTGGTAATGCCAAAATTTGGTAAGGTTTTTTTTGCGTTAAAGTGAACAGCCCCTTAGTCTAGGACTCCTTCAGTATATTGTTTTAACTTTTTCTTACCACGTTTTGACCATTCGTCTTAATTTTTAAAAAATAATGCAAACATAAAAAAAGATAAGTTATGCTTAAAAAATACTTTTGATAATAAAGCAAATCACAAACAAAATAAATAATAATTCTGTAATTTTTTAAATAGGACGAATGGTCAAACATTATAAAAAAAACTCAAAACAACAAGTATTTTAGTACGGAGGTAGTATGCATTATTCAGGCTATGCAAATTAAGGTATCATATCATCTTTGGTTTGAATTGAAAATTAATGACGTCTTGTCAACAAGTGATCATTGATACCACCTTACCTGCGTGCAGGAAGGAATGCAGAATGCAGCCGCATATGCTTTGGCTTTGGGAGGCATATTGTATTTTGTACTATATTTCAGGCACCGTCCATTGCCGCGGCTTTTGCTCGATCGGAGGCTGAATTTGCTTTCTGTCTGTGAGTGAAATCCATCATGGAGAGATCGCGAGATGATGTACATGATGGTCGAGCAGACAAGGGGAATCGGAGTAGGGGTGGGCATTCGGTCTGACCGAAAATTTCGGTCTCGATATTTAGTCTTTCGGTCATTTCGATCTTTGAAAAGTGAAAACCGAATTTCAACGGAAAAATGTCAGAATTGAGTCTCGGTCTCGGTCCTGACCGAAATTCAGCAGCATTTCCATATATGCAAAGAAAAATGGAAATTTTCAACATAAAAATCACAAAAAAATTCATAATCACGTATAAGTAAATACTCTTATTAAGTTGCATGTCTAGAAGAAGTAGGATGTGAAAATTAAAGTTTAATCCTATTAAACTTAGTGGATTGTAGGTTGTATTTTGATATATCTTTTTGTTAATTTGGTATTTTCGGTTTATTCGGTTAACCGAGAAGGCTAACCGAATTGACCAAACAAAATTTAGTCTTTCACTGCCTAAGACCAAATTTTTCGTTCTCGGTCTCGGTCTCGGTCTTTTTCTGCCCACCTCTAAATCGGAGGAGGGCTCGCTTTGATCGAGCTCACATTCTCGTTCGGTGCAGCTGCACCTAGCATGTCTGCCGTCCGATCATTTTCACGATGCGAGCCTACTTAGGTCCAGGGGCAGATCAAGCATGATGATGGTGGGTTTGAGCTTTTACTCACGAGAACGATGAAAACTTCCACTAAATATTTTTATCATACATAAATAGGAAGGGGCGGAACCGTATCCTCTGACATTACACAGTAATATCACGGTGTGACATTCCTTCAATCCACACCATCCATTCTAAATCAACGGCCGTAGATTATTTGGCATCCAATTAATCAAACTAATTAGTGAATTGTGTAGTTATAAATTATCCCTAGATCAGATATTGCATTTTCAAGAGGCAAACATCGTTGACTGGTGGAAGAATCGTCAAATAACTAGTACATGATGATAATTAGGTTTCACTAACTTGTTAGATGCAGCGATTGGCACATTATCTTGGAGGAAGTGAATCCTGTGCATCAATTTTGTGCTGCCATCCTCCATCAGAACGAGGCAATTCTGAATCTACAAACCCATGGGTTAATGTTTAATGAAGATGAAGAGACTGCTTTAGTGCTAACAAAAAAAGCCTATTAAGTACATACCTACAACATAATCTGTTAATTAGCTTGATTAGTTAGATACCAATTAATCTGTGGCCGTTGATTTAGAATGGATGATTTGGATTGAAGGAATGTCACGCCGTGACATTACTGTACAATGTCAGAGGATACGGTTTGATGACCAAATTTGGATCTGCACTAGAGCTAAGCAGATCTCTCAGGCCACTGCGTGTTGTTTTTCGCGTCAACACCGGGGCTGCAGTTTTGTCTAATTCGCTTAGATACCATTGCTATTTATTTCTGGATCCATCACTGCTTAGGTTCAAATTTTGATGCAAGCCTAAGGTGGCTACTCTAGGTGCAGCTGCACCTAGCTAGGCGCTAGAAAGACTTTTTGTTATATACTCTCTCCGTTATAAAATAAAGCAACTTAAGACTGTTCAGATTCATAGTACTATGATACTTTCTATCTAATTTTAGATTGCAATATTCGTGTAAAGATGAAAAGATAGTTGTATTACTCTAGTAGTTTGATTGATTCTGCAGCAGGAGAAACAAAATCACGCAGTTTTTGGCTTATCCCCGACAGTAATTCAGTAATTTGTCTCAACTTTGTACGCTGGATCTATCCATACAAGCATGCATGGCTAGTAGATCTCATTAGATACTCCGTAGTATACAGATACGACTAGCTAGTAGGATAGAGACCATCCTATACAACACAAGAGCATATTCGTAACGTACGCTAGCTGGTTGGGTTATCACCTGGTCCTGACGGTGTACCTCCTGCCTTATTACATCAACGTCGTCTGGCGAGCTACTCCCTCCATACCTAAATAATTGACGCCGTTGAGTTTTTTAAATATATTTAACTATTCGTCTTATTTAAAAAATTTTATAATATATATAAAACTATATATATACATCAAAATATATTTAACAAATTAATAATTATTTAAACTTTTTAATAACATAAATGGTCAAACATATTTAAAAAAATTAATGACGCTAAATATGTAGGGACGGAGGTAGTATCATATATGCTGCCCTTGGCAGCATTCGGGCGGTGTTGTGTTGTGCGACCGATCGACAATGCCTGCATGCGTGGTTAATTAGTCCATTGATCGACCAACGTCCATGATTGATGCCTCCCAGCAATATATATGCTCTCATCCCGTACTAGTCAGATCAGATCAGATCATCATCAGGGGCTATTTAGATGGGGCTAATTTTTTTTTTCTGTCACATCGAATGTTTGACGTTAATTTGGAGTATTAAATATAGATTAATAAAAAAAATTAATTTCATAAATGAGAGCTGATCCGCAAGACGATTTTTTTAAGCCTAATTAATCCGTAATTATCAAAAGTTTACTGTAGCATCACATTATCAAATCATGGCGTAATTAGGCTCAAAAGATTCATCTCGCGAATTAGTCCAAGGTTATGGAATGAGTTTTATAATTAGTCTATATTTAATACTTTAAATTAATTAGTGTCTAAACATCCGATGTAACAGGGACTTGGAATAATTCCCTGTTTGCCAAACAGCAAGTAAACGTGGGATGTTCTCTGAAGGTTTGGATAGATTTTATATAAGAGTTTTACTCCATTTTATGATTTGGGTAGTACGAGTACAAAATGTAGAACTAAATGCAGGACTGCTTGTAGAGGATTTGGATGTGCACCCTGATACATTGGGCCTGATCGATCGATCGATCTGCCAGCTGGGAGCACGAGAGGACACCGTGGCGAACTCGACCACGTCGTCGTCTCCGGTCGTCATCTTCCCGGCCGAAACGTCGACGTCGGCGCTGGACCAGGGCGACGGATCGACGTGTGGCCGGAGATCGTCGTCGTACGCGAGGGCTGACGTGGCAGGGGGATCGATCGCCAACCTGCGATATACTGTATATAAAGATTCCATCAGAAAGATCAGCTGAAACGTGTGGTTTTCAGGGAGCTAGCTAGCGTTAATTATTAGCGTACGAGTACGTTTCTGATCGATGATAATTTGAGCTGCAGATCAGATCGAGATGATGCCAGATCTCAAGGGTACTGATCGATCGTGATCGATCATGCATGTATATATCGATCAGGACAGATGCTGCGTGACTATTATCTGTCTCTGGCGTTGCAACCTTGGCTCCATCTATCGGGTAATGATCAGTACCAAATTAACACGAGCTTTTTGCATAATTATTAGCTTGCCAATTCAGCTGAATTATTATTATTCAGTCCCTTTTTAGTTCGAAAAAAGAAAATTTTTGGGAGTCACATCCGATGTTTGACCGAATGTTGGAAGGGGTTTTCGGACACGAATGAAAAAACTAATTTCATAACTCGCCTGGAAACCGCGAGATGAATCTTTTGAGCCTAATTAAGCCATCATTAGCACATGTGAGTTACTGTAGCACTTATGGCTAATCATGTACTAATTAGGCTCAAAAGACTTGTCTCGTGATTTCTATGCAAACTGTAAAATTAGTTTTTGTTTTTATCTATATTTAGTGCATCATGTATATGTCCAAAGATTCGACGTGGCGTTTTGGGGGAAAAAAATTTAGGAACTAAACCAGGGCGTCAGTTGAGGGAGATTAAATTAATTGGGTCGATTATGTATATATGTATATAATATATCATCATTAATTCTCTAGAAAATTAATTAGTGGATGAGGAGATCGAGCTTAATTAGCAGTAGCTTAGCTAGCTGCCTCCCAACCGTGAGAGCCCAATGGCCTCGCCCACGGGCAACATATGTGCCAAAAGTTATTGGGTATACAAATTCGAACGAACGAGTGTCACAGCTGGTTTGCTTACACGAGAGAGGCTGCGAAAACAATATTGCCTTTTGCTTTTGTCAAGCTCATTTCATTTCACGCCATTTGGTGTGCGTGACCGTCCCAAGTTAGTCCACGCTACTTCTTGATGATTCCCGTGTTACTAGTACTCTAACAACCTTTTATTTTTCTCTATTTTTATCATTTCCATTTTTGCCAAGCATATTTTATATTATATAAAGATCGATAGCGTGGGTTAACTAGATCCGTTCCATTATAAAAGTGTATGATTCGATATTTTTGAAATATATTATTACAAAGGCTAGAACCTCCGGTGTCACCGATACTTCTAAGAATTTGAGTTGTGCCATTATATACGTCTCATATGTCCTTCTACTGGCTTTTGCGTACAATTTTCTTTTATAAAAGTGCCCCTACCCTCTATTCATTGCTCGAGCAGGAGGACAACCGCCACTACAAAGGAGAAGCTAGCCATGGTGCGTGCAGCGTGCCTCTCCTTCGTAACCAAGCTCGGCGGGTCCCCCTCATCAATGGCGAACGGCAGTGGCATGTGTGGTGTGCCCCTTCTCTTTCCTCGGTCGAGATCTGTCCCCCAACCCCAAGTGTGAGGTCAACCGGCTTCTTCGATCCGGCAAATCTTAGCGGTTTCCCTTTTACTCTCTTATCAGAAGCGCTTAAGAAAGCTGTTGGAGCTCGAAGGAATAGGCAGCATGGGAGAAATCTGAGTCCGGCAACAATCAACTTCTTACTCTTGCTTCCTAGAGGGTGGCAACCATCCTCCTATTCGATAAAATGTTGAGGATAATTGGCGCTAGGCACCTAGGTGTGCATGGTTTAGTGTTGTGGGGAGGGGTGGTCTACTTGCGGCTAGATCTAGCGATGGTGCACCTCCCGAGCATTTGATTTGGTAGGCCCGCACTTCCTTTGAAGGAGGTAGTATTACTCTTAAGTACTTTACCTTCGTTCCAAAATATAGTAATATAAACTGTTTAGATTTGTTATACTGAAATATATCCTAAAATTTTTAGGAGTAGAGAGTATACTTGAGTCGTCCTTGGAGCTTGGAGCTACTGACAAATCAGGTGCCCTTTGCAGTTTGAGTGCAGGAACTCATCTTTTTGACAGACAGCTAGGCAGGCAGTCAGCTTAAGCCGGCTGTTCCATGATTGTGCCGGGCTGGAAGGAAGTTTGTGGACGACAAACTCGAGCGTTCTGCCGGCGGCTGGCTCGCGTGAGGACAGGATGATGGCCATCATCGACCATCTCCTCCTCCTCACCAGACACCAGAGTGCTTGCTCCCGGAAAAGCCGGTTTAAAGCAGCTCATCATCTGGTATATGCAGATACCACCACTAGGCACTAGCAGTAGCATTAGCAGGATCAGGATCTCTTTCTTTCGATCTCCTCCATCCACGCAGCGCAGCAGATCGACTTTACACTTTGCTGTCTCGTCTCCGGTGCATCATCATCTTGTGCCTCTTGACAGTGCAAGGAAAATCAATGGAAATTGAACAAGTCACATTGCTGCTCTCTTGGACATTGCATTGCTGCCATTGCCCAACAGCCAACAGACATGAAGATCTTTGTGCATGCATATGAATCAATGGAAGTACAGTATATATGGATGTTGCCAAGGTGTATCATATCCTAAGGTGAATCCCCCGATGCACATACAAGTATGAGATTTGCTTCGGTCCAACAATAAGCACCTCACGGTACCAAATCGTTTCCGATCGTTGGATCTAACAATGCTCATCATATCCAGCTAAATCTAACGATCGGAAATGATTTAATTAATACCGTAAGGTATCGGTATCTCGAGATACTTTTTGCTGTAGCGGAGCAAATCTCTACAAGTATATATATGCTTTTTGTCCACCCACAGTGTCATCTGTACAAAGCAGAAACTTGCCTGATGGGATGGGCCGTCGTGGTGTGGCCGACCATGCGCGTGATGTAGGGTTTAGTTTGGTTTCAACTCAACTTTTGCCCCCATCAAAATTTTCATAGTCCTAAAACCGTAGGTACTACTAAATTTGATAGTGTATATTTCCAATTAGTGCAGCCAAAAACTGATAGCAAACCAAATATTTATTTGATACTACCCAAGTTGCCAAAATTTTGCTAGGACAGTAGTAATTGGCTTCAGCACTTTCAGGAGGGAGAGCTGGGCCGCCTGGCAAAAGAGAGGGACATTTAACTATTTGTCACTTTTAAGATGTACTCCCCCCGTCCTATAATATAAGGGATTTTGAGTTTTTGCTTGCACTGTTTGACCACTCGTCTTATTTAAATTTTTTTTGGAATTATTATTATTTTTGACTTATTTTATTATCCAAAGTACTTTAAGCATAACTTTTCGTTTTTTATATTTGTACAAATTTTTTGAATAAAACGAGTGGTCAAACAATACAAACAAAAACTTAAAATCCCTTATATTATGGGACGGAGGAAATAACAATTAAGGATTTGTCACTCGCTGTCTATGATATATGTGCCCTCATGTGTCTACTCCATCCGTCTTAAAAAAGGCAAACCATGGGTTTCCGTGCCAACGTTTGACTGTCCGTCTTATATGAATTTTTTTTATAATTAGTATTTTCATTGTTGTTAGGTGATAAAACATGATTAATACTTTATGCATGACTTATTTTTTTAATTTTTTTATATTTTTTTCAAATAAGACAGATGGTCAAACATTGGACACGGAAACCAGGGTTTGTCTTATTTTGGGGCGGAGGGAGTATGACATATGGATCCAGTGATAAATTCTTTATCACCACTCGTAAGAGTGGCAAATAGTTAATTATTCCCAAAAGGGGAGCTTCAGACTTGTTATTTGCAATGTTTTTGCACAGCCGAGAGAAAAAGAATTACTAAGCTTTTGCACGAACCTCAAAGACAATGTCGACGTAGTATCAGCTCACCTGCAAGACTTTCAGAGATATAGCTAGAAATACAGTGGGAGAATTCTTTTGGATGAGAACAGAGACTCACATAGATCAGAGAGGATGGGGGGATTCATCTCGTCAGATATATGTACAGCTATCCCGTGTGGCGTGTGACATCAAATTTTGGTTGGATTCTAGCAAGAAATGGTTGCCAATAACAACTGATCATTTGCCTTGTCCCTTATCAGCAGCTAAACGGATGTTGTTGGACGAAACGAAGATGCTACCACTGCATTTGCCAACAAAAAGGATTTAGAATAATTGGAGCAAGGAAATATGAATTGTGCTACCTTTGTCACAAGAAACTTGGTTTACCAAAAGGCATGAACCAAAATGCAGTGCTATATATGCAGGCATGCAGCCAGTATTAACGAAAGGAACTTGCAAGCAAATTAACTTAGCTGATGAAATGCAGATGTGGAGTGCTGTGCCAACAATGACACTGGCATAGCACTAAATTGTACGTTATTAGATAATTAATATTACTGAAAACATCCATCTGCATCTTCAGTTCTACAAACAGCATCAGTCAATGACAGCATTCCTAAGCACTAAACAAGAACCTGTAGCAGATAAATGTACAAAGGCATAAAACGCAAAGCAGCAAGAAGCTAAATCACAAACTCCATTCTATTATCTATCTATATATCCCCTATTCTAGTATGGGGGAAAAAAGAAGAAAGATTGATGTCTACCTCGGGTCACAGTGAATTGTAGATTTGTACTCATTACGTCTGTAACTGCAAAATGAATTGAATGACGGAAAAACTGAGTGGGGTGATAATCCAAATGCAAGTGCCAAGCGAACAAGAGAGAAATACTTCAAGAAGTAAAATCAACTTACTTCATGTATTTGGGGATTTTTTTTGAGGTGATCATCTAAGCAATTTCCGTGGCAGAAAAAGAAGGAAGGGCGGCGGAATCCGATGCTAGCTAGGGTTCGGGCCTTGGAAGCCCAATGGGGGCCTCGAGGGCTTCTCTTGGGCTGCAGGAAGGCCCAAAATGCCTAGCTGACTGATTTTGGGTATTTGGGTGCTCCTCTTGGTTGTTTTTTTTGTTGGAATTTGTTTGGGACGACGATTTCCCTCTCTCTAATGTGTGACGAGTCTGATTCGTATCCCATAACCACAAAACCAGATATTAAAAATCCCTCAACTATTATAAAATCGATTCATTTTGCATCTATGAGTGGTTTGCTCTATGTAGTAGTATAGTCAGCGGTTTTGTCTAACGTGAAGAGTTGACTTAACACTTACATTAGAGTTCTAAATGGGGAAAGTAAAATAAAGAAACCCATAGAACCCATGGAAGTCACATGAAAAAAGAAAAGAAAAACTATTGTCGCCGCCTTAACCCCTGCCCCCGCCTAAGGATGAAAATGGTCGGAAACGGTATATTATTATTATTATTTTTTGAAAACGAACGGAAATGGTCGGGAAATTTCTATATTTATGAATTTATCTATTTAGTGTCAACGATGGAAAGGTGCCCCATGGCGATGAAGCTTCTGCACGGTGGAAAAGGAGGAGGCTGCTGGCGGAGCTCATAGAGAACCAAGGTGTCAGCGATGGCATGACTCTCTCATGGCCCGACAAAGCAAGAGCAAGTTAACTGCTGCTATGTAGCACTCCTCTCGCTATCGCATCCAACAACTACGAGTAAGGGTGCAAGCTCCTCTCGCTATCGCATCCAACAACTACGAGTAAGGGTGCAAGTTTATCGATCCGTCAACCTACTTATGGATCAAACAAGTGGATAACTTTATTGTTTTATAAATTTGGTTAAAGAAGTTTTGTTTTAAAAAATTTCAAAACAACTTATAATATAAAATTGAGGAAATAAAAGAAACCGAGCAAGTATGATCCCAAATTATGTCGATAAATGTACAGTCAAAGTAACAGAGAGAAGAGAGTTTGAGGTACTACTAACAGTTGTTAACAGGTGTTTGCAGGCAGGAGTACGAACGGGTCTACAGGACATAGGACTGATAGGACTACTGTAGACTGTAGAGGAGAGAGTACAGGAGGAGCAGCGTCGGCAAGGTTTTCTTATTAATATAAGGAATTTTGACATTTTCCTTGTGCTGTTTGACCACTTATTTTATTTAAAAAATTTGTACAAATATAAAAAACGAAAAGTTGTGCTTAAAGTACTTTAGGTAATAAAGTAAATAAAAAAATAATAATTCTAATTTTTTTAATAAGATAAATGGTCAAATAGTGTAAACAAAATGTTAAAATATCTTATATTAGGGGAGGAGGGAGTATTGCACTATCTCTAATTTTATAACTCCATGAAGCTTTTATTTAAGACTCATAATTAGTATATTAAAACTAAGAACACAGTACACGAAGGGGGACATGAAATTATACTCCATGAAGCTGGCTTGGAAAATTAATTAATGTACTCCATGTTTCAACAACCAAGAACACCTGGAAGTCTGGAGCTAATAAACTCAAGCAAGCAGAAGCTCCTGCAGTCCTGCTACTACTAGTACAACGGTCGGCTCGGTTGGAATTGGATTTTGGATGCTGCTGGGCCCGCCGAGGAGCGCCAGCCACACGCACGCTCCACCCAACTCATCCTCCTTTTCTACTCGCACTATTTCAGCTCTGCTTTGCACTTTTGATACTGGTGCTTAAGAGCAAGTTTAATAGTATAGCTAAGTCCTAGCTCAATCTAATCGTTCATTGTACATACAATAGTTACATACAAACTGCATCTTGGAGTCCGTGCTACAGTCCCTCCTTATTTATCTTCTTAAAATATATTTGCAGCTGGCTTATAGCCTGCTATTGTAACTGCTCTAATTAATCCAAGGGAATTAGCTCCGTGATAGATACTGATTGATACTGGTGCTTTGCACTTTTGATACTATTTGGCACCATCTCCTCCTTTCTTCCATCTTTCTTTCTTTTTCTTTATTTATGACTACTCCTACGTCCTACTAGTAGTACTGCTTCGTGCATCATTGGAGTCTGCAACGGCTAGTTGAAACCCAAACCCAAAATATAATTTCCCAGGTGTCATTTGCACCCCCACACTGTGCAACAGTCTCCACATGCTTCTTCCTCCTTTGACCTCGTACTCCTACAAGTACAGCTATGCGATGCACAAAAATCTTTTAAAATATTGACATGGTAACTGCCAAAGTTAGTAGTACAGCACATAAGAGTACGGGTCTGTTTGGTATCAAATTATTGCGGTATTGCCCTACCAATTTCTTGGTAACTTTAATAGTAGAAAATACATGTTTGCTTTGCTACCAAATTTTTGTCACAATAGTTCAAATTCAATACTGCTAAGATGTTGGTAAGGCTAAAATTGACTTCAAACCAAACAAGTCCTACATTTTTATAATAACGCGGGGGCTTATCTCATCCGTTCCCTCCAAAACAAGGAAAGGCGTAATCACTGTAAAAAAGAAAAGAAAAGAGAAAAAAACGCTTAAAAGGGGAAATAAACTAGCATTTTGGGACGTTTTGGTGCTAATTTGGCACGGATGTAAAACCTGGAAACCGCGGTATTGTCTCCAGTTCACTCCTGGACGATTATCTTTTTCACAGCAAACATTTTCCCTTTTTATGGAACAAAACTTGAAAATTGGAATCCGTTGTACACATAATCTACTGGTTTTCTTTTTAATCAACTCTCGTTTCATAAACGGGCCCACATGCCAGACTGATTGCCAGTCATGAGCAAGGGTCCAGTCTAAATTTTCCCTGGGAAGTCTGAGCTGGATGACAGGCAAGCCAAAATTACTGCTGCTGTGCTACTACTAGTAAAGTCTGACTTGATTCAAAACTGAAACTACCAAACCATTTTTCCATTTAGTCCCCACACTTTACATGGACATGATTTGGGCCAGTGCATCCTCTGTAAAAAAAAAAATTCCATACGTATTTCAAATTCTAAACGCAATGCGATAAGAAAAACCATAATCAACATGGACAATTTCTCAAATGAGACAACATTGAATATAAACAGTATAAAACCGCGGTCTTTCAAGTAGTACAAAGTATATGAGCATACCCGAATCGGTTATTAGTAGAAAGTGCCAAAAAAGGGGCATTTTTAACGCATGCGAAACAACCAAATTGGAGTAGGAGGAGGAGAAAAAGAGGAAGGGAGTAATAATCAGCGATCAATAAATACCATCTTCTCCGAGGGTGTCCGTGCAAGAACCAATCCCGAGTCCTCGTCGTCGTCGTCGTGGAGCGGCAGGATTTGAATCCTAGCGAGAGTTTTTGTCCGCTTCCATCTCTCTCCCTCCTCCGCTTCGCAATCCTTAAATCTGCGGCGCGTACAAGAGTCCCGGAGAGGAGAGAGATAGAGAGAGAGAGAGAGGGCCGCGGCCACACGACACAGGTGCGGTGGTTTCCGTCTCCGTTTCTCTCCGAATCGATTACTCCTCTCTTCGATTCGATCCTTCGTGTTCTTGGTTGCTGCTGGGTATGCTTGTTCTTCATCGTGGGGTGCGACATGGCGATGCGTTTTCTTCTTCTTCTTTTTTTTGTTGCGTTTGAGGAATTTCAGCTTTCTCTGTCTCCGTTTCGATCTCGTGTTTGCGAGAGATTTTCGTCTTTTTTTTCCTTTCCCCCGCGGCTTCCCTTTTTGCGAGATACTTACTTACTACAACTCTGTTCTTGATAATACGGAGTAACTCTGTTTCTTTCTTTTATTACTCAAGTTTTTTTAGTTCATGTTTGTCTCAGTGTTTAATTTGATTGACGGCAAAGGTGTTAAAATTAAATTAAAAACACGCTCCTTCTCGTCAGTAAATGATGTGCTCATGATGTTTTCATTTTTTTTTTGACTGATTTGGCGATTTCAATCTATGCTCCTAAGAAATTGAAAAGTTCCGTTTTTCATATTAGAGATCTCTGGTTCAGATGCCTTTTTTTAATAAAAAAAACAAGATTTTCTACTGTGCACAACATGAATCCCCGTGCTTCCGATTTCCTTGCGCTGTAATGGTTAAGTTTTGTGCTTGTAGTTCCATGTTATTCAAGAATCAAGAGAAAGTCTCAGTCAGCTATCAGTCCACTTCAAGTCATCCTGTTTCTCCTATATGGTTGCATTTCATAAAAATTGTCTAAACTTTTTTTTTCCTTTTCTAAATCACATATCCAGAGAGAATTATTATAAATCAGTGTATGGTTTGTCTCCGTGGTGAAATATCTATGTAAAAGTAACGCTTGATATTAAGATAACCTTTGTACTCTCCTTAGGTCTTATTAGCTCCTAACTTGTTTATCTTTGTCATGGTCTTATAAAGCTAGTTTTTCTTTTCATATGTTGTATTATCACTAATTTTTATTTTGTTTCAGTGATTGCTGCAGGTATTATAATTAGGTAAGTGAGGACCGAGGAGACAAGATGGTGCAGAAGGAGCTTTCCCAGGCATGGTGGTTCGACAGCCACAACCTTGCAAGGACATCTCCATGGCTAACCAACACGCTTTCAGGTTAGCTTCGATCAAGTTCCACTTATTACCGCAGAATTTTACATGCTGAGTCCAGTTGCAATGAAATTAATTCATGAACCATCCTCAATAGTTAATAGCATGCTTCAGTGTGATTTCAGCTGCTCTTGCCATAGAGGAATTGTTTCGGCAAAAGCTACTTTGTTTCTTCAGTTGTCATGAATTTCCATGGTTCTAAAGTTTGTCATACTCCACCTGAGGTTTAGATGAAAATTTCTCCATGAACCATGGCTCCAAAATGCCACATCTTTCCAATCTTTTTGAAAAAAAAAATCTACTAAGTCTATATTTTCATATAACAAGTACAGGTGTACTTATCTACATTGCCTCTTGCAGGTTTTGAATTATGTAGTAGCTACTAGTTTTAAATAGTTGGGACTACCTATACATTTGTCGATAAATTTTCTACTAAAAATTTGACAGATGTAATTATAATACAATTATAGTGTAATTACACTGTAACTTGTATATAATTACACTGTAACTTGCATGTAACTACAGTGTAACTTGTACTTAAGTTTCACGTAATTTTGAATCGTTAGATCTATTACAAGATTTGTTCTGGTGAGGAAGAAAAAAAATCACAGCACACACATATGTGAAAGGATTTGTTCCCACGACCTCTATTTTACTGAAATAACATGTTACCGAGAGATTCTTGAAAGTTACATATAAGTTACATTATAGTTACAGTGTAATTATATGTAAGTTACAGTGTAATTACACTAGATTGTACTGTAATTACATCTGACAAATTTTTGGAGGAAAAATTATCAACAAATATATAGCAAATTCGTAAATAGTTTGTTAAGTACATTCCCTTTGATTCGATTGCAGAACTAGATGACAAGACCAAGCAAATGCTCAAGATGATCGACCAGGACGCCGACTCGTTTGCGCAGCGAGCCGAGATGTATTACAAGAAGCGCCCCGTCCTGGTGGACATGCTCGGCGACCTGTACCGAACACACCGCTCGCTGGCAGAGCAGCTTGATCTCCTCAAGAACGGCAATGGCACACGCCACACCGTGTTCGGGCCATCCTCCTGCACCCAGAGCTGGTCTCATCAGGCAGCAGCAGCAGCAATGGGTGGCAAGGGAACAACAGGGAGCAGGTCTTCGATCTCACTCTGCTCAGACAACTACGACTCTGAATCTGAAGTCGATGACCCTGAACAAGAAAACATGGAGGAGGAACTGTCTGAATCCGAGGACATGATGAAACATCCTTCACAAAGCCAAGCGGATCAAGCAGCGCAGCTAGAGCTGATGCACGCGGAGATCGAGATGCTCAAGGAGAAGAACGCGGAGCTGCAGAAAGCAAGTGCAGAGAATGAGATGCTCAAGCAGAAGAACGAGGAGCTGCAGAGAGTGAGCGAGGAGAACATGGCCCTGAAGGCGGAGCTCGCGGCGAAAGACGAGGAGAAGAGGGAGGTGATCAGGCAGCTCGCGTCGTCGTTCGACATCGTCAAGAAGGAGAATTTCACCTTGCGGGAGTACATCATCAAGAACTCAAAGAACTCCTCCTCCTCCTCTCGTGGCTTCGATTTCAAGAAGCTGACCAAGGACCTGTTCACTGCGAAGCTCTTCACAGCTCACTGCAAGGCTACTACAGGTCCAATGGTTGCTCTATGAGCTCGGTGCAGCTGATGAACTATTTCAGAGAGAAAACGGCGTGCACACCATCCTCCTGACAAACCATTAGATCCATGAGAATTGTTGTAGCTCATGTGCATATAGATAGATACTATAAGCATGTGCCCCCTCCCTCCCTGTCTGTCTGTTTGTTCTATTCTTATTCAGGTTTAGACAGTAGAGGATTCGTTTTGACTGTCCCTGTGAAATACCCATGTGCATCAGTACTTACTGCAGTAGAAGAATTAGCCGTATGAATGTTTGTATGATATGATTGTGTTAATTATAGTAGAGATTTTGGGTCATGTTTACATCAGAAAGCCGGTGTCATACCGAATATACAAACTGTTTGCTGCCATCATGGAGTTCATACCGAATATATTCTGAACTTGAAGATCTGAATTCGCCTCTGAGTTGAAACGTGCTGAAAAAAATTCAGACAGGTGTATCTGTCACGCCGAAACGTGCTGCTGACTCGACAAATTGCTAGTACGAATCGCAATGACCAGAAAAAAGACTGACATTTGTCAAAAAATCAGTTGAATTTCAAACAGCAAAGGTAAAATTTTCATAGGCTTTTGAAAGAAAAACACAAATCTCAAAGCAATACATCCTCTGCCATAAAATATACGGCGTATTGGCTTTTGTTTATATGGTCTTCAACATTAGACTTTGATTTAACCATTATTTTCTTTTGTAATATTTTACAAAAAACTAAAAAATTGTAACATCGTATGGAAATTTGTCAAGTATGAATTTAATAAGAGCGAATTGCACTGTGTACCACATTTTATTGCCAAAGTTTTACTTCGAACAATCCTTTATTTTTTTTATTTTGAACTAAGTAAAATTTCAAAAAAAAATTACACTTTATAACACCCTAACTATCTTCTCTAATCGCATATAGCATGTCCTCTGGGAAAAGGAGGGGGGGGGGGGGTCGGCATATAAGTGGGAAAGACTGTTGGTGTGTGTGGATGTTGATGTGCTTAAAATCATTGATGTAACAATCAATTTGGGTTTGAGGGGCGAGGGTTTGGAATGTAACAAAGGAAAAAAAACACCTTGTCAAAGTAAAAAAATATCACCTGAAGGGTGGTCGAAAGATCACCCTGCTCCCACTTGATGTTGTGCCAGATCGAGGGCGCTGTTGGGAGCTCAATGTCCTCGTTAGTTTTATGGGGAGCAACCTAGGGGTGGTAATGCGTCAAGACCCATATATACTTTCACAACCCTATTTCGCCCTCAAATGTTTTTTTAAGTTAGAAAAGGGATACAAAAGCAGTATACCTTAGACCGTGTTTAGTTCCCCTCCACCAACTTCAAACTTCCAACTTTTTTTTTCAAACTTTCAACTTTCTTCAAACTTCACTTTTTTTCCACCAACTAAACACAGCCTTATTTTAAATCTTACCCTCAAAATTTTGTAGGCTAAAATACTAGGCACTACCCTAGGAGCATGTGAGAAGAGGGGAGGAAGGAATGAGAGAAGAGGGGAGGGTGGGGATGATATATGGGTCCTACCGTGTTGTTAATTATTTTTAGGTTGTCACTTACATGTGTATATCACCAGTTTTTAAGGCAAATTTTGCCACCGGACATCACAACTTCATGATTTACGATTTTATCAGTAGCACACCGCGCGAACTCACTTTCAAGGAAAACCACTATCTAAATGCGTTTATTTGCCGGCCGACACCACATCCATTAAAATAGTGTATTTGTGCCGACGTGACGATAAGGGACCAAAAATTTTACGCGGAGTGACCAAACTACCCCTGGCGTTAGGGGCCCCATCTGTCAGGCTCATCTTCTACCTCCGGTCGGGGGCAGAGTCGGAGCAGCCGCCGCCTGACCGCCAAATCCGGCCGCTCCTTTTGCTCTCGAGGGGAAGTTCTCCCCTTATCCTCCTCAACCGTTTTCCGCAAGAATCGGAACCAATCTCGCTTATCTTGTCCCCGTATCAATCTCGAACTTGACTTTACTCTCTCCGTCCGAACCGACGGCGAGGAGTAGGACCACTACGAGGAGGCAGAGGAGGTGGAGCACAGGGACCAGCCGCCGAGGATGCCTCCTAGAGGAAGAGGAGGAAGCACCGCTGGTATTCACAGCTTCAAATCAGCCCCAAATGCAGCAAAGCGAGCAGCGGCACCGAGGGGAGCAGCAGCAGCGACGGAGCAAGCAGGTTGTCGGTGTCACTGACGGAGCGAGCAACGGCTACGGTGGAGCTGGTCGCAGAGTGCCGGCGGGACGTCGGCGAAGCAAGCGAAAGGTGGCGGAGGCAAGCATATGTCACAAATAAGATTCGACAGCGACGACGAGGTGTTGGAGATGGCGGCGAGCTCCATCGTCATTTCTTTTTTTTTTCCTCTGTGGTTTTTTCTGCAGGATGGAAAGACTTGATCGAATCTGGCTTTTTTTTAAGGGTGTAATCTGATTTTTTTTCAATTATCGTGGATCAAATCAGATATTTTAGCTAGCTTAGAGAGAGAAACAGACAGCTAGAGAGAGAAGATGTTCTTGGGTAGCTGTAGAGAGAAAGAGGAAGGGAAGAAGCAGCTGCCAAACATCATCTGAACGTGCAACGTGCAGGGGCAGTTTGGTCACTCAATATAAAATTTTGGGCCCTCTATTCCTTCGTGAGCATGAATACATTATTATAATAATGGATGCGGTGTCCACTGGCATATTCAGAGAATGTTTTTCTTATAAAGTGAGTTTGTGCAGCTAAAACCACAAACAAAATCGCGATGTAGTGTAGCAAAAATTTGGCTTTTAATATTGGTTGGTTAGGAATTATGATATGTTGCGGCAAATAATTTGAGGGAGTAAAAGTAGACTTCATTTCTTGTTATAGAGCGATTCATGAAGCGCCCAGCCCAATCAATTACCTGGAGGCAGCAGCCCATGTATATCCCCCCGAGTCCAAAGAAAGTCGAAGCGTACCTGGCTGGCTCAGCAGCATGTCAGAAGCATCTTCCCCAAATGGGAAGGAGAGGAGAGCCTCCTTTGTGATCGTCAGTCGTTGCATGGCAATGGCACCTCTCCTCCTCATCCTCCTGGTTTTCATGCCCTGCCAAACAATGCTTTTTACTTTTGACCGCGTGACCTCATCACCTCCCCTCTTCTCCATCATATCTTCGTGGTGGATGAATCCCCTTCCTCAGCACAGCAGCTGCTCGACTCGATCAACGCCACAAGGTGAGTTCTTTTCTTGGTGCCTCGCCGCCGCCGGTATAGTAGGTCTCCCGGAGCGCCATCTGCTCACCGCCGGCCGTCCGATGCTCATATCTTCTCTCTTTGTCCTTTGCAGGTTACCATAATTAATGGCCAATAATACGATATCTCATTGGTGCGGAGTTGTGTTTGATAATTTCAAAGATTCTATGGTACGCTTGGACTGTGCACAGCAGTTCCGCGGGAATGGTTTTGTTGTCTTCGGCAGTGGCAACACAGGCCTCATACTGACCTGTGAACATAATTTGCCCAAGACCGAGAGCAATGGTACCGTGGCCGTGGTGGTGGTGGGTTTTCACACTGGTGTAAGGTTTGATGCTCGAGTCGTCTATGTCGACGCAGGCAGAGATCTAGCCTTGCTCCGCGCTGATACTTTTAGTGTTCCTTGTACTCCTTTGAGATTCTGGGAAGATGGAGATGTTGTTTCTGGGATTGATGTTGTTTTACTCGCATTCTTCACAATGAAGTATGGCCAAGTTCTTGTAGAGCCAGGAACATTTCCCGGAAAGATACTGTAAGTTCTTGTAGATCTACGTATTATTACCGGATCGGAGTACTATACATTATCCGCTTCTTTCTTTCTTTCTTTTTCTCTATCTATGTAATGTATTGACTCACTAATGCAGCTCCGAACCAGTTTGGGATGAAGAAACTGACAGTGGAGAAATTAGATCGGACTATACATCCGAGAGTGGCACATCAGGGGCACCTGTTTTCTTACAAAGAGTAAACAAGGTGGTTGGAGTGAACAGTGGAGCACTTGGTGGGACTGTCAAGACTGCTATTTCTGTCCGAACCATACATGCGGCTTTAAGACAGTGGCTTCAACCTGGAGATGTAAAAGTTCAACAAAAGTTCAAAGATTATACTTTTTCTCCAGCTTGTACGATGCATCATTTTCTTAATGTTTTTTGTCAGGAAAACATAACAATCGAGGAAATGCTAAAGAGGATTGCTGAACAATGAAATACCAGGGCATTATCTTCAACTTGATGAGTAGGTAATGTTTTGTTTCTGTTGTACAACTCTTTTCGATTTCAACATGAATAGTTTCTGTCGCAAAAAGTGGCTTCCACGTACAGGGTTAAGTACGTACGACAATAATGTACAGTTTTTGACGCTCACAATAATATACAGTTATGAGCTTCTAAACAAGTAAATATCCCCTAGGAACCATTCTCCAGCAAATAGTTGAGAAAGTAATGTGCTGTAACAATCAATCCACCAAATTAATTCTTAGTCTCCCTTTCTCCAATATCTTCCGGCAAAATTCACGTTTTTCTTTGTTCCTCTAACCATAAAGTATTCCTAGAGTAATGCTAAAAGGTTAGATTTGCGTGTGCTAAAAAAGTTGTACCGATAGTATATTTTACTATCTCCGTCCCAAAATAAGTGTAATCATAAGTTTCCGTGTCCAACTTTGATCGCCCGTCTTATTTGAATTTTTTATAGTTAGTATTTTATTTTATTAGATTATAAAACATGAATGATACTTTATGTATGACTTATGTTTCTTATTTTTTTTAAAAAAAAATCAAATAAGACAGACGATCAAAGTTAGACATTGAAACTTATGGCTACGCTTATTTTGTGTAGACCAGTTGATTTGCATCTAGACTGACTAGACTCTACAATGCAGGTCACGGTTCATCTAGCGTCTAGGTAAAACATAGACCATAGAAGAAATATGTCTTCACTTATCAGAAAAGGGTAATAAAAACTTTTGACCGTATATTATAGAAAGAAATAAATGCTAAAAGAGTTCACTTAATTAATAATTGGCCTTACATAGAAACTTTCAAGATGATGTTTTTTTTTCTAAAAAAAAGATACTACTTCAATCATTTACTAATATTCTCCTATATCCTCAAAGAACAACCAAGTAGTGCTATGGAATGAAATATAGTAAGAATATAAATTTGGTTACATTACAAAATTCACATAATCGGCAGCATATTAGAAAACAGAAACACCCAGTAAACATTTAATTTCAGCTAGAAATCAAGAGAACAGCCAAGGTTCAGAAACAGAGCGATGTCTGATACCCAACTCTAGAGACTAGAGGAACATTTGTTTTAGGATTAATCTTGACTTGTACGTGCATGTTTTAGAATATTTGCACGAGTTAGCTGTGTATATGTGTTAAACACTTTTGAAATATATTATTGACAAGCACGAGTTAACTTTTGAAACTGTGTAGGCAAGCAGGCAATAATTTTATTGCCGTATCAAATTTAAACACTTTTGAAATATATTAATGACTTGAGATTTTAAAATTCGACACAACGCATTCTAGGACAGCTTCAGTTCGAGAATAGAGGGAGTAAATTAATTAAGGAGAACGAAAGGTCACTGAAGCAACTCAGCAAGTTGTGTATACTGTTATGTTATGTTTTTCCTGATCGAATGCTTATGTTTACTTCATTGGCTGTTGAAACAGGGGATTGATGGACAGGAAGAATTGATTCGGTTGGAAGTAAGAGACAAGTTATGTTAAAAAATATCAAGAAATGCTTTCACTGAAATGATCCGCACGTGGGTCTATTTCAATCGTATCTGTTCTAAGACTTATTAGAATTTCAATTTTATATGTGCTACCACTTGAATTTAGATGTACCATTCGTCTTTTTATTTTAGTGCAACCGTGCTGTTCATCTTAATCTGCACACTGTATGCTGGAGCAAATTTGACCAATGTGCATTTATGCTACTAGATGCCTGTGCGCCGCGTCATGGTGCGCGATTGTTTCGGTTGGGCGACCACCTTTGTGTCTTCGTTTTTCTTCTATAGCAAGAAGGGCCTCCCATTTCCATTGAAGATTTTGCCGCGTGAGGCCAAACGATTGTTTTCATAGTCATGAATCCAATTTTGAAAGTGTTGTGGCATTGTTTTAATTAGACGAATACAATAATATATTTTTTATAACTAGCAAATTTATAATGGTAAGGATTCCATTAACCCTTAAAGAAATGGCATGCAAGAGTTCATTACAACTGAAAAAGAACAGCAAAGGAAAGAAGAAGAAAATAACAGCTAAGGCCCTATCGCCAAGAAGGTTCAGAATCTGAAAACACAGACGCCAACGGCTAGATGGTCTACAGGCAGACCAAAAACGTTTTGCAGAACGAAGCAAAATTCCATCCCTGCCAAAAGAACAAAAGATTCCTAACCGCCCGATCAACTTGAGTGTAGCTTTTCCACAGCATCTTCCATCAGCAGCCATTCCCCTCCTTCCTAATTCCAGTCTTGGGAGTCCCAACTCCCAAACCTCCAACCGAACTTTGTGTTGAACATTTCACCTGCCACCTTGTTTAGCAGCCAGCATGGCTCCCCACTGCAGTCCTTCTCCCCTTGTGTTTTCTGCAGAAGAGCAAATACGCTTAATTAGCTCAGTTGAATGGCTTAAATATTTGTTCATGAAACAAGCATTGTTTCTAGTCTACTAAATTGTCCAAAGCACAGCAGCCAACCCCACAGCAACCATCTGCTGCATATCTTTACTGGATTGGGTTAGCCACCCACCAAACATATGTGCAATACTATCAATTTTCCCAAACCCAAAAGTGCAATTCACCACATTCCAAATGAATTTAGCTAGAGGACATTTCAGGAACAGGTGTTCCACAGTTTCCTCCTGAGAACAGAAATTACATCTTTTATCCTTGCCCTTCCACCCTCTTTTAAGTAGATTAGATTGTCTCTAGTCAGAATACTACTACTCATCACAAGCCAAATGGAAACTTTGATCCTGCAAGGTATTATGTATTTCCCCAAGGAAAACTAACATTTTGGAGCTGCAAGGAACTATAAAAAGATTTGACAGAAAAATTGTGAATTTTAGTCAAGGACCACCATAACTTATCCTTTTCATTTGCCAGGGTGATATCTTGACATTTCCTTTTAAGCTCATTCCACTGAGCCAGCCTTGTTCCAAACACATTTCTTCTGAATTTGATTATTTGCACTTGACACTGTAGTAATCACTGCCCCCTCCAAGTGATTACAAATACACTTATAGTGGATTCTATATATAATTTTGTAATCACTAATTTTAAACTCCGACATTATTAATATATTTTTTTGTTATTGAATAACTAAGACATGTTTATATACGCTGCCCCCTCCAAGTCGCCGGTACATCGCGGTCGATCCGGACTGGGGGGAGCTGCTGCTGTCGCCGGCTAAGGAGTTGCGGTGGACTGGGAGCGGGATTACATACTCCTAGGGAGTATAGAACCATTTTCCTATAGAAATATCTCTCTGTGTGCAAAGTATGAAATATAAATAATCCATGCGAATGTACAAGTTACTGACTAGTTAGACTAACACGAGGTGGTTGAGCACTTGAGATGATTTCAACTTGTATTCCATCAAGATGCTACTACCACCGAAAGTCCGAAAGTAGCAAATCAAGCAATCGAACTTCCATAACTGAGGATTTGAAAATGAATCTAGTACTTTCCAGTTTCCATATCAGGGTTGACTGTGAGAATGTGGGCATAAGATGATTATCTTGCACAAGACAAGAACAAATAGCTCCCAGCCACATTGCAAAATATCAATATGCAGATTCAAAGCATGACCTGTGTGCAGTGGCCATTGACTTTTCACAATAAAATGCACCATGGCAAGTCTGAGAATGCATGATACAGATGTCAAATGCAATAACTACACGTCTCAAATGAGAAAGATCCCATATAAAAATCTAAAAGGATTAACTGAAGTGTAACCTTCCTATTGCTCTAGTTAGAAATGTGGTGTGCACTTCATGAAATTGCAAGACTAAACAGCCAATGAGGCAACAACATGATTTTCATGCCAATTTAGTTAACTAATCAGTGTTCTTTTCTTTGTTACTGATTCATTGCAGAATACAATTAACATCCATTGATTTTATATCAACAAAAAAAATTCAAATTACTATGTATAAAGGAACAATAACGAAACCAAGAGATTTGACTTGGCTAGACAGGAAGAGTGATTGTATGTTGGTATAGTTCCACTCCCTTTAAACAACTCTAGTTACGATTTTATACCGCTCTCTGTACTTAACCAAAATTAAGTAGCATGCTACATGCAGTTCTTTCTGCCCTCTGTTATGACTGTTATTTTGCAACTTTGCTCACCTTGCTATGGACATACACCAGAGGCATGGTAACTAACAGATGCTAACATACAGGGTTAGATACCAGGGGCTAGCACTATAGTGTGGATCCTTTTCTGCTTGCTTATTTTCAACATATGGAAATCACACTAGGAAATAATTTTAACATGCTCAGCTATTGCAGGCACAAAAATTCGTATGAACTGCAACTCTGCAAGGATATTGGATCTTATGTGAAAGGGAAAAAAGTGCACATGGCTTTCCAAGACAAAATCATCCTTCCCATAACAACGGGTTTATTTTGCTGTGCGATGTTCTTGATGCCAGAATGCACTTATTAATCATCATTACAACCGACAAGTAGCACCATAATGAGGCGCAATTAATACTTTTGGACACAGTGACTAATTATTTAAAACAACTATGACAACTTACCAAGAAGAAAAATGCATTTCAATTTCCTTGGTTTGCTGCCTCCAAATGCTGCACAATCTGAGATAGTGACTGCAAATGAAAAAAAAACATATTAAAGAAATTCATGTATGATTTTCTCAAATTAATACAAAACAACATAATACCATGTTCACCATGTCTTCATTGATTTCTGAAAGCAGTTCTGCTATTCTGTTCATGTTGAGTGCTCCAATAACACCATCATTACGACAACATATGCCAACAAGCTCACTTCGCTCGTTAAAAACCGGCGATCCAAGTGCAGTAAATGAACCGGGAGTGCAATCATGGAAAAAGGCTGTTTGATCTACATGCCTGCTCTCAATATTTTTAGATGTAGAAGAGAAAAAGGCAGTAACGAATAACCCAAAGTAGCTTAAGAAACTTACGTTACACGGCCACGAACTAACAGGCTTGGCTCCATCACCCCTTCAAAATTAACTGTATGAACTTCCTGATTGTGTGAAACCTGTTGTTCACTGAATTTTACTGGATTTGGCAGTTCCGCAGTTGTATTAACAGAAAATGCTGCCAGAGATCCTTGTATTATTACATCTTCTATTCTAAGCATCACTATAATTTCATCAGGAAAAATGACTCTATGTTGCCAGTTGGCCGCATCTTGTTGACGGAACACTTTGCTATGTGATATCATATAGCAAAATCCATTAACTGACACAATAGGAATGGCAGCGACAGAAAAAGGCTTCTCATTTCCTGGTTGAAAGGAAACCAGATGTACTAGAGATCTACGTAACTCATTGTGGAACGCATGGTTATCTCCATGAACAGCACCAACATTCTGCAGCATGAAAAGGGCATTGTATTTAACAAGATCATGATTCTTAACATGCATAGTCAAAAAATATTTGTACGTAAAGTTAAATGTTGTTTGAAAGATTAAAGAGAAAAGATAAAAGTGATAAACAAGTGCTTACCTGATCCATGACAAAAACCTAAAGGAAATCTTTGCTTTCTGCGTTATGCCTCAGTTTAACCTGAAAAACTAATAAACCAGTAAGTTAGACTTACAAAATGTTTGCTTCTAACAAAGCAAATTTAACACATTTTCTTGCATGGGCGCAATATTGTATTTCTTTTTGACGAATGGGAAAAAGGCAAACTCAAAGAAGTTATAAACCCCTTGTGTGTAACTAGACGTATTTCTACAAAATAATTTTACTACATTAATACATTATTAGAGTTTTCCGCAAAGCAAAATGGTGTGGTTAAACAATTTCATACTAGTACTTGTGTACCTATGCAAGCCTATCTGTTCCTATCCATGCTTCCTTTCATTATGAAAAACGAAATTCCAAATGTCTGGATATAACATGCAAGTTAGTAGTAATGAAACGGTAAAAAAGAAAAAGAAAAGTAGCTGCGATAGTTCTAACTGCTTGATATGCATTCCAATCAACACATTCAAAAGGCAAAACAACATGTAAAATTACTGAACTAGGCAGATAAATTCAGTATCGGCATACAAGAAAAGGAAACCTTGTAGTTGTGATGAGGAATGCTTTATCCAAGATTGGATTTGATTCTAATCTAATTCAAAGGTGAGGCTCCGATTACTTAATCAGATCTGACGCAATTTATAGAAAAAAGAAAAAAGAAAAAAGAAAAAAGAAATATTATCACTGGATACACAAATGGACTGAATAAACGGATGGTATCCTAAACTAAAGTGAACAATTATATGACAATGTACAGGTCCATGAATAAACATTAGTGTATTTTTCAGATTGAATACAAGGAATCAAGTCAAATTAAAATATCTATTGGAGACACGGTAGAAAAACAGTGGTGCGTTTTTTTTCTTCTTGTTCAAAACTTGCTAATCAATTTTTAGATTCGAATAATAAGAAAGAGGGGGATGGGGGATTTGGTGGTGTGAGAGGATTAAGGGGATTAAAATTGAGGCCTTCAACCCTAAAAAAAAAAAAGAAAGGCATTGTTCGTTTAATTAATCCCCAAGGAAAGGAAAGGTCCCTCTCAATCCCCTTGGCTGAGGGATTAAACGAACAAGGCCACGCCCACATGTGATTGTGATTGATTTCCCTGGTTGCTAAACAAAGGCGTCAAGGATAGGAATGGGTGGAGGGAGGGGGGAGGAAGGGGAATGACCTTGTGCTTTGCTTCAGGACCCAGGAGGGGAGGAGGCGACGGCGAAGCTGTCTGGTCCTTCCGGCGACGGCGAGGGCTCTCTCCTTAGGGTTTAGGAGCTTTTGCTCGAGTTGGATTGGGATCTGCTGCTTGCAACTGCAGCTTATACTTAACTTTACCACAACTGACCTTTAGATGCGTGATATCCAACGGACGACATTTCCACTTCCTTAGCTTACTCTTCTTTGAGCAGGTACAATAGCAGTCAATAAGCCAACTGCAAACATATTTTAAGAAGATAAATGAGAAGAAAAAGAGGAACGGACTACAGATTTGTAACCAGCTGTAGCACGGACTCTAAGACGCAGTGTGTGTATGACATATGGTACCAGGTATTAATAGTGTAGTATAGCTATTGTATGAATGAGCTATTAGATTGGCTATAGATGAATTAGAGTTAGCAGTTGTCTATACTATTGAATTTGCTCCTAGGAAGCGGTTTTGAACCTGCTTTTGCTTTTGCTTTTACAAAAGCTAAAAGCCAACCAATGTGTGTATGATATATGGGGCCCGCTTATAAGCGGGACTAGTTATTTTAAAAGCTACAGTTGTTGAACCAAACGAGCTTTTCTAAAAACCACAACCCACAACTACTTTTTCAAAAGTCACGGCTCAACCAAACACACCCTTAGGGCAGTTTTGGATTGGTAGTCTAAATAGTACCCACTATTTGTTTGGATTGATGACAACTTTTTGGTAATACCCATTACCTACCAAATTTGGTGACAATGTAGAACTTTCTACACTATAGTATCAAAATTTGGTTGCATTTTTGGTAGCAAACCAAATAAAATGAATACAAATTTATCCTACCAAATAATTGGTAGCGCCAAACCTTGTCTATATTTTAGCACTACCAAATAATTGGTAGGGCACTTATCCAAACAAGCCCTTAGCTTACTCTCTTTTATGAAAAATCTCCCATTTCTTCATTTATGTTGCCATTTCTTGCGCATCTCATGGTCCGATTTGATCGCAGCAGGAATAAAAGAATTCCTCGAGCAAGGGTATCCCACTCCCCGGCGAGACCTTCCTCCTCAGGTAATGTTTGGAAAATGGGTTTAGGATATGATTTCCCACCCCTCAAAGGGTAAGTTTTAATCTTAGTCATCCATTCATCTCACCTCATTTCATCATATCCCTCTATTCATTTCCATTTCCCAATCCCACCTCTCCTAATCCATTTTACAAACACACCCTCAGTGAAGAAGAGTAGAAGACGATCGCGCCGGTAAAGCCTCCCCTTCCCGGTCCATTTATTCCTTCGCATAATCTGAAATCGAGCAGAAAGAAGAACAAATTCATACACTCTGCTTGCACATTTTGACCCACCAAATTTTTTTATTGTTTACACCCAAATTTTAGCAAAATTTGTTACGAATTAACCACAAATTCAAATTCAGCATCTGCATCACATCTCTGTGATTGGCCGGACACCTCTGTTACTGTCGATTGATGTTTTATTCAGCTTCTCGGCAGTCTGCATGTCATTGTCATTTGGTAATCTGACATTCTGAAACCTGAACATTTTTGTGTTCGTTAGAAGAAAATTGAACATTTCGTACCTTTCAGGAGCTAGAGGTTGAGGTATCGAGCGCGGAGAGAGAGGCACCCATGCCAAGCTCGCTCGCCGGCGGCGCGCGTGACTTGCAAGTGCGGTGTCCACGAGGTGTTCAGCTTCGACCATTCCCACTGAGATTGAGAAGGTCATTGCTGTCTGAAATGCTTTTGTAGTTACCTGCATTGTTTAACTTGGCTTATGGCTACATAGTTGAGGTACACTGCAAATAAAATGGTTTATGTCTATATGCTTCTAGTAATTTGTAAATGGAACGAGGAGTTATGTGTACTTTTCGTTGGGTGGTTGTAGCAACAAAAAATTGCAACTATTCTATATCAATATAAATATAGGTAGGGACCAATTGAGATCCATACAATACTTATCACTGACATGTGGACCCAAATATCCAGTACGGTAGAGGACCTTCTCTCATCTCGGCTCCCTGAAAGGGCGCTCTCCTAAATCCCACCCCAATATTTAATTTTACTATATTAATTGATTTCCTACGGAACATTAGGTATCAAAAACTAAAAAAAAAAGGAGCATCTCAAGTAGTAAGGTTAATTTTTTTTCGAGTGAATTACATATTGGGCTAGGTTTTCTTACATGAGTTGCACAATGGATTCGGTCTTAGCAAATAATTTCACTTTATACCGGCTATTGTTACCATAGTAGCATGCAATTTGGACTATAGGCCCACATGTCAGCCAGATCAAGTGTTCTCTCCCTCTTCCCCTTCTTTCTTATTCCTCCAGACCCATCATTCCCCAACCCCACATCATCACCCTCTACTTCCATTCCCTGTCTACTATCATATATTTTTGCTTACCGCTGTTTGCTTTGCCCTCTTGCTACCCTCGAGCTGGAACACCTAGCTAGATCGAGAGTTTGATGGTGAGATCGAGCACTAGCAGATCAGATCCTGCCGCTACTACTGCAAGAATATAGAGCACAGTACATCTCACGAGGAAAAGGTGCGGCTCCTGGGGCAGGTGTAGCTCCAGCAAGAGGAGGGGGGATTTTTGAGCTCAAGCATCGGTGCTGGTGCAGCCTGAGCCCGATCTTGATCTCATAGGTTGATGTAGACAGATTTAAGTGTTAGGAAGGTGAAACAAAAGCTTGAGCTCGACTAGGATGCTCAGTGGCGCCATTCCGCCGCAGCATTCAGGCTAGTCGTGTTGTGCTTGTGCCAATCCACTAGCGTGACCCATTTTCATTGGCAGGAGGGTGGATCTAGCTAGGTAACAGGCAGTGACTGAGTTGGAACAAGTAGGAGACGTGGGAGATAGGGTGGTCTAGTATGGAACTAAAGGTAAAAAAATCCTAGCCTAAAGTGAAAACACCTAGCCCAAAGCGAAACTTTGGCAATAATAACTAGCCCAATATGTAATTCACTCTTTTTTAACTAAAGCTCCTGAATTCCCCATGACACTGTTAGTATCTTATGTATTTTGGTGGTATGTCGTATGTGTTTATCTCCTGCTGTTCTCCCGATATCTCTCTCGATTCTATTTCTATAAGTCGATTGAGTAGATAAAGGAGTTGGTTGAGTAGATAAAGGAAGGGTGTGCCTATATGTACTCCTGCACATTGAGATCAATCTATTGCGTTGAGTCTATCTTACTCTCATGGTATCAGACTTTACCGATCCACGCTTCCGTCTCTAACCCTACCCGCACAACCGTCACCACTCGCCATGTCGACGACAACCTCGCTTGATCAACGCGAGGCACTCATCGCCGATGTCGCCACCGCTGTCACCGATGTTGTGTGTGCTTCCTACCAGGTCTCCAGGTCGACGCTATCGTCACCAAGTCGGTTGTTGACTCTGCCACCGACATAGCCTCCATGACCGTGCGCGACGCCCTCATCAAATTTCTGCCATCGACGCCTTCTCCCACTGAGAGCATCACCAACAGTCCCCTTATTTCATCCCCAATCCTAATATTTTGATGAAAAAAATGCCTCCAACAAATCTCCTATCCAAATCACCCCTTCCTCGCATCATTCGCTCTCTCTTCATTTGAGGGAGAGAGACGGCGCTTTTGCCGTCCTCAATCTCTCGTTCGCGTCAGATTTTTCTCCGGGGGGAGCGCGACACGCGCGGAGAGAGCGCCACGAGAGCACGCGAGAGGGAGGAAAACGGAAAAAATCTGGTGTTAGTTTAACAGAAGGGCCCACTTTTAATTTTGGGGGATAAAATTTAGGTTTTCAATATGTTCTGTCAGGATAGATTCTTCAGCCCTTTTCTAGGACGACCTTTGGAATGGAGAGGTTAGGAGTTTGTCTTTCCCAAACCTGTACAGTGTAGCTTTGGATAAGACACAATCAGTGCAACAATTGTGCTCTCATCCTTTGGAAGATTATTTCATGCTGCCTCTAAGCAGTCAAGCTTATGAGGAGTTTCTCAATTTGGAGGAAGATATTTCCTCTCTTACCTTACAGGATGGCAAGGGAGATGATTGGTCTTTCCTATGGAATTCTGACAAGTACATTGCTAAGAAGTTCTACAAGCTCACTTTCTTGATTGTGCAGACACCGAGGCCTTTTGTCTGGATATGGAAAACACGATGTGTTATGAAGATTAAGGTCTTTGCCTGGCTTCTTTTCAGTGATAGACTCAACACAAGAGATATGCTTGATCGTCGTCACTGTGCAAAGGAGAATGATGATCTCACTTGTGAGCTTTGTGTGAATAATCTGAGGGAAACAAGAGAGCATCTTTTCTTCTTCCGTCCTTTCAGTCAGCGATGTTGGCAGCATTTGGGCATTCTGTGGGATCCTAATCTAAAAATTTTTCAAATGATTGTTTTGGCTCGCCTACAGTTTAGGCAAAAAGATTTCCTGGAAGTTTTCTTTATTGCTGCTTGGCATATCTGGAAATAGAGGAATGGGAAAAATTTTCGAAATGAGCATCCATCCTTTGAATCATGGAGAATCCTGTTCAAGAAAGAAGTTCTTCTACATATGTGTAGAATGAAGGATCCTTTAAAGCATATAGTTTTTGATTGGTTACAACTTTTGTAATTCCTAAAGTTTTTTTTTCCGTTCCTTCTTCCTTGTAATTTGTAAATATTTTGAGTTTTTATGAAAATCACACTGTGAGGCAAGGCACTAGCAATATTTTTAAGTAAAAAAAAAATTAGGCTTTCTCTTGGAGAGATCTGTTTTATGGCTACCTATTTTCAGTTTAGGAAACCTAAAAACAAATTTTTGGGGAGAGATTATACGTAATATGTTGGTGATGCTCTAAGGCTGTCTGCCTCCTCCACCCCACTGGACGTCGCGCCGCCAACCGGAACTCCTCCGGCATCCACGCTCACGTCCCTGCTTCCGGAGCTCATGTCGTGGCAATTTTTTTTGCCTATGCAGAGGTCGTTCCCCTTCATGGACGCACGTTCCCAATTGTTGCTTGAGGAGATCACCAAGGGCACCCGGGCGGCCGAACCTGTTACTGCCTTCCTCCTAGCCGCCGCTGGCACTGGTATTCGTCCTGCGAGCGACGGCGGTGGCTCCAGCTCCAACAACCAGGCCTTCTCCAGCGACCAACTCGCGGAATCGCCGCCGCGGTCGCAGAATTGGCGGCGGCAACGGCAACTCCTCCGTTAGCGCCTCCAATAATCAGGGCGCTGCTCTCCATACTGCTGGCTCCACCCCGCAACAAGCCATGGCCCACCTACTAGGGTTGTCGCCTTACAATCTATGGGTCGGGACCATCCTTACATGGCCAAGCCAAATAGGACCTTAGGGCGGCCTTCTTGGTCTGCGGCCCGCGTTTACTGGCGCTGCTGTGGTTGGGCTGGTTGGCCCACAGGCTGGCCTTGGCACACTCGGGCCGACCGCACCCTTTCAAGCTCCAGCTCCGATTCAAGTCTACAACACGCCCCCGACCTCTATCTACGGCGCGCCATCCATGGTTCCTTCATCACATCGCACCAAGCCGCGCCACAGCAATAACTCCAGTGGGACTCACGAGTTCTCGCCAGCACCTACAACACCACCACCTTGAGCGCAACCACTGTCTGACGAATGGTATATGGATTCGGGTGCCTCTTTCCACGTGACTTCTAACACCGGTACCCTTTCCCTTTCCCATACACCTATATCCTCCACACCTTCTCACATCGTCGTCGGTAATGGCTCTCTTCTTCCTATCAGTGCAATTGGTAGCGCTCATATTAACTACCCACACTACTCTTTTATTATAAACAATGTCCTTGTTTCTCCTGACATCATTAAGAGTCTTATTTATGCTTGTCGTTTTGCTCGTGATAACTGGTGCTCTATTGAACTTGACCCGTTTGGTCTATCTGTGAAGGATTATCCAACCAAGACCGAGATCGTCCGGTGCAATAGCTCCGGTGATATCTACCTATTTTCGATTGATGCTTTTACTTCCATGGCCTCCGCTCGTGCCTTCATCACCACTGAGTCCACCACCGACTTTTGGCATCGCTTCTCGGGCACCTTGGCCATGACGCCCTCTCTTGCTTGGTGCAGGCTTCTGTTATCCCTCCACCTAAAGGCTCCACCCCAGTGTGTCATGCTTGCCAACTCGGTCGACATGTTCATCTTCCTTTTACTACTTCTTTTACTAGAGCTTTAGCAAAGTTGGAGTTAGTTCATTGTGATTTGTGAGCATCACCTATTCCAAGTGTTGCTGGTTTTAAATACTACCTCGTCATTCTTGATGATTTTTCTCATTATGTGTGGATGTTCCCCCTCCGCCTTAAATCAGGAACTTTTGATACTATCTCACATTTATTTGCCTTTGTCAAAACCCAATTCTCGGTCACCATTTGCAACATTTAGTGTGACAACGCCAGTGAGTTGACAATCTCACCGCCCGCACCTTCTTTCTCACCAATGGTGTTCATATGCGAATGTTGTGCCCACAAAACGGTAAGGCTGAGCGTATGCTTCGTTCCATCAACAACATAGTTCGCTCCTTGCTCTTTCAAGCTAGCCTTTCTGCTCCGTATTGGGTCGAGGCCCTCCACACTGCCACTCACCTCATCAACCAACACCGCACCAAGACTCTCCACCACCACACACCGTTCTTTGCCCTCTTCGGTGCAAACCCTAGCTACACACATCCCCGAGTCTTCGATTGCAAGTGCTATCCCAGCCTTTCCGCCACTACTCTGCACAAGCTAGCCCCTCGCTCCTCCCTGTGTGTTTTTCTAGGCTATCCGCTCCATCATTAAGGGTATCGGTGTCTTGATCTTGCCACCTACAAGGTCATTTTTTTCACGTCATGTGGTGTTTGATGAGTACTCGTTTCCATTTGCTGAATTAACCAATAATTCAATTGCTCCTGCTTTGGACTTTCTTGAAGACTTTTCAGCATCACTACCAGCCCTCATCGGTCATCCATGCTCTGGCCCAACCGGCCCGGCGATGCGCACGGCTTCCTCTAGCGATCGGGATGGCGCACAGGCCGCCTCCTTCAGCAATCGGGCCGCCTCAACGGTCATCTCTAGCAAGCAGGCCGCCTCTGCTGGGCCGGGCCTCCCCCGGATCCCTTGCTGACTAGCCTTCCCCCGGCTCCTCTGCTAAGCTAGCTGGCTCCTTCATTGGGCCGACCTCCCCTGCTGGGGGCGGCTAGCTGGCGTGTGTGCGCCAGCGGCGCGCATTTCCCTCTTATAACTACTCTATTAGTTAACCCTTAACACTAATGATGGGTAATTAGGGAAGATTCTCAAGATTTTTTTTCTTTTTCCGGGATATTTTTTTACTGACAGATTGAAAATTTTTAAGTCAGATTTGAAAACTTTCGATTTAAGATTTAAATTTTAAAGTCAAATTTTGAAAACTTTCAATTCGGATTTGAAAACTTTCAACTCGAGATTTGAAAACTTTCAACTCAGATTCGAAAACTTTCAACTTGAGATTCGAAAACTTTCAGGTCCAGATTTGAAATTTTTGAAAACTTTCAACTTGAGATTTGAAAAGTTTCAACTCGAGATTCGAAAACTTTCAAGTCTAGATTTGAAATATTTGAAAACTTTCAACTTGAGATTTGAAAACTTTCAACTCGAGATTTGAAAACTTTCAAGTCCAAATTTGAAAATTTAAAGTAAAGATTTAAAAATTACTCGTAAATTAATCGCTAGTAAAAATAGGAATCTAATCTAAACTAATTACGATTTTTTCTCCTATTCGTACAGCAAGAATAGCGAAAAAGCAAAAAAAAAAGAAAAAAATAAACGGCGGTAGCTTGCGAAAAAAAAAGAATCGCGCGCGCGTGGGGCATGTGGGCTGGAAGTGCGCGCCGGCAGCGCGCGCGCGAATTAGCATTCTCGCCCCTACTGGGTCGTAGTCGCCTGACCGCCCAACCAGACGCTCGTTGGCTCCTCCCCGACATCGACATCCTCGTCCACATGCTCACGGTTACCGACGACGCTTCCAACACTAGCTCCGCTAGCGCCTCCACCCAGCGGCTCGCAGTGCACGAGTCCCTAGCGTGCACATCCTAGAGCCAACTGGGCATCTCCCCGGTTGTCAACACTCACGGCTTGACTACTCGCGGCAAGAATGGAATCTATCCTGGTTTACCACCACAACCCCAATGTCACCACTCTCTCCCTGGTTCCTTGCACCTACCGGGCCGCCCTGGGGATCGACCATGGAAGAGGAGTTCACTGCGTTGCAAGCCAACTGCACCTGGGAATTGGTTCCTTGTCCTACCAGCTCCAACGTCGTCACCGGTAAATGGATATTTCGGCATAAGTTTTGATCCGATGGCGGTCTGGACAGGTATAAGGCTCGCTGGGTTTTACATGGCTTCACCCAGCGCCCTGGCATTGACTTCGATGAGACGTTTATCCCGGTTGTCAAACCGTCCACTGTTCGCACAGTCCTCAGTCTCACAGTTTCTCGCCACTGCCCACTGGCATGTTGACTAACTTGATGTGAAGAATGCATTCTTGCATGGCAAGCTTCAAGAGACAGTTTAGTGTACTCAACCATCAGGTTTTGTGTATCCCACCAAGCCACACCTGGTATGTCGTCTTAATGAGTCCCTCTACGGCCCCAAGGAGGCCCCCCGTGTGTGGAACAATCGATTTGCCAGCTACTTGCTCACACTTGGGTTCACTGAAGCCAAATCCAACATATTTTTGTTCATTTATCGTTGCGGCTCTGATTTGGTTTACCTGCTGCTCTATGTGGATGACATTGTTTTGACTGCGTCTTCAGATATTCTGCTTCGTTGGACTATCCAAGCATTGCAATCTGCGTTCTCTATGAAGGACCTTTGCATTTTACATCACTTTCTGGGGATTTCTGTTACTCAACGCGGCACTGGGCTTCTTTTGAGTCAGCGTCAGTACAACATTGAGATTCTTGAGCGTGCTGGCATGTCCGACTGCAAGCCTTGTTCCACACCTGTTGATCCCAATGCCAAGTTGTCCTCCTCTGATGGCTCACCTGTTGCTGATCCTACTGATTACCGCAATCTTGCTGGCACACTACAGTAATTGACCTTCACACAGCCTGATATCTCCTATGTTGTTTAGCAAGTATGTCTCCACATGCATGATCCCAGGGATTCTCACCTTGCTGCTCTCAAACGTATTCTCCGGTATGTCCGTGGCACGCTTGACTATGGTCTTCATGTTCAGCACTCTTCTACGGCTAACTTGGTTGCCTACTCTGATGCTGACTGGGCTGGTTGTCCTGACACTCGCAAGTCCACCTCGGGCTATGCCGTGTTCCTGGGGGATAACCTTGTTTCTTGGTCCTCCAAGCGTCAACACACTGTTTCCCGTTCCAGTGCCGAAGCGGAACGTAAAGGACTCAAACAAAATTTTACTTGGAATTTTACATTTCGACTGCGCGGGGTGGGGGGAGGGGGTGGGGGTGGTTAGTATCTTATGTATTTTGGTATATGCCATATGTGTTTATCTCCTTCCTCCCGATTCTGTTTCTATAAGTTAGTTGAGTAGATAAGGGAAGGATGCGCCTTTATAGACTCCCGCATATTGAGATCAATCTATCGTGTTGAGTCTATCTTCTCTCAGACACGAAGAGTATCGGTGGTGGTATGCAGGCAAACTGAGGGGTGTGGCAACGGATTTGATTTATGGTTCCCTCGTACATAAAAGTCCCACGATCATATACATATACACATAACATACAAATAGATATACTAAGATTCACATACTTACCGTGACGGTCAACCCACTCAATAAAAGGTTCAGGTGTAGTGGAAATAAACCGGAAGTCAGATTCTGGTGCATAAGTGATGGTACTCCCTCCGTTTCACAATGTAAGTCATTCTAGCATTTCCCACATTTATATTGATGTTAATGAATCTAGACATATATATCTATCTAGATTCATTAACATCAATATGAATGTGAAAAATGATAGAATGACTTACATTGTGAAATGGAGGAAGTACTTCTTATGCCTCACAAAAACGAAATACGGCCGTAGCATTTTACCTCGGAACAGTTGAAATAAGAATATCAAGTCATCAATTATCTAGATAATATCAATTTTGCAAATATATGGGATAAAACATACTGCAAGAATGACCATGATCACACCCATAAACAACCACGCATAATAAATCGAGTGCTTGTAAGCAATATTAAGTTATTTGCAATAGCAGAGATAAATGTATGCCCATTTTACGAAAGGGGCATGTAGCCTAGTGGTTACAGTGACCTGAGTAGTATCCCAAGGTCCAAACTCCTATAGAGCGAATTCGGTTGGATGTAGAAGCCGGGTAAAAAATACCCTTCTCTTAAAAAAAATGTATGCCCATTTTGAAGCCGCCCTATCAATCAAAATGATGTATCTTCCATGGAAGTGAGCATCTTCAGAAACAAGAAGGTATGCGGTATTGGCGATGATATGTTTGGTTTGCAAATGGCCTTCTGCAAGTGACCATCTTGTACAGAATTGCAGTATTCCACTCAGGTTTGATGTTTATAAATTATAACCCATTTAGTGGATTGAAGTCACAAATATGAGTTTGACTTTGACAAAACAAAGTTATGGGCTCTTCACATATAGACACGTATATAGATCTGAACAAATAACCATGAGCCAAAAAAGGATTTATGGACCATACAGACAGTCACCATTAGTACATATAACATATCGACTGCATTCTGACACACCATTGATGAGAAGCCATTATCAGACATTATGTAGCTTTGGAGAAAATTATTTGTTAGAAGGAGCATCATTTTTTAGAGAGAAGGCCAGAGGCCCGGCTTTTGCTTGAAAGCCAAATACGGAGAAGGAGCATCATTCACTCAAAACATTGCAATTCATCAACGATCCCAAAACTGAATGCAACCATCACTTCAAGATGGATATGAACTTCTTGAGTGACCATCTGTAATTTTTACCATGACGAGCCCCCACACCAGTCTTCCATTCTGTGTCTTATGGCCGCATATTTAGCACGCTTTTCTGCAGCCACGTTGGTCTGACCTTCATGGGACCTACCAAGAAAGGTAAAACGTCTATATATGTATTTCGAGAAATAGTAAGAATATGTACAAATGTACACTTACCTTTTACTTGTACTACCAACATGTACAACCTTTGAACCCCTTGAAAGGGGAGTTGCACCTCTCGAAAGTGAAACCTGCAAGCGCCACATCACAATTAGAAGGTTGAGAGCAAATTTTGATTTGTTTTGACTGAAACAACTACCTTCTTGAGTTCCTTATGAACCATGCGGTTGAGCTCATCTAGAAAAAAAGACGAGTGTCTGGCGAATTTCAAACCGAAGCAACCACTAACAACAGAATCGATTGTCCCCACAACCAAACCACTTAACGTAAATACAGCGGCACCAATTAAATTTCCTTCCGCAACCACATTTCCTCGTCTTCCATGTGGACAAGTGAGAGCAAACTTCTTCTCATGACTAGTGATAACTCTTCCTGATCGCAGCATTATTTTGCCGCTCGGGGCCCTGTTGCAAATGAACAAGACAATAACATGTATACATGTCAATTAAAACCCCTCAACTTCTGTTAAAGTATAGGAAGCAACAGCAACTTTAAACAGAATGTTTGGTAACATTTGGAAGTGGCACAAAACTACCCTTCGCAATCAATACATTTTTGGCTTACATGACGCCCTAGTTAGCATATAGAGCTGATATGACCTTGATGATTCATGTGGAGTAATAAGCCTTATTTGTGTAATAATCTTTTTTTAAGTCTTGTGCTAACTCAGATTTGAAAACTTAGCGGTAGTTCCGAACGAACAAAGCTTAGCAGTAGTTGTCTACATAGAAAATACATCAACAAAGATTGGACACTGTAAGTTCATCATATCACATAGCCAAAATCATGTTGGTCTGGAGTTATAGTGTTTTGCACCCATTTTTCAGAGTTCGATGGTTTTAAGTGCCTAAATTTGAAACTAAGGGTTGATTTACATATTCTGGCAAGAAATCAAGGGGGTTAAAAGCTACCAATTTATGATAGTCAATCCTTGTACCAATAACATATTAGATTTAAAACTGAACAACACAAACACAAATAGAAGAAACACTTACACTACAATGCCGGACATAAATCCAGGATCTCCGTCATGATTGACCCGTGCAATCATACAAATCTCCTCTCTTTTTGCTTGTACTGTACTGAATGAGACCGGATACTGGCGGCGTTCGCCAGGTTGTACAGATACTAATAAAATTGCATGTCCACATGGTGTGCGTTTAATGAATTCAAATGCTTGACGAGCAGTACCATCACTGTAATATACATATGTGTCTTCCCCCTGTTTAAGTACTGTGTGATCTGTGCATACTAGAACTTCAGACCTTGTTGCATAGATGATAAACCCGGTGGCAAAGTTAACAAGCCCAGTTCGGTTGTATCTTTTAATCGTCACCACAGACTTGGCTATTTCTCCATATAAATTATCCAGAACAACCTTATCACATGTAATCTGCAAATAAAAAAATGCTAGCAGTTAATATGTTTCAAGCAATATTATCCTTTTTTAATGGCTAATGCTAGTGTTGGTTAAGTTAGCTCCTCGTGGTAGGACACATTTTTAAATAATCAGTTTATTGAAATCAAAAAGACATAGCATAAATCAACACTCAACAAGTACAATCATATTAGAACAAATACAAAGGGCACACACATTCCAAATGGAAGTAATCAGCTCATAGAGGTACTGCAGAAAACAGTCTATAAAGTGGTTAATAACTCAAAAATGTAAAATATTTAGGCAATTTTAGAACATTCCACCCTATTAAGGACCGTTCCAGAAGGACTCAATGGCCAGGATCAAATGTAGTGACCAATAAAGTTCTCCAGTGTAGGTAAACCATGGTCACTGAAAGGTATACTTTGACTGAAATTTACGGATGTGGCAATTTTGGAATGAAACAACTTTTTCATTTAGAATAAATAATTAAAGCAGAAAATGGTTTCCTGTACTCACATGAGCTAAAGCTAAAACTTTTTTGGGAAAGTTTATCAAGAAGAACTAATTAGTGCAGAAAATAGTTTCTTGTACTCACATGAGCTAAAGATGATAATAGTTTGGAAAAAAGTGTACTTCTGGTTCCTCAACTATGTATAATTTGTTCCTAAATTAAGAAACTGGAAATAAAAAACATGTCCTTCAAGTATCAAATCAGATACTTCTAGCACCAGCTGCTAGTTTAAGGCTTTTTGGCATATGTGGACAGCTGAGTTGGTGGAACAAATGACATGGACACATGCGATGGCCATAGCCTCCTTCAATTCTTGTTTTTCCTCCCTTTCAATTTTTTCTTTTCGGGAATATGTTTTCTCTCTTTCTGTTTGATGACAGAAGGACAGTAAGTTTTATCCTCCCTCAACTCTTGATAACAGTAAGTTTGATGACAAATTTCTCCTGGTATCCCTGATTTATGTGCTCCTTCCGCTAATCTCACTCTCCTCGTTGGCACCACAGAACACCTCGTGGTCATTGCGGAAGGAGAGTGAGGAGAAGGTGTTGTGATCGGTTCTGCATCTCTCACCCTTGCGGCGGTGGGCAAACAGACATGAGGCCACTGACCCAATATGATTGAAACTGTTGATGTTGGTTGAGGTGTTCAGCATGGGGCAAAGAGAGTACATCTGCTTGTGAATTCACAGTGCGCTCTTGATCCACAGGCGAAACAAAACGAAGAAGAAGCGTGCAGGCCACTCTGTCCAACCCACAGCCTGGCCATTGCAAAGACTGCCCCATTAACCAGACAGCAATGGTGTGGTGAGCGCACTGGGTGTGGACAGAAAGGGATGGCCATGGTCCATGGTGCTACCCCATGAGATCATCACATGGCACATTGCAGATAGGACTTGGTCTTGGAGGACGCCAGGAATATGCTCAAGGACCAGCACCTCAATATGCTGTCATCTGTCCACGTTGGCTAATACCACCCTCAAACAACTGAACGACTAAAAGTGTACGGATTGAAGAGATGAGGGAGGTAGTTTATCAGTAATTGCAGTTGAGGGGCAAAAATTAGACCATGGCAATAGTTGAGGGATGGAAAAGTAGATTTTTTTTTCCCCCAGTTGTTTTATATAAGCTGAAACGATGCAATGTGTTTGTTACCGCATATGATTTTCTTCATTTATCCATTTCAAATAAATGTAATCTTCTTGGTTTGGAATTATTTATATGTTCCACAAAATTGAAATTATAAATTAGTATTCTCTAGTCCAAATTCAAATTGATTTAAAACAGCAGGTTGGTTTTCACATTCTTCTTCTTCAAATTCTGAAAACAGCAAAATAATAATAAAAATAATAACAGAAGGCAGCAGGATAGGCCCCTGTTGTTAGAGGAAAGATGTTAAAAGAACATTTACTATTGGCATGTGCGGGTGTGTGACAACAGTGCAGTAACAGAAGAACCAGCAAACACCATATGGTCCCAAATTATCATCAAGAATAAACTTTTGAGATTTATCATAGGTATTACCTCTCAAGAGGTTAGATGACATGTGCAATATGATTTTCAAGAAAAATGAAAGTAAAATAAGCGAGTCCCAAGATATATCACATATTTTATTTCAGGCCCCACAAGGGATACAGATAGGAGTCAAACACACTAATCTCAACTTTCAAAGATGGAGATAAATATATATATAAGTGCCCGAGCACTATGTGCCCAACACAACCAAAAGAAACCTCCAAATGCTACAACCAATGTGTATACTGTAATAAAAGGAGTAATAACACTTAGTACCTATATCAAGTTCTACCAAATAAAATACGAAGAAAGTTCTAATTGTAACCCACTTTTGCTAACCTGAGGCAACATCAAAGAGTTTTTTTATTAGGGATATTATATCACTTAAAGGAATACTAAGCTGTGGAACCATGAAATTTGACCTCTGTGCATGTAGCCTCATTCTATCACAGTTTGTTCACAGCTATCATGGGAGTGGTACTACAAAGACTATTACAGCCACATTTTGTAGTGAGTGGTAATTCAAATCATAATATTCTTAGAAAAAAATTATCTTAAACAGGCAACAATAAATATTGCGCTAGCAAGATAGAATCTACATTACCGAAGGCATCGCCCTTGTCTATCAGATAGAAGATATCGTGCTCACTCTGCCCTGCTTTCAATAAGAAGAAGGCCAAATATAAATTTGAAGCAAAAGTGGACAAGTAGAGATTTGAGATATTGCAAGCATGCAGAAATAATCAGCTACTCAGCTGCAAATTTATACCTAGTACTAGTGGTATAGAGGTTCCACCTTTTTCCTTATATTTGGGAGAAAAACAGTATTTACACCAGTTACTTTGCTTCCCAAAATAAATTGAATAGATACCAACTTGATGATCAAAGTCAAAGATGAATGACAAAGCTCAAGAATTGTACATTATGAACAAGATCTAAAAATCATTAGTTTTATCCTAATAATTTTTTTCCAAGCGATGCAACACAAGCTATACATTCAAATTCTAGATTATTCACCTATTACATATATTCTATATCTTCATTCTTTACCTGCCTGATCTTGGTACAGTTAAAAAATTATATTTCATATATTGATGGCAAATTCAAAGAGAATAAGTTACTGTCAAACTTATCACATTTTGCTTTAGATAAGTTACAGCGGACACTGGATGCAACTTCAAACTGACAAATATTAGATATATATGTGACCTGTTTATAACAGAGGGGCATAACTATTTCTGCACATTAGATTGCATAAACAAACTTCGATGATACTAGTAGTACAAGAAAAAGGACAAGTTTGCTCTGCTATTCATCACTGATACAGCAAAAGGTGGCATTTCAATAACTCACCCTAACAGTAACAGCACAAATGTGTGCCTAATGTTGGAAATCTACTATTCACATGTCCAGATGTTCTGGAACTTCTAGCAATGCAAGGACTACAAAGATAGCTGACGAACATACTCTATGCAGAAAAGACTGGTCTTAAATTTGCCTAAGAATGGAAAACGACACGAATTTGCTATGGAATCAATACTAATATCAATATCAGCAGAAAAACATAACAAGATTGTAAATTTTCTAAAACAATATCTTCCTTACACTATCAAGCACAACCTGTAATATTATTAGTACATAGTGCACAACTAAAGTGTCACAAAATCCTCATGAGACAACAGAAGGAAAACAGAGCCAGGAGAAGCAGAGGTAAGAATGGTAGTAACAGGAGCTGCTGGGTTGGACACAATGCCAGCCACTGAAATGATCCCAAATAGATGAGCCCTCAGCAGCAGGTCTGCACATAGCAGCAGCTGGGCCTGTTTGGGAAACAGGGACTTATTTTAAGTCCCTGTCACATCGGATGTTTATACACTAATTTAGAGTATTAAACATACACTAATTATAAAACCTATTCTATAACCTTGGACTAATTCGCGAGACGAATCTTTTGAGTCTAATTACACCATGATTTGACAATGTGATGCTACAGTAAACTTTTCATAATTATGGATTAATTAGGCTTAAAAAATTCGTCTCGCAGATTAGCTTTCATTTATGAAATTAGTTTTTTTATTAGTCTATGTTTAATACTCCAAATTAGTGTCAAACATTCAATGTGACACGGACTAAAAAGTTTTAGCCCCATCTAAACACCCCCTTAGAAGGTGGGCATTAGCTAAAGCCGCAGCGGCAGGAATCGACAGATGGAAGCGGCAACGGCCTTGGTGCAAGGACGCCCGCGGGACGATGGGCGGACGGGGTTGCCGCCGGCGATGGTGAAGATGAGCGCTGCCGGTGGCGGCTGCAACTGGCGAAGGGAAACGCGGCGACGACGACGAGGACGGTGCCGATTGACGAGACGACAAGACGCGGTGGGGGACGACGGATGGACGAGGCAAACTGAAGGCAATTGCTGCTGCTTTGACAGAAGAGAACGAAGACAAACGATGGAAAAAAACTGCTTCAACTTGAAGACGACTAGTAAATAGTAATGGCTCGCCCGCGATGACAGGATCTGGTGGCTAGGGTTTTTGGATTTGGTTACAACTTACTACAAGAAATACAAGATTTGGATTTTGAGGATTTTACTGTGTAGTTTGACTAACAAAATGCAAGAAATGACCCATTACATATTATGTAGTAGTACAGTAGTAGAAACAAAAAAAACATTAGGATAGAATGCTAAATATGACCATGCTACTAGACAGTGCGAGGCAAAATCAATCTATGCCTATGCCTCTCCAAGAAACAAAAATGGCACGGGTCCATCCAGTCGAGAACTGCGCACATGCTCTGTTGGAACTTAGGAGGGCAAGTGCCTTAAATCGATTCTCGACGCACTGCTACATCGATGGGTGATAGTATTAACAATAAGCCAGGCCAAATCATGTTTTTTTTTCCTCACGATTGAAAATAATAATTAATAAAAGAATGAACAAGAAAGATCGAGCAAGAAAACACATGAAAAATGGCAACTTCCCAGGGTAGAATAGAGAGAGCTTTCTTTGCATGTTTCACAAATAGGCAATGGCAAATGCTATGCGTTACAGATTCATAGTTCACCATCCACCACTTTACCTAAACACACACTTGGGCAGAGTAGTAGCAGGCGGCAGCGGCAAGAAAGGAGCCAACTCAACCAGGGCCAGGGATCCTGGACTTCCGGCGCCGGCGGCTGGAACGGCGAGAATCAGACCCGAGGTTCGGCGGCGGCGCGGCGGTCACGCGCGTCAAGGCTCCCAGCCCTAGCGCCAACGCCTGCCTCCCGGGTCTGCACGAGTGGGCTAAAGTTTTGGGGGTTGGGTGTTGCTGGGCCAAATCTGGGGTAGCCCCTAGCCCACCAGAGCTACCCCTAGCTACGCTCCTACTACTATATTGGAGGGTATAAGTTCACCTTTACTCCCTTAACTACTGACTAAATCTAATTCGTATTTCTTGACCACGAATCCACGATACAGATATCTCGACCCTCCAACTATTAAAAATGGTGTAATTTGACTCCTTCGATAGTTTTGGAGGACGGTTTCACTGACGTGACGCCTACGTAGTAGTATTGACTTGGTCTTTGATCCACATAGCGTTGATGTATCACTTAGGTGGTATTAGAATTAAAAAATATGTGTAAGACCCATTTATCATTCACACAAAATAAAATTATGTGGATCTAGCGGTGGGTGGCTAGCAAGGCGGAGGCTGCCAGTGGGTGCAGGACAGCGAGCAAAGCAAAGGCTGGCGACCACCCCATCTTGTGTGGTTCTGGGTGTAGCGGCAGAGAATGAGGGCACAGACGACGACGGACCATGGCAGCAAGTAGTCCCCAGTTAGCAAGCGACAAAGCTCTATGGCAATGGCGAGTTGGATGTACCGATGTTTGTCTTTCAATCCAGGGCGGGCAAAAAGGAGGTCAAGGTGGAGTTGCTAACCTCGGGTATGATTGGAGTTCTCTCATGGATATCTCCGCTGATTTTATTTGGGTGGATAGAGTCTAATTTGACAATCCAGAGTTCTTTTTTTCTGTTCCGTGTACGAATCGGAAATTTGGAATTTGGAAACGATCTAGCTGCATGGGAAATTTTGGATTTGTTTGTGTGTTTATGCTTCAGTTTTCCCTACTCTTCGATTATTGGGATGCAAAGGAACAACTAGTTTTTTCTGGACGGATGAAAAATTAGCGCGTTGACACAAAAAACACACGGACAAAGACGAGGTGATGATTGAAAAGTTATGATTTTTTTAATTAGTTAAGATATTTAAAAAAACATTTTTTTCATTTCAAAAATTTACAAATCTAGACGCCTCACATCCTCTAGGAGCGCGTTTTTTAAAAAATCGTCATTCCAGTGGGCTTTAACCTTTAAGGGACCTAAATATAAAAATTTTATTTGTATTCAAACCCTTTTCGCTAGTTGTTAAAATAGGTTTTAGATTTTGTAAAAAATATTTTGGACATCTAAATGATAAGATTGTTAACAAAAATGTTGTAGATATTCTCATGCTCTACAATTTTAATATAAAGTAATATTTCATATGACTTTATATGATATATTTTTAAAATGCAAAATCATATATTTCACGAGCTATATAAAAATTACATTTAGACCCCTTAACGTCATTTGGAACATTTTTTTAAAGAAAAGCATAAGACATATTGATTTTAAACTTTTGAAAAAAATATTTTTAAAATATTTTAATACAAATTTTGTAAAAATAATAGGTCATCCATCCCAAAATATAAAAACCTATGATCTACAACAAATATAAAAAAACATCTATAGATACTTTATTACTCCTTTCGTCCTTTAATATAAGAGATTTTAGGTGGATGTGCCACATCTGAGTACAATGAGTCTATCCAGAGTCATTGTACTAGATGTGTCACATTCACCTAAATTTATTATACTACTAGAAAAAATACCCGTGAGTTGCAGCAGGTGAAGGCTATTTTAATCTTATTATTATATGGTTTAGTTAGGGTGTGTTCGGCACCCCTTTTTCCAACCTCTCTCCCTCGTTTTTCGCGCGTACGCTTTTCAAACTGCTAAACGGTGCGTTTTTTTTAAAAAAAAAGTTATATAAGAAAGTTGCTTAAAAAAATCAAATTAATCCATTTTTGAAAAAAATAGCTAATACTTAATTAATCATGCGCTAATGGATCGCTCCGTTTTCCGTGCGGGAGGGATTAGTTCCCATCCCCTGAAACCGAACACAGCCTTAATGTAAAAATTTACTGTGAGCGTGAAGACTATTTTAATCTTATTATTATTGTTATATGATTTAGTTAAGGTAAAAATTTACTATGAGAATTCACTTGAATATTTATATTTTTAAGAAAATCATGAGCTATAGTTAGGAGTTCTGTTCGTCTTAAGTAGCACGTGGTTTTTTTAAAAGATTTCTTATACAACTCCTTATGTATTTCTAAAAGCAAACGAACTTAGTGTGTGTTTGGTTGGGCTATGGCTTTTAAAAAAAACTGATGTGGGCTATGACTTTTTGAAAAGTAGTTTTGGAAAAATAGCTGTGAGGAAGCCAAAAGCTCGTTTGGTTACACACATGTGGCTTTTGGAAAAGCTTCTCCCCTGACGAGTGGACCCCACATGTCATGTACAGAGGTATCTTTCTCCTTCCTCTTGACACAGGAAGGCATGGGAAGGTTGCGCTTGCCGGCGGCTGGCCGCGCTCGCCGGCGGGGGCTGGCCCACGCCTGCTGGTGTGGGAAGGCAGCTCGCGCGGAGTGGAGGGTGTGGATCTAGGTTTTGGGTGGGTAGGGGGATGGCGCCGGGGGGTGGAGGCTTACCGATGGCGGGGGAGTTGGATCGTGAGGGAAGGAAGGTTGCGCTCATGACGACACCCAACGTCGCATCGCCATCGCCATCCTCTTCTCTTCTTCTCTTGTTGTCGAGATCGTACAATTTTTTCCCTCCCTTCATTCCCTCCCTCCTAGGCAGCTTGCTTGATGTCTCTCTCTCCTCCTCGTCCGTGAGGAGCGGCGGCGGCGGAAGGGGGCGATGGAGTCGGGGACGGGGAGGGCAAGGATGGCCTCCCTCGTCTCCCTCGCGCGGGAGGAGTGTGGTCGGGAGGATGCCGAACACGAGCTGGCCACGGCGGTGCGTGGGGCAGCTCGGTGAGGAGGAGGAGGGGCATCGGCGGCGGCGCGAGGAGGAGCGGCTGCGGCGGCTCGATGAGGAGGAGGAGCGGCGCGCGATGGGAACGGGCGGGAGAAAAAAAAGAACGAAGTGAACCATTTTTTCTTAATGGCAGAGATGGGTAATTTCCCCCAAAAGCAAGTGAAAGCAGGGGTAGAGGCTTTGGGCAAAAGCAGTTGTGGCTTTTGGGCTCTTTGGTTGGCTTTTGGCTTTTGCAAAAACAAAAGCAGGTTGAAAAGACCAACCAAAGGCACCCTTAAAAACCGACTCAAATACGGATATGTATTTCCAAAAGTGAACGAACTTGAAAACGGATTAATACACAGATGACGTACCAAAATATCAGCAAAAGCATCTTCAATTTTTATACTCCCTCCATCCACAAAAGTTACACCTATTTCACATTTGAGTTTTTCCAAATAAATTTTTCCTATTTGTAGTCTTTATGCATTCAAGATTTAAATGAAGAGATAAATTAAATATTTTATTAGAACCCAATGATTTATCTAAATACTCATTGGTTGTATGTTTGCATTTATTTTTTGATTTTGTAACATCTAAGGTGATTTAATTTCTCCGTCTTGGTGTCAAAAGTAATAGGCAACGTATTAGGTGCACTCAGCCTGATCCGTGCACTCGCGCACTCGCGCAACCACAGCCTTCCGATATCAATCTAACGGCTGCCATCAAGATGAGGGATTTTTTGCCAAAAAACGCCCGCTTCTTCACTATAACTTTTCAAGACATCCCCTGCCCATTGGTTTCCTCTTCTCCCGTAGCAACTAATTGAATTAAATTTAAAAATATACCTCTTTTTTCATTATGTTGCATTTATATACCTATATGACGAAAATTTGTACAAATATACATCTCCCGCAGTATGGTTACACGGAACCGAGACGATCCCGCGCTACCATTTCGCGGGACGGGCGATCCCGCAACCCAGCCGTGCGGCACCGCCTTTCTCCCGCAGCCCGGGAGAGCGGTATCGTGATGGCACGCGGGGGACGCAACCACCGCGTCGGTCCTGCGGGCGGCACCGTGCGTGACCAGGGCGGCACCGCGCGGTCACGCAGGCCGGCCGCGCGTGACCGAGCAGTACATGCATGCACATGCACACATGCATGATCTGGTCGTGCATGGTCTGGTCGTGCATGCACACATATCTGGTCCATGCCGCAGCGCAGGCCTGCGTGACCGCGCCGGACGCGCGTCGCCGCAGCGCGCGACCGGGCTGATGGGCGCGGGAGCGGGGGCGTCCCGCGAGGGAGCGACGGTCCCGCGTCCTCATTCCGCGGGAGCGAGCGATCCCGCGTCCCGGGAGAGGTATATTTTTGTAATTCTTCTCCATGCATGTATATAAATGCAATATATTTTAAAAGGAGGTATATTTTCAAATTTTTTTCGTAACTAATTGCCCCCAAATTTGCGTCGCTCTCCCATTGCCGCCGCCGCCGCTGCTGACCTGCACGTCTGCGCCCCTGCCTCGCAGCCTTCTGCCCAGTTTGTCCCATCGACGCCGGTCACCATCTCCTGTAATTGCACCCAAATTTGTGTCACTCTCAATTGCCGCCGCCGCCGCCGACCTACACGGCTGCGCCGCTGCCTCGCCGCTGCTAGTGGCGGCGCCGTGCGACGCCGACGAGTACCAGGTGGTGGTGTTCTTGCATGGATACCTCGCCAGTAATTCCTTCGAGTCGCAGCTGTTCGAGCATGTTGCGTCTCACGGCTTCGTCGTCGTTGGCCCCCGGTAAATCAATCAATCTTTAATACTTCTTGTGTGATGAATTTTTGAGTTATGAACTGATTTTATAAGTCCTATGCACATGATGTAGGTTTCTCACTCCATATTAGACAGCAGAAGAAGCTAGTTGAATGAGGTGGTTCAATGCAAGCTGAAAGAGAATGCAGATGCTACCAGTAGCTCAAAATAATTTAGTTGATTAGAAGAAATTCAGTTGTATTTCCCAGTTAACTAGCTAATTTAGTGCTACTGTACCAGCCTTCAGAACATGCATGTTACTTGAGATGGTAATGCTGATTGCTGATGCTATTCACTAAAAGAGACTTGAATGGATAAGCCAACAAAATCGTTTGTATTGTGTTCTGTCAACATGCTTTTACCAGTTTACAGGATTCAGACGATTGAACAATCAATCCATTGTTTACTGGTTCATTTCTCCCATAAAAAAGAAACAAAAAGGAAGGTAGAATGTTGCTAATCACCAGCTGATTACTTGATGAATTTACAACTTATACGCTAAGAATCTTCCATGCAGCCAGCGTTACAAATACAACAAATTTGTAGGCTTTAGTTCCTTGTTTCTTGTCAACATTCAGAATGGCTCTTGCATACTAGCAGTGCTTATCTATATATATATTATTAAAACATCCTTGAAAGGAGACACTACGTTCGCTGTGGGGGCTAGAAATTCTCACATTAATCAGAGAAATTCTCACATGAATTTACATTTTTTAAAGGTTTGAAACTTCTAAAAAGTAAAAAAAACCCAATGATAATCATGTTCGATTTTAAAATCTTAATGACAACGAAGAGGGGAGGCAGCAGGCGAGCCATAAAGGAGTACAATGGTAAAGCTGCTAACGGTTTGGCGGGACTTCTAGAAAGTAAAAAAATAAACCTGAACGATAATTATGTTCGATTTTTAAAATCCCAATTACAATAAAGAGAAAAGACAGTGGATGAGCCGTAGACGAGTATAATGGCAATGTTTGACGCGACTTCTAAAAATTATAAAAACGAAACCCAACAAGACAATAAACTCTAAAAACTATAAGATCCAATTTTTAAAAGTTCGGAAATTTTAAAATTTAAAAAAACCAAATGATAATCATGTTTGATTTTATAAAACAATATTAAAAGAAGAGTCCATATAAGAACCCAATACGAGATTAAATTAATATTTGGAATAAAAAATAAAATAAAATCCAAAATTAGCAAAAAAAGAAAAGAATAATTCAAGTAGGAATACAATTTAAAATTAACCAAAATTCGGAATTAAAAATAAGCAATATTGAAAGAAGAGTCTATATAAAAACCCAATACGATGTTAATTAAAATTCAGAATAAAAAATAAAATAATATCCAAAATTAGAAAAATTTAAAAGAGAGTTTAAGTAGTAATACAATTTTTGAAACAATTGAATTTGAAAATAAAAAATAAAAAAATTAAAAAAACACAATACCATATTAATTAAAATTCGAAATAAAAAACAAAATAAATTCTAAAATTAAAAAAGAAAAATAAGATTTCAACTAGGAAATACAATTTATAAATAACTAAAACTGGTGATAAAATATAAAGACTATTGAAAGAAAACATATTTAAAACACATGATGACATTAATTAAATAACAGACCTATAAATAATTGGAGTGGTGGTGGTTGATGGGACATCTAGAAACTATTAATAAAACACCAAATATAATCCTAATAACAATTAAAAGGAGGGACAACGAGAAGGCCGTGAAGTAACCGGTCAAGGCGGTCGCGCGGGATTTCTAGAAATTAAAAAAAACCCAATGATAATCATATTTAAATTTTAAAATCTCAATGACTATAAAAGAAGAGGCAGCGGGCAGGTCGTACAGGAGTACAGCGACAGAGCCGCAGACGGTTGGCAGGGCTTCTAGAAAGTAAAAAATGAATTCCAACGATAGTTATGTTCAATTTTTAGAATCACAATGGAAATAAAAAGTAGACGGTGGATGGGGCGTAAAGGAGTATAGTGGTAGCGTTTGACAGGACTTCTAAAAATTATTAAAAAAAATGAAAACCAATGAGAAAATAACCTCTAAAAACTACAAGGTCCAATTTTTAAAGGCTCGGAACTTCTAAAAGTAAAAAAAGACAATGATAATTATGTTCGATTTTAAAATCTCAATGAGAATAAAGAAGGGAGGCAGCGGGTGAGCCGTAAAAGAGTACAGTGACAAAGTCGCTGACAGTTTGGTGGGACTTCTAGAAAGTAAAAAATAAACACAAATGATAACTATATTCGATTTTAAAATCCCAATGACAATCAAAAGAAGATGCAGTGGATGGGCCGTAGAGGAGTATAATGGCAGCGTTTGACGGGACTCCTAAAATTTATAAAAACAAAACTCAACGAGAAAATAAACTCTAAAAACTATACGATCCAATTTGTATAGGTTACAAGCAGAATTAATAGAAACAATGGTAGATCGAGAAAAAAAAAGGAGATGACATAAGTAAGTGGTAGCAACTGGTGTGACTTTTAAAAGCTATAAAATTAGAAACACAGGAATGATACGGTTTGGTCTTTCAAATTCTTAAGACAACGATATTGCTATTTAATAAATTTTAAGTAAAATTATATTAAAAATATATATAGGTGCTAGCCGCACAATTGCGCGGGCCACCCAGCTAGTTGATTCATGACACCACCTAGAAGTAGCAATGCTTGGCATATACTTGACACCAACTAAACAACTGCTGATGCCGCCGGCTCTGCTAGATGTACAAGGTTGCCTCCATGACAGCAGAAACCACGACGGTACGCTGGGGAGGAGATCAAAGCGCCGGGGTCTCCGCAAATGAGTTAAGGCTGTATGGTGACCGGCGTCGATGGGACAAGCGGGGCAGAAGGCCGCGAGGGCTACGAGGCAGGGGCGCAGCCGTGCAGGTCGTCGTCGGCGGCGGCGGCAATGGGAGAGCGACGCAAATTTGGGGGCAATTAGTTGCTACGAGAGAAGAGGAAACCAATGGGTATGGGTTTTCTTGAAAAGTTACGGCGAAGAGGCGGGCGTTTTTTCAGAAAAAAATCCCTCATCTTGATTTTTAGGCAATTAGTTGCTACGAGCGAAGAGGAAACCGATGGGTATGGGTTTTCTTGAAAAGTTACAGTGAAGAGGCGGGCGTTTTTTCAGAAAAAAAATCCCTCATCTTGATTTTTTTTCAGAGAAGGGTATTTTTTACCCGGCCTCTACATCCAACCGGATATATACGGCCATTGAAATAGGGAACTTAGCCCCGTAAACAACCCAATCTAAAATTCGCTCAGTAGGAGATTTGAACTCAGGACCTTAGGATACTACTTAGGTCACTGTAACCACTAGGCTATATGCCCTTTCGTAGTCGTTAGATTGATATCGGAAGACTGTGGTTGCGTGAGTGCATGGATCAGGCTGAGGTTGTGTTTAGTTGGGGAAGAGGAAATTTTTAGGTGTCACATCAGACGTTTGACCGGATGTCGGAAGGGGTTTTCGAACACGAATGAAAAAACTAATTTCAGAACTCGCCTGGAAACCGCGAGACGAATCTTTTGAGCCTACTTAAGTCGTCATTAGCACATGTGGGTTACTGTAGCACTTATGGCTAATCATGGCCTGATTAGGCTCAAAAGATTCGTCTCGCGATTTATAGCTAAACTGTGTAATTGGTTTTTTTTGTCCACATTTAATGCTTCATGCATGTGTCCAAAGATTCGATGTGATAGGTGAAGGAGAAAATTTTTGGAAACTAAACTGGCCCTGAGTGCGCCTGATATGTAATATGTGTAACTTGTGGATGGAGGGAGTAATAGTAGAGACAGTGATAAAGCAGAGAAGAGATAGGACGGAGCGAGTATATTAGGAAATATCCCATCTAGTAAATACTTGCTAGTTTCTTATATTTCGGGGGAGAGAAAAAAAAATCTCCGTTTTCTCCCTCCAAGGCTCCAACAAGGCCACAACTCGCGTTTCTCGCACGCACGCAGAGGAGGAGCAATCGCCGGCGGAGGAGAAGCAGGAGCAGTCGGCGGCGGAGGCGTACAGCGGGGGAGCAGTAGGCAGCGGATGCGCACAGCGGGGGATGCGACGGACGGCCAGGCGAAGCAGGCGGCGTCGCACGGAAGGTACGTCTCCAAGCCCTAGAAATTCTTCCACCTCCTCCATCCGTTTTCCCCACCTTTGGTCGACAGCTCGCCCCTCCTCCCAGATCTTCCGATGTTCCTCTCTCCTTTTTGTGTCAATCGTGTGAAAATCTCTCGGTGTGAGCCCGATCGTTCCAGTGGGTGCGGCGTTCCAATGGATTTTGTTTATTTTCTTTGTTCCCGTGGCTCTAGCATTCTTGCTATGTTCTGAAACTCTGTATTGCAACTTAATCGAAAAATGCAATTGCGTACCTATGTGCCAAAATATTAGTACTTCCGAACTGTCATCCAAGGTCCGGAATTAAGGGGTGACTGCAACCGATGTTTTAAATCACAGACATAATAAACTTGTACAGAGTAGTGTGTTTCATTCCAATAGCTTTTTCGGTTTGTTTTCTTTTTCATGTGGCTATAGCTTTCTTGCTAAGTTCTGAAATTATGCATGCATCTTCCCTTCTATAACATAGTAAATGAACTTAATTAGGAAGAACCAACTATTTAGCAATGAACCATTAAATGACGTGTCATTCTGTTGTTCGTTGTTAATTTACTTGCCTGTAATTGTAAAATAGAATTTCCTGGTTAGTACAGTCATCAAAATTTAGCTATGCATATGGAGCAATATAGAGGGCAATTATCAGAGAAATCTTTTTTTTTTTGTATATTATAGACTAGTAATTCTGTGCTCTCTTCAACAGATTCACCCCTATCCTTGGATCTGGAATCTGGATGTTCCACTAGTGGCACCTTCCCATGTCCTCGCTGTCATGCGCCTTTTGAGATCAACATAGCTGCCAGCTGGCAAACCTAGGTTTTTCACTACTCGTTTATGATATGGTCTAAGTTATAAGTTCTTAGATTGAGGTTGCAATTCTGCTTCTGGTGTGCTAATATATCGGTTGATTCTTTCTCCTGTGCTTTTTTCTCTGTGGTTAATTTCATCTATATTTCTTCGGTGCCCTGGATTGTCATCTCGAAAGAAAAAAAATGCATATGGGGGATGAAAAGCACAAATTTGATGACTTATAGGAATGCCATCCAGGGATGGTCTACACGAATGTACAAATGTATTTGTTTTATCTTTTATCTTTGTGTTAGAACTTAGCTAGTGGTTCCTTGGAATTGTACCTCTATTGACTATTGACTGGTGCGCGTAGTGACTTCCATATCTCTCAGACAGTGTCTTGTTATGACGACAATCGAAGTTGTTGTTGTTTTTTTGTTTCGTCACCTTGTACCTTCAATTTCATCAATGTTTTGGCGTTTTTGGATATTTGTTGTAGCTTCAGTGTTAGTCAAGTTCATAGGTTCTTTTTGTCTAAGTTAAGTGGCTAACTTTACTTCATTTTTGTTCTTGCCTAGTTACCTTTGGACTTCTCCATAATGATGTTCTTCTTTTCATATATACGCATGCAGCCGTGTGTAGTCAGCTTTATTTATAACTATCTCCAAAAGAGTCCTTCTAAACACATCAAGGAATAAGTTTCACCAATTTGCTGAATTGCTTTTGCAATGCTTTTACAACCATAATGACTACCAATGTTGACTCACTATTACAATTTTATTCTCTGTGGTCAGGGTTGGAAAGATGACAGATAATCTAATAGGTGATTGCTCAACAAGCTCAAAGAAAAGGAAGAAAGCTTGCAAAAGTAGAGGAGAGACAAGTGAGTAATTGGTTTGAATTTCTTAACATACTTGCACATCTTTGTCATAACAATCACAATAATATTGTGCAATGCTTCCTTATCTAGGAAAATTGCATGAAGATAACATTTTTGAAGAGGAGTTTGGCAGCTTGAAGAACTCTGGTCAAGGAGCATGGAGTGAACTGAGTAAAGTAGTAGCGTCAAACTTATCTGAAAGTGTTGTCTCGCTGGCTTCATTCGATGGTGATTATGCACGTTGGCTTTTAAAGTTTGTATCAAGCCATCACTCTTAATGATGGAAATCATGATTTTTTGCAGGGGATATTATGCATTCTGCATGCACAGGCGTAGTTATCAAAACTGATTTATTTGGCACAAGTTACCTGACTTCAGCTAGCCTGATTAGATCTTTTGATGATGAAAGCAAGATCATGCCATTTGTGTCTGTAAGTTCTTCTATTTTATCTCATCTCTATCACTTGCATATGTTGCGATATAACTATTAATTTGTAAACCTTTTTCTTGATTTATTATTACAGATTGAAGTACACCTTCCAAAAAAACAAGTTGCCCATGGGTGGTTATACAAGTATGACTTGCAATACAATATTGCTGTTATTGAAACCAAGTTCTTCCCTGGTCTCCGAGCAATAAATCTTGAGCATCAGCTGCAATTTGAGTCTCACAGTAAGGTAGTTGCTGTGGGGCGCTGCTTCAAGTCAGGCAAATTAATGGCCACCAGTGGGGTGCTGACTGACGATCCAAGCGGAGTTTATCGGAAAGAACTCATGATCTCCACGTGTGAAATCACCATGGTGCCCTGCTGATCTCTCTTTACTTTCATGTGTTGCGGAAATGAATAATTATGGCATATTGGCGTGGTATCAGTGGTTAAATATATCATTATATGCACTTAACTTTATCTTTTGGGCCTTAAAGTTGCATTTTTCTCGTATATAATTATTTTCTAGTATCGCTTTATTTTGTGGTAGGCTTATAGCAGTCTTTATATATATTTTTTCTAGGCTGGGGTTGGAGGGCCTCTTATTGATTTGGATGGGAACTTTGTTGGCATGAACTTTTATGCGAAGAAAAGGACACCATTCCTGCCAAGGAGTACTATTACCGAATGCATGGCTAATTTCAAGACATACCGGTAAGTTTTTACTGTCAGCTATATGGTTTCTCGTTTCGCTAGCCTCTACTTTCCTATACATCGCTATTTTATACTTAGACATTTGGTATGCAGCGCACATGGAATACTTTTTTGTAAAAGAAAAGTTAAATTAGGACTGCACTTAGTGTTAACTTTTAAAATGGTCAGACTGAACTATAAGCCTCATGTTTTAAATGTTGGCACAGCCACACAGAGTACATTTATAAATTTTAAAATGGCCATACTGATCTATAAGCCTCATGTTTTAAACGTTGGCACAGTCATACAGAGTACATTTATAAACAACTGGCTGAGCCCGTACTGTCAGAGTCTCATTAATTCTGTAAAAAAAAGGACATGCATGTTCCTGAGAGGTAAATCATAATGATTAAATGCTGACTTTCCTATAAGTTGACTTTGTTATAAGTTCCCTATAAATCATATAGAGCCTTTGTTACACAAGAAAAGCTAGTAAAATTCTATAAGACTATAAGTTGACTTTTCTGTGAAGAATGCACCCAGTTATTGGGCTACTTAGAAAAATGAGTACAAGTACTAGCAAAGTGGTTAGTCCCAGAATAGCTTTTGGTTCGATATTTTGTGCTAGATGGAAACAGAGCAGTTAGTTTATCCAAAAGATCTTCTGGATGATCATAGATCCTTTGTGCTAACAGTGAACTAGTAGTTCAAGGCAGAAATTCTATGCAACCGAACACCGATCAGTAAACATCTATACTCCTTTAGAAAGACTCCAATGGTGGTGGCGGTGAATATGCCACCCCACCTACTCCAATTATAGTTTTTACACATTACCCCTTGAACTTCTTAATATATTACATAACAAGTAGATCTAAATGGATAGCCATATATAAAATTAAATTGAGGTGAATACTCCTTGTAGTGAAAAGGTGGGTAACATATTGTTGAAAAAAATGCTTTTATTTATTTTAGGCAATATTATGATATCTTTTCCTTTTATCCGTAGCAAAGCACGGGCATTTAGCTAGTATGAAATGAAGTAAAGAGCAGTAGCTCAGAGCCTCAAAGGATCATGGATATATCTCTGGTCAAACTTTTGAAACTCAAGTGTCAATAATTTTTAAGTATTTAGGTGGATATAGTTAAAAATCATATGCACAGATCCGTGTCAAAAAGTACTTTTATTTTACAGATGAGTTTTGTTAATGTAATCTTAGAGATAAATCAGGTTAAGGTCAGTTAAAGATTGAGTTAAATCAGGATCAAGTTAGATTGAGTTTGTTAGAGAATTAAGGCTATATAAGGAGATGTAATCGAACTGTGATGGCAACGAAGAAAATAATAAATCTCCAATCTCCTTTGTCTGCCGTTCTCCTATTCTCTTTCTTCTATATAGAACCACCACCGAGCCTCACCAACCACGACAGCGGAGGCCGCAGCCTCCGTCCTTCCACCCATATAACCTTCGGCCGTTGCTTGGCCATGACATACTATTACAAATTTATTGGATATTAAAATATATTACAATTACAATAGAAATTAGTGGTCAAGTTATATTTTGATAAGACTACAGTTGTCCAAATTCCAATTCAACACGTATTTGTGATAAATATAGATAAGGCACATCATTTTTTTGAGTGGCAAAAACACTTTTGATCTACCCAAATATCCGAGCTCACTGGCTGTTATGTTTGTTAATTTATATGCATCAGAGAGCATCCTTGACAACAATTTGGTTGCTTCTCACATCTCTAGCTAAATAAGTACCATTTCCATCTAGACCACCTGTACTGTCAAGCATGTATTACAGTTGCCTTGTACTAGATTTGGACTACTGTGACCATGTTGAAGCAAATAATAATCAAGGTTTCCTTGCAGGTTTAATATTATATTTTCTCAAATTTGTCTGTTTCTATGAGATAGTTAATACTCACATTTTTTTTTTGTATTGCTCCTATTGTTTGCATAGCTCTTTCACATTCATGCATAAGGTCTCTCGCCTTGGATGGCTAGCTAGTCGTCGCGGGGTGTTCTAGTCGTGTACCACATTTATTTATTTATTTATTTATTTTGGGGAGGGGGGGGTGGTGTTATGGGAGGGTCCTTTGGATCCTTCCGTTGTCTATATATTTCATTTGTAATGAGCGCAGTTCTCCTGTGTTTTCGAGAAAATAAGCATTCATGCATAGATCTTGGAGAAAACATTTTGGTCCAATTTGACTGTTATTTGCTGGTCACTGGTTATTGTTTGTGGTGCCTGGTAAAAGATATTGAGGCCAAAACAAAAAGATATGCCTAATTTGAATAATGGATTCAGAGGGAAGAGAAACATAGGCACATAGCGCTCAACTGCTCTTGCAGAGGCTATATGTCCATGGCTGCGTGCTTTCAGGGATGTCAGGGATCCTCACCACTTTATTTTTTTCTTGAAATGTTACTCCAATATGCAGTTTTCCAAAAAGTAAACCTCAGGTTGCATAAGTGGGGAGACTAACCCACAACCTACCCTGCACAGGATTGTTAGCTCTTTTAACCATGCTAACTGTATTATCTGTTATCATACGGTGGTTGATAAATCTTTTACCCTTAGTTATGAATCTTTGAATGACATCACTGACCATATCATTCGCTACAAAAGGAATATAGAATGCCAATTGTCCTTATCCATTCCACCTTTTCTTTGGTAACTACTCTTGATGAATTTACTGTGTTATACTGCAGGGGTGAGCTTAAGAAACTTGATAGCACAACTGGAAGGAGCACAAATGAGATACAAGAATCTCCTGCAACCTCCAAGTCCTATTTGGAAGGCTTGGAAGGATGTTCGGACTCTTTTGAGTTACGTAAGTGTGCAAAAACTCCTAAAGACTACTAAACTGTGATGTCGCCTGTCAAGCAGATCATTATCATTTATTTTAAACTATTCATCATTTGTAGGTTTGTCAGCATTTGTGCAAGATTGATTTTATGCTTTTACCTGTCTGTACTAACATACATGGATGTTCTGCATGAAAATCTAGTATTGTGTCCTTTACCCAAGGATTTCAGTTTGTCCAATCTGCTCATTCCTCTCATCTTTTCCATTTTAGGTAACTCCAGTAGGAAACCTGAGAATGAGCAGGAGTCGTCTTCTTCTAGTGATTCAGAAGGTGAATCAGGCTAGGTCACTAATATGACATATCATGCAAAAGTTGTCATCATGTTTCAACACTAATTATTGATCATTACTAACACATGGTCATTAATCGCCTACACCTTTTTTTCTCTAGAAAACCCAATTGAGAATGATCCATTTTTTATGGAGACGGCCTCCCCTTTCTTGCCAGTTGCTGATGGTGATGGTGAGTCATTGTTTCTAATTTTGCTGTCATTGTTAACACATGATGATTAATCATTTCAGTTTGTTTACCAGAATTTGGGAAATTTTTAATCAAGGAACTAACGTCCCAAGGTTATCCTTTGCCAGCTGTCCTTGACGGTGAGTTTGTTGTTGATTACTCCCTTGTATTGCACATTTTGACAGTTGTATTACAGCACTCTCATATGTGGTACTACTTTTTTTTAACCAGGAGGCATGCGTTTGGTTAATACTTTTGAAAATGAATTTGCTGATGATATCTGGAGTAAACTCACCAAAAAAGTTGCTTCAAACATGTCTCGTGTTGTTGTCTCTCTTGCTTCATTCAATGGTAATCGCATTGTTATAATCTCATTGCATTTTCATTTCTTTTTTATATCATATCACTAACTATGATTCATTATGATCTTGTAGGCGAAGAACGGATTTTTGCTTGCACAGGAATATTTATAGGCTGCGATGAATCCAACACAAGGATTCTGACTTCAGCAAGTTTGGTTAGGATTTCTGATGATGAAAACAGGATTAATGATAACTTGAAGGTTGGTATTGTATTGTCCTCCTTGAGCTTATTCATTTGAGATACCGGTAAATCCTCACATTACTTCTGCAGATTGTTGTACACCTTCCAAACAAACAACAAACTGTAGGGACATTGCAACATTATCATCTGCATTACAATGTTGCTATTGTCAGCATCAAAGGTTTTCGTTGTCTTCGTACGGAAGAATTTCATGATCCAGGGCTAATTGAGCGTAAGGAGGTATTATCTGTAGGACGCGTCTTCAAGTCAGCCAAATTAATGGCCACAAGTGGGATATTGACTGACAAACCAAGCAAACTTGACTGCAAAGAACTTAAGGTCTCCACTTGTAGAATCAGTAAGGTACACTGAATCTCCAAATTGAAGTTTTGTTTTTTTCCTTGTAAAAGAAAGGCTTTAATTTTCTTAGTGAAACAATTTGTTGCATTACAACATGAACAATTCAATATAACACTACCAAACATTGCCATGCCTTACCAAACCTAGCCAAAGGGGTGTCTAACAAGATGGCCACACCTTAGGCAAGGTTTGGGAAATAAATGAGTGCATGACACATGTTCCCTAGGAAATGAAACAACCAACTATCTTACAGTGTGACAAAGATTTGTAAAGTGTGAAATGCCCCTGCTTCTGCGGAACTTCTTGTGTAAGGCATTTAAAATATCTTTTCATACGTGCTACTTTGTTTTTGTGCTAGGCTGGGATTGGAGGGCCCCTGATTGATTGTCATGGTAATTTCGTTGGTATGAACTTCTACGGTAGGAAAGAGACTCCGTATTTACCAAGGGATACAATTCTGAAATTATTGAGCTATTTTGATGGAGAAGGGTATGTCTTATATGTAGACCTATGTGATCACTTGGTCTTTTACAATTGTGACTTGTGTGATCATTTGTCTTTTATAAAGCTATAAGTTAATTATTTCCGGATGCTGAACTGTTTTGTGTCTTTGTTGTAGGGACATCTCTCCTGAGATTATGGACAACCAAAACAGGTATGTGTGTTTTTTAATTATGAAGCGGTTCAATGATATTTACTCACTTTGTTTCACGGAAGTAATTCAGCGACTTGTTCAACAACAGATGGCCTGTGCCCAAGTTACGTTGGCATTATCCTTCCTTCTCCAGCCATCGCAAGATAGAGCCGCGCAGATATATAAAATATTAGTAATTTATATCCATGCCTATTTAGTCTTGAACCTGTTGCATTGGTTGCTATCTACTATCTTGAACTCCTGTGTTGTGCAAGGGCAGACCTGACAAAGCACTTTTGAAATGCCGTAACACTGGATTACTTGAAACTTTATGAAATTATGCTTGTACCTACAGCTATATACTCCCTCCGTACAATTATAAGTGCAGTTGTGGTATTCCGTATCCAATGTTTAACCGTCCATCTTATTTAATTTTTTTTAAAAAGTCACGTATAAAGTATTATTCATGTTTTATCACCTAATAACAATAAAAATACAAATCATAAGAAAATTTCAAATAAAACGGATGGTCAAATGTTGAACGCGGAAAACTACAACTGCCCCTTACTCCCTCTGTTCTAAAAAAAAAAAGGCAAACCTTAGAGGGATGTGACCCCTCCTAGTATAGTACAACGAATCTGGGGACAGAATCAAGGGTCACATCCTCTAAGGTTTGCCATTTTCTTTTTAGACGGAGGGAGTATGGGATGGAGTGTTATACAACCATTAAACTTTGGGTTGTAGTTTTTTTTTAATCTCATTCAATTTTGAATTCCCAAGTTGAAAATAATGGGCCCACTTGGCGCTGGTCGTGCGGCTCGAGGAGCTGTTGTTGTTGAACGGTTGGACGCGGCGAAGTCGGTGCCGTTGGGGGTTGTGCTGAGGCCGACGGTAGAGGCTATCGCCCGTCGAGGACGGCCACGGCGGTGGTGTTGTGTTACCGAACGTGCGTGCGTGTTGGTGTACATATAGCGTAGGCCGTTACGTTCATGGTCTCAGACCTTTGGACGAGCGTCGGGCCAGCAGAATACGTAGTACGTGTGATAGGAATTTCTTTTGAACCTTTTTAATTTTTCTATACCTAATAATAATAAAAACAAATACGTAAGGATTCCGGGTGTTTTTTTTTGTCCGTCGTCCCACACGAGTCGCTAAATCCGTTTTAATCCGCTTAATAGTTGGGTCGGATCTTTTTCAATCCACTCGAAAACCGAGGTTTATATACTACTCCCTCTATTTTAAATTGATCATCGTATTACATGGGTGTATTAAGACCAAGAAAATATAATAACTCTCTCGTACTACATTTATTTTGGTAACAAACTCAATGCATGCACATTCCCCACTATTTTTTACCTAATAGTAAATCAAAACACTTTACTTCCATGCACAAATAATGACAAATATGATGATCATTTTTCAATTTGGAATGGAGAGAATATATTTTTGTTCCATGTAATGCCTACTTGGTTAAGGGCGAAAGTTTTCACCCCGGCGACCAGGGTTCGATTCCAACGTTCCTCTCATTTTTGCACCTGTGTCTATTACTTGCACTGTGTCTATGGGCCTCTTCTGGAATAAGTCTACTTTCCCTCCCTCCTGTCAAATCATATTTGCGCGCAAATTTTTTCTCTCACCACTAGCACGGACCATGCACATTCCATTGCTGAAAAATCAAATGTATTGCACCTCTTTCTTCAATAGATTTTTATTGACTCTGAAATCTTATAATGAACCATTTTTAATTCAAAAATTAAAGATAATTATATTATATACATAAAAATCAGTATAAATATATGCTTACCGATATATAGGATGTAATACGTATTCAAGTATACAAAATTAATGCCCCTTTCTTTCCGTGAAAGAAACAAAAGGTTACTGCGCATGCAAAGGACCACAAGCATTTTGTATGGTGTTAATCTATACCTAATAATAAAAAAGTATGTAAGGATTCCGGTGAAAATTTCCATCCGTCCTCACCTAAATTTTTTCATCCGCAACATCCTGAGTCCAACACACAAAAATCATCTTGTTTCCGGGTCAAATAGCACACAAAAAATTAAACAAGTTCGTGTTGCACTAGAATAACTTACATATACAGCTTACAAAAATTGATTACAAAACTTCCTCGAATTAGACCCCAAATACAATATGCAAAATGGCAAACGAAGAAAAAAAAAACCCAAAATCGAACAAAAATCCAGCCACCTGATCTCGCCGGAGACACGAGTGACATGAGTTTGCCGTCGCCGCCTCCCAAGGCTAGATTCGAAGAGGAGAGGGTGCGGAGTGGCCGCCGCCGGTGGCTCGGTTGAGCAGTGCCACGACCACCTGCCGGCTGCCACCACCTCCCAAGGCTAGATACGGTGAGCCTCAGGCCGGATCTGGCGAGGAGCGAGGCGGCGGCGACACCCCAACAAGGAGAAAGGGGCTGAAAATGGAGGCAGGGGGAGTAGCGGAGAGGGAGTGACTCCGTTGGTGGGGTGAGAGGGAAGGGGAGAGGCGGAGAGAGAGCAACGATGCCAGTAGGGGGAGGGGAGGGGGAGCAGCCTTAGCTCGCCGAAATGGAAAGAGGAGATCTAGTGGATCAAAAGCACTCAACCAATTTTGGGAGATCAAGAAATATTTGACTGGAATTGATGGGGAGGATCGGTTAGAAGTTAAAGACGGCAGTTGGCTGTGCAAGCTGGCCTACAGCTCCGCTTGTGGCTAGGCCAAAGAGGCAAGCCGAGCGGATGGAGCTAGCGGACAGGGCTGAGGCTGAAAAGAAATGAATGGGGCTTTCAGCCTAAAACCAAGGAGTATTCAACTAAAAAAACAAACAAGGAGTATAATGTATAGCAATCCCAAAACATTTTTACTCGTTGCAACGCACATGTATTTTTTCTAGTAATTTTAAAAATAAACCCATCCAAGATTTATTTTCAAGATATAAACCTTTTGGCCTGGCGTGGCAAAACAATATTGTCACCCCGGCGTGATAGCGTTATTTGGCCACGCCGGAGTCACTGGCGTGTATTATCACACCCACTGCAGGTGGCGTGCCAGTATTTTGTCACGCTAGGCGGGCTGGCGTGGCTAAAAGGTTCAGATTTTAAAAATAAATTTTGAAATGGTTTAGTTTTAAAATTAAAAATTAAAAAGGTTCAAAAAAAAATAATTTGTGTGATCGTGGAGATATTCCCGTATGCAGGGCAGGTCCTGGTGTTCCGTGTGCGCATTGAACCACTCACCTGTCTGTAATGTATATGCGTTTTAATTACCCCTGAAAACCACCGTCAGGAAAGGCCACCATTTCGATCCATTGGCGTGTGTGGTTTGGGGACCAAGTGGGATGGGTTAGACCTATCTTAGTTTTTTGGATGGAAAGATTCCAGTTATCTGTTTAGTTTATGGTATGGGATGGTTATAGTTTTTTGTTTGGTAGAAGGGACTGAGGTGGGATGGGATGGACAGCTTTGCACGGATGTTAGTGCCGTCTGGCTCCCAATAGCTGGGGCGCAGTGAGCGGCGAGCATGGAGGCGGAGGAGCTCGTCGGTGCGAGTGGAGGAGGGGCGGAGGCGGGTCGCGGATGAGCGGCGGCGGTCACGGAGGCGAGGCGGCTCCTGGATTTGAGAGGAGCAGTGGTTGAGCTGCAGCGGTCGGTCGCGGGGTGGCGCCTGGCACAGACGAGCGGCAATGGGTGCGGACGAGGTGGCGGCGGGGAGGACTATCACCGGGCAGCGCTATGGTGGCACCCCACGTCTCAACAAGAAAAAAGTCCATTGCTAGAGGTTAGGGTTAGCCGGCTAGGGACACACGCTGCTCTCGTTTCGACTCCTATTCGCTCCGCGCCTCCACCTCCCCGCCTCTCCCTCTGAGGGGACACCCAATTTAGGCTTGGTGCCCCGAAAATCCACTCGTGATCGTCCAGGATTTCGATCACGCATAGATTGATATACAGAATAGCTTTCGATTACTTACACAAATTTATTTATACAGGCTAATTATACAACTGTTAAAGGTTGAAAAGATCCAAACTAAAATATCCTTATTTGAAAATACAAGAAAAATCCAAACTTCTAAATTACTAAACTACAACTAATAAACTCCAAAGAACTCCACAGGCAATAGCTCGAGTGTAGACTAGCCTAGAAGAAAAACTCGTCGTTGCCGTAGACTTCGCTATCCTCTGGTCTTCCGGTTAGCACGATCCTCTATATGTTAAATTATTCAAGAATGAGTACTTATATACTCAGCAAGACATATTATAAATAATTAGTGAAGAGATATGAATAAATAAAACAATGATAAAGTAAAGGAGTAATAAGGGGGTAATTATAATCTGGTTAAACCACCCAAAACTTTCCAAACTCCCTACACCAACTTCATCATCCATCAACGTTCATAATCATAATATTCACCATCTCAATTCATAAATGCCCATTTTAACCGGATTCCTAAGTTTGTAAAGATGTTTGAATAATAAACCACATAAAATGATCTCAAATGTATCTTTCAATAATATCATGTAATCATGCTTAAAAGCATTTAACATCTACCCACGAGATGTTAAAAGACTAAGGTATTATGCATCAAATTAAATATGAAGATTATAATAAGTTTTCTATATGATCAAAATTTTAGTTATGTCTTGCCTTGCGCCTTAAGATTTTCCCGCGGCTTCAGCGTAGCCATCTGGGTCCACGTCAGCTCCTTGGATGCTGATAAAACTTGTTGTACAGTCTAACGTATGAATACGAAAAGATAGCAAATAAAGCCTATAAGCAAATTGCTATAAAGAAACGATAAAACCAAGGAATAAATAAAATTAGAGCGATGCGAGAGGAAAAAGGAATGGGTTTAAAATAAACTTTTTAATTTAAAAAAAATAAAAGAGAGGTGATGGTTTCTATAGGCTAAAAGTTGAATAAAATCGAAGGAAGGATAATTTGGATAGGTGGGGTTTATTTGGTGGATTTGGTTTCTAGTCGGTGCTAGAGTAGGGCAGCACGACGGCTAGATATTTGGAGTTGGTTAGCCGATGCTAAGGCATAATGGCTAATTATCTAGGTTGGTTAGCCGGTGCTAAGATTGGGTAGCATGTCGGCTAAATATCGGCTCGTCTAGTCGATGCTACAGTCAAGCATCACAACGACTAGTGAGTTGGGAGATTTATGTGGAGCGGAACAATGTTACTCTACAGTCGTGAGTGACAGTAGAGCGGCTAGGGTCGCACATAGCTCAAGGACTAGTGTGCGGCGTATTGTGGAGGTCGAGGGAGTAGTGAGGCTCCGACCACTGTACGCGTTGAGGCGTGGGGTGCGAAGAGCAACACTTCGACCTGAGGAATAGGTCATGTCGGGTTTCACAACCT